GCTTTTGTGTTATTGATCGATCACGCTTATGGCCACATTCATGTTTAGAATGCGAAATTGTTCTTGCAGTCGTGCATTATGTTTTAGAAAACTTTATTTGTTATTGATTCATTTCATCATCCGGGGCAGATCTACAGGTGTAACACTCACACCGTTTTTACCATCTATTTCGGGTTTTCCTCGGAGTCTTTTTTTTCTTTGAATATTAACTTTAACTGTCTGCTGTTATTTTTTGTAGATTTGCCCCATCAGAACATGGCAATCTATGAAGAACCATTTTATGAAATCTCTTGTCTACAATTTGAGACCGTATGATATTCCAAAGAAAGACTTTGATGAGTTCAAGCAGTGGTAAGGAATGCATAATTTTTTCCTTCTTTCATGTTAAGCTTAAGCCAATATTGCAATCTTTGGATCGTAAGAAAGAAGCTGATGGAAATCCTTCCTCGTTTCTCTGTGATAGGTAGGCCTAATGATTTTTTTTTTCAGTTGAAACGAAGTTGAAGAAAAAGAAATACAAAGGGTGTACCAAACTTTCCAGACTAATGCTGTAATTCTGGAACTAAAATAGTCATGAAGCTGATTTTGGTCTCATTTTAAAGCCCTAATTAATTAAAACCAAAATCACTTCATTTGCTCCAAAATTTACCAAGTTGTGAGGTTTTGAACGAAGGGAGTAAATTTTCCACCCTCGAGTTTTTAAGATGAATGTATTTCCTGTGTTGAAAATCATAAAAGTGTTTCTAGTAGAATTCTAGGAAGAAAGTATTTGGCAACATTATAATGGAGTCAGCAACGATGTCAAGTCATTGTCCGATTGTCGTTGTAACTGTAGTAAATATACTTGAGGGATTTGCGCAAAAGCATGCTGGAGTGTTTTCGCCTGTTGGTACCTTTTTCATTTCGTGCGCACTTGTTTCACATTGTTTCTGTATTTTTAGTGCGTTTGGAACTCATTATTTAACTACTCTTGCATTTTCTTGATTTCTCAAATACTTATAAAAGCATTTTCTTGCTGTTAATCCACCTCAGAGGATAAAATTAAGGCAGCTGATCAAAATTTCTTCAATTTCAAAAGAAGAATTGCCGAAGACAGTAATAGAGAAATGGTAAGAATGCAAAAATGTATTAGTAATTATGGTATATGTATACTTCAAAAAGCAGGTTAACATCATTAACCAAAATGACACCGAAGAGTTGATGATTATTTTTTTCTTATAAATTAATTATCGATTAAAAACCTGTACGTGTAAAATTTACTCCCTCTGTTCAAAACCTTATAACTTCGTCAATTTTTAAGCAAATAAAGTGATTTTCGTTTTAATCAATTAGAAATGATGTAAGCTTTAAAATGGACCAAGATCAGCTCCATAGCTATCTTACAATTAGTTCCGGAATTCCAGAATTTGTTTGCCATGCCATCACAATTTGAAACAGCTCGTAACAATCAAATTTTATTCGGGTTCAGTTTCTGTAAGGGGGCGTGGCTTATTTTTATCGTTTCTTATCTTGCACAATCTGCCAATGTCTATTGCAACATTGTTGTGGAACAATCTTCCACTCTCAGAGAACATTACGGCGAAAGTGTAACACTTGTAAACAGAATTTCTAACCTCACTTCTAGCTTCTTCACGCTCATTGAGTCCAAGTAATTTATTTTAAACATTGATTTTTAATGTTACAGGTATTTTGCAAAATCTCATAAACTGTATGGCTCAAAATTGTATTGAAGCACATATTTACTCACTCAAAACATTATTGATGGGACCAACTGAAACAAGTAATATTTCATTCACTTTTTTATTCCTTTTTGTAATCTTTTTTTGGCAATTATGTTAAATTTGTTGTGAATGTAAGCAAAAATGTTCTAGTCACTGCACTGAACACAGTTAAGTGTGGAAAACTTAGGTTAATGATGAATCATCAACGATTGGGTCAAAAGATGTGGTATATCGTATTGGGACAAAAAATTTAAATCTGAAAACTTTGGAACTACCGTCCTCCTCTTCTTATTGTCTGTGCATTTATTTTGTTTGATGAATCTTAGTTACCTCTTGTTGGTTAGCCAAGCATATTTTCATGAAAGTAGGAGATGAATCCATCTCAGGAGTGTTTTTGAATCATTCATGAGTTTCGGAACATTTTTTTATTCGAAAATCAAATTTGAATTTGAATGTCGGTGTTTGCAATACTACCCAATTCATAGTGATGTCAACCAACAGCATTTGGCCGTTAACCTGCTAGAACTTCACAGTATGCCATGTAAAAATATGCTGTGTTTACATGGATTTTTCGGCTTTCAAAACTGCAGAAATCACTACAAATCTGTAGAAATAGCCCATTTGCGCCTCTCCATGGCTCAAATGACTAGTGACCAACTCCTGGAATCTTGTTTTCGCATATTACACGTATAAGTATGCTGGAATAGGCGTCCCTCTGAATTTCCAAGATATGCTCTGCTTTGCTAATGATCAGTTAGTCATTGCTCAGGAGCATAATGATGTGGAGTACTTATATGACCCGGAAGTTGGTTGAAGAGCACTGTAAATGAGGACTCGAGATCAGTAGCGATGAGACAAAATAGGTCAGTTGGAGGGGCTCAGCAAAGCATAGTCCCAAAGGATGCTCAGCAAATCGAGAGTTACGAGCAGTACAAGTATTTAGGGGTGAAGTTAACTTTGAACAGGAAGTTGGATCAAGACATTCAGGACTGTAATCTTCAAGGAAGTAAAGTCATCGCCCTGCTAAATTTCATTCGGATTAAATACTTAATTTCCAAGGACGACAAAAAAAGGATTTATAACTCAACTGTCAGAACTATTATGACTTCTGGTAGTGAAGTTTGGCAATCGAAGAAGTGGACCCAAGACATGCTCAAGATGACAGAGATGGATTTCTGGCAAAGATTGGCTGGAATCTTTAGAAGGGAATGTATCAGAAATGATCAAATGAACATGGCAAAGGGATCATGGGCGTAGAAGAGACAATCGTGCATCGCACCATGACCAAGCAGTTGGTATGGTTTGTGCCTGTGCAGTGAATGGCTGATACAAGGTTGCCGAAAAAGGTTTTTCGAGTGGGTCCCTTCAGGTAGGCATCCAGCTAAAAGGTGGGTGAGTGGCATCCAAAAAGAGATGGAGCAATGCCAGCCTTTGGAAAATCTCTACCTTGACAGACTCCAGTGGTGGTTAGGTGTTGCCAAGCACTCTGGTGCACTATAAAAGCTATCACTACGTACATACATCCTGCATCTCTGAAAACACATTTTCCAAAGCCCCTGCCCTAATGTTCTACCAAACAAAACAGAATGAAGTAAAAAATCATCTAGCATTTGCAATGTCTGATGTTGCCAATTTTCTTGTTACTCCCATGGCTCGATTGATTAGAAGCACTTATATGTAACTATCAAGCTAATGAGTTTTGGAAGGGTCATTTAGGATAATGACCCAATTTGGCAACCTTTTAAATGTGTATAACTGTCTGATCGCATGACTTGCTAATGTTTCTGAGCCATTAGCCAGCCCCATTACGACCTCTTTATCAACATGTCTCAGTAAATGTGGTCGAATCCATTTTTTTTCCCTTAATGATGATTGGAAATTCTTTCAATGCTAGATTTTTGTTCGTAAGGTGCAGTATGTCAACGGAGGCAATGAGTCAGCAGGCTTTCTGTAATCCAACTTTAACATCTCATGTAACCCTCTGCATGAAAATTGGAAAGTTTTCTTCTCAATTTTTACGATCTTCCTGCAGTTTCAGTTGGTCATTGGACTTTTTGAGAACCTACCCTTTTTTTGTCAGGATACCATCAAAATTTAGTCCAGCCTTTGCTTCGTTAATACATTTTTAACAAGTTTTGTCAGTTTAAGTGTCAGAGATGTTGATACGTCAAAAACTTGGTGCATATTTAAGAAGTAGCATGGTCTATATTCAGGAATATGGATTCGCCACCACACTTCACGGGTTGCCGCACATTCTTGTTCCAACTACTCACATCATTGAGAAGTAAATCAGGAACAAACTGTTTTATACTTGTGCAAGTTTGTCTTCGTTTTTTTAAATTATGTAATTGGTTCATAATTTCTGCACTACCATTATTTGAATTTTAAAATTCCCCTTTTAAGGCACATTTGGAAGCTAATCCAGGCCCTATTTCTCTCTATACCACGGGGAATCGTGTATTGCTAGAAAAAATCCCTCTTCCTACATTTTCTGCAGTTTTTAAAGGAAACTTTGCCCTAAAATTTTCTCCAAAATATTTCTCATTTCTTACAATGCAGATTGTACTGTAACGCTAGGCTTAACCATATTTACTGAAGTATGCACTCTGTTATGCCTATGCTGCACTGTTCGCACAACAGGACTTCAAATATATTGATGAATTAGGGTCTATAATATACGTTTCCTAATCGTTAAATTTTTTTTTTATCTTTGAGATGTATATGATCTCACTGTTCATTTGTTTTAATTAAAATGTATTTTTTGCTAACACTCTAGAGGGAAAAAATAGAATTTTTTTTCTTTTTTTTTTCTCTCAACTTTCTCGCTCTCTTGCTTTATTTTATGAGTATAACTGACTCAATTCAAACTTGCCATCCCCCCTCTCCCCTTCGTTGATCAAATAACATTGAAAAGTCGTGCAAAGTGCGAAGTGGAGGGATCACGAAGATCTTTTTTTTCTCATTACCTGTCCACGATTTCTGCTCTTTTAAAGTTTTTCTCAGTTTTCTGCCTTCTACATAAGAAGAAAGGAACTTCCGATCTGTCCAAGAGAAGTACAGAAAAAACCCAACAGACGTAGAATATTGCGAGAATGTAAATGAATCCCTTAATTTTGTCACCTTGTAAAATGTTTGCTTTCCTCATGTCTTCTTCATAAGTTCATCTCTCTGGTGCTACTTCTCAATAATCTATGAGTTCACTCATTCTTAAGGGAAAGCCTGTTTATGTGTAGAATAGATGCATAAGGATATATATCTTGTAATTAATTGGATGAAAGTACTGTAATTAGCACATATACATATGAGGGAGTAGCAAGCACTGAACTCAATAGATCGCGCCTAAAGATCTTTACGTCTGTCAAAACTTACGGAAACACCTGATAAGCAAAAAAGGGCATAACTCTTGAAGTTGGTGGAAAATTTTGTTGAAAGTTGCTGGATAAATGCATAGAAACGTAGTAGGCCAGAACTTTCTGCACCTCTGATTTGGACTTGACATGTTGCTACTTAAGCCCACCATTGTGTCTAGGTTGGTCTGGTCTGGCATGGTTTTGGCATCCATTTTGGGAGCTTTACTTATGATAAAGGGTACATTTGCCCGGTACAATTCCAACCCGAGTGTTATTTCGAGAGAGACTGACTTCCGCTCTTGGAATACTCCAATGCCAGCTAGCACTTTCTGTCTGATGAACCAAAGTGATCCGGAGAAAGTGTCTAGTTACATTGAAAGGTACATGCTTTTTAAATTCATCCCAGTAAGCAGAAGCTGCTTCTGTGTGTGCCTTTGGTTTTTATGACTACAGGAACGAGAACCAACATAGACATTCATAACTATAATCACATCCTAATTGTATGCGTGTATACATAACACTAATAAAGTGAAAAGACCATAATTTTTTCTGTGATCTTGTAAATTAAAAACAGGGAAGAACATAATGGTATATTTCCTCTGGAAAATAAACTAATGCATTTACAATAAAAATAATATATTGACCGGCAGTGTGAATCAATGAAATGATTTCTGCTACACTTTTAACTTCATTGAATGATAATTTCAATACAGCATTTGATAATATATATGTACTTAAAACTAGTTCCTGTAGTTCCACTTTTTTTTCACTTTTTTCTTTAAAGAAAACTTGGGTATAGGGCAACAACAAAAACAAGTTTTGGAATATCTCTCTCGTTTTATCTTCATAATAGTCATCACAGTCATTTCTGCCCAATTGAAAGGAATTTAAGCTCATAATTCTGAAAAATATAATATAACGCAATGCCTCTGATTTAATGACAGGCATTGGGGCATTAACTCATCCAACAATAAATACAACTACTACCGAAATTTCGTGGAAGATGTTGCTAATTTTCATATGGAAGACCTGTCCAAATTCTCGAAATACAGCGATGATCCATCTCTTCTTGGCGTTAACATGTTACTACTTGCTCTTCAGGTACATGTTCTATATCTAATGAGTTGAGCGCACATACAAAGATAACAACACGTATGTCTGAAATCCTACTGTGCTTTTATCATTGATGAGCCTACCGAAGAGCCTTTGATATTTTTAAATTTTAATGTGTCAACATCTACACAATCAGTTTGCAAGTAGCGCAGTGCAACGGAAGTATTGAAGCAAGTAATTTTGAACTTTAATGCAATAAGAGAGGGGACATCAAAATTAATAAAAGAAGCTAACAGAACCAATAAATGACCTTAATCATGGAATCTAAATACGCAACCTACATTAAATCCAGAAAATTTCTCATTTTAGGTGTGCCTTCGGTTATTAAATTAATTAATTTATCACTAAACTCTTTGCTCCAAGAAATTTTTTGATAGTCTCCAAAGAAAAAAAAAAAAAGAAAAAAAGAAAAAAAATCAGTAACTAACTGACGTTTAGTGGGTTTCTGAAGAAACTTATCAACCTACATTACATAATCTTGTACGTAATTGTACAATCTATCTCCGAAGCGGAGATCTATGTGTTGATACAATGCATTCTATGAATGGATTTGTATTTTTTTAAGGTTATTGCGCCTATCAATGCCACTACTACCGTTTTCAATCCAGAGTACAATTCCATTAAATATCATCCCATTGTCTCGGAGGTGGGCATCTGCTATTCATTTTCGAGCCCATTTTCAGAAATTTTTTCTGTGAGGTAAGCAGCTGTCTAGTGACGATAAGATCCGTTTTTGATGGATCTGTCAATTGAAAGTATTAAATTCACAAAAATGAGGGTGTTTTACTGTTCATAAACAAAAATATTTCTGCAGAAGGGTGTATTTTAAGAGATGATAAAAAGTTTTATTTCTATCTTTGGAATTTGGTGCCTAAATCATTTTACTGAACTATCTCATCACCTCCAAACATACGTGTTTTTAAGTCCTACCATTTGGCCCTGTCACATCTAGAATTAGTATTTACTTTTGCTCTAAATATTAAGCTAGCAGCTCTTAGAATGTATTAACAGACTGTATTGTGGCACTACCTGCCAAGAAACACTGAAAACTAGTCATCTTAAATTGCAAAGCAACCGACGGCTCTACTGACCCAGTGCAGTCATGTTTGCATCAACCATTCAGAGTTGTAGGTTGCCAGCTTTAAAAGTCAAGTGACAGATATGACATCACTTCCATCTGAATAAAGCTCTTGTCTCCAATCTGGAAAGTGACTAATTTTTCTATTCTTTTTCTCTAATGATTTTAAGAAACTTTCGTATTGCTCATGCCCATTTTTCTGTTAAATTTTAAGAGAAAAAATGTCTGTGGATTTTCAGATCAGCACCAAGTTAAGCTGCAGTAAAAATTTGTCTCAAAATATTAGGATGAATTTTGAAAGTTTTAAAATTTCAGTGAATCCACGTTCGATTGACGTGCAACATTGTAGTTTTCTGACTGTTAACATGTACTCAGTCAACAATTTTTTTTGTCTAATTAGTCGATGTCTCAGAAATAATTATGAAGAAGAATGGTACCAAGTCTCATTCCAAATCCAACCTGTAACATCCATGTTATCGCAGAAAATTAAACTTCTTTAAAGCCTTAAATTATGCTTCCACACAACAGCCCATGACGAAGACAATCCAATAATAGACAAATTACAAAAACCGCGAGTAAAAAGACAAAAACATAATTAATTAAAAGGACCAAAACTTTAAAGCCTAGGTCTTCAAAGTTTCCTTGCATTAAATATTTTCAAGTTACCTGTTGCCGGCAGTCACACTTTATTTTTGTGTCCACTAGGAAAGAAAATTCAAATTCAAATGGCAAAGTCCCTCTATGCAATTTTCTTAATTCTCACTGCTTCACTCGGATTGAAAATCTACCTCAGACAAGCTCGATTAAAGTAAGTTGTTCAGCAATTTGCGAAGCTAAAAGATGAAAGGCTCAATTTAGTTAACCAATCCTTAGACTTAGAAAATGTAATGGGAGTCTCTGCAGGGGATTTATTCTTGGGTATAAATATAATTTCACGTAGCAGCCTCACCCATATTGTGAGCAGGGAGGAGGGGGGGGGGCAGTGGCTCAATCTTTTTGTTTTGTTGTTGACCTAAAACCCCCTTTTTTATTTTTTAGCGTGGCCTCATGTCATGCTCTTTCTTTTGAAATAATTGTCTTGTGGGCATGTGTTTCCAGCTGTCGTTTTAACAATGGTTGTCGAATTTCAACAGGTCGATTCGAATATTTAAATTCATTTTTACAATAGGCTCAAGTAGATAGATACCTCATCAAAGCTCGTAAAATTCAGCTGAACTCAAAAAGTGGGTGCATTCTACATGTCGTCAAGAAAAAAGTTGCCAAGTTAAAGTTTGATTGATTATTTTTGGGTCATGCACCACCTCAAAACATCCAGCGTTTCGATTGCCTCTCGTTTTTACATGTTTTACCTTTCCCCATGTACATTAAGGAAGCATCGGATGGATTCCATCTTCAAGCTAAGGTGTTGAAATGGTTTCTGAAAGTTTTTAAAGTGTACACCAACTTACGTTCCTCCGCAGAATTCTCAAGAAAAATTTGCTTCAAGGTTTTTTTCCATTTGCATGATTTTTGCAAGTGTCATCGTAGCCGTAAAAATTTGAATGATTCAACCACTACTGTATTTCTTCAACATAACAGAAGGAACTCTGCAAAACTCATGAGTTCATCAAAGATTTTGATTTTTAAATAATTACTCATAAAAGTTGAATTTTAATGACTTTATGAGCTGTGCGGTGTATTAAGGTGATGTGGTGTAGTTTTAAACAAAAAATTTGCCTCATGGGTTTAACTCTCCTAATCATAAAGAGATGTTGTTCTTAGATTAGACATGCATATTTATACTTTAAACAAAAATAATGGAAGATCTTTCTTTTTTTGAATGTAATTTCATCACATAACATTAATATTGGGGTTTTTTCATTTCAGTTTTTTGTTCACTCACCGCTGGAAGTTGCAACCTTAGAGAGCAGTGCTAACATCGTCGAACCTTGCGAGGAAAATGACTCGACGTTCAAATTCTTTCAAATCATAGCCAGTAAGGAACTGCGCGCACTCAGACCAGATCAGAGAAAATGTAAATTCCATGATGAGCCAGGTCCAATGTCAGAGTTACCCAGTTACAGTTATAACATCTGCCGAATGGAGTGCCGAAAAAAACTAAGCCTTTCGCTTTGTGGTTGTGCTCCCTTTATCTATCACTCTAACAGTATGTCAGCTTCGTATTTATTCATTTAAGATTTACAACCGTTGCTTCACTTTTCATGTCAATTGTTTAGTATTTACTCATTATAACTGAGATGATAAGGTATGGTGTGCTGTCTCAGCAAAAAAGACAGTATTTAATATAATAATAATTTTTAATCAAAATTTGTTTTTCCCCGGTGAGTAAGTAGAGGCATATATCCCCAATACACTCCATCTAATAGAACCAGTATCGTTATTTTTATTAATCGTAATTGCAAATACAATATTTAATTTTATATTGAAAGAAATGAGAGAAATACAAACATAAATAAACCATGTGCAGAGATTTGGCACATCACAATTGTAGATCCGTTTTTTTCAACTTTCGTCATTTATGTTTTCTTTCGTTTTTTTGTTAAATGATCTCCAATTTTTGTTTGTTCCCTACAGTGCGTCCACATTAGTAATTTCCTTTTTTGTATTATTTTCTGTTATTAAATTGATTTAATGCCTCTACCATTTCCTTTTTTTCTTTCATCATTGCTAATTTCTCCTTAAGTAAATAAATAGTTAATTTTGTTCTCACCAATGACCAGTTTCTTGGTCCATTATGATTTTCAATGAAAATGGGTTAAAACTATCAATGAATTTCCGTGGTTGGTTCCAATACTTTCTGAGAAATTAGTTTTTACCATATGGTCTGTGATATAAATTCATCTTTAAGCTCCTTAAAATTGATTTTCATTTTTTCCCCCCTGCAATCTGTCACACTACAAATTGTAAGATTTTTGTTTGTTTGCAATCTTGAAGTTTGTATAGAGAGAAGTAAACATTCTGTACTTTACTTTGTCCCAAGAAGATCATGCTAAACCATCTTCGTGTTAAAGAATTTTCTAGTTCATTCTTTACTTGCAAGATTTTTTTTCTTTTTAAATGCTTACGCTACAGATTTATTGAGACATTGTTCTAAACTATTGTGCATTCCATGCATTTGGACAGCTATAGGTCAAGGAAGGTAGTTTTTTTTTAATTAATTAAAAGAAAAAATTGCTTTTAAGAAGAGGGCTAAAATCTGCTGGCTGCGTATTAAATGTTTATGAAAAAGAGTCAGAAAATGCTAAAAGATTTAAACACGATTTTCTTTTAACTCTAAGTACTCATGTTCCATTAATCCATGTTCATGTTGCCATAGGTAGTAAGATCCGTGTATGCAATGCAAAGGGTTTAGCATGCTTAGCTCAGTATGACACCTTGATATTCAAACTGCAAGGAAGGGTTGGAAATAACTCTCATAACTGCGGCTGTTTTTTAAACTGCGAAGATCTCAATTTTAAAAAGGACAAGTCCTCTATCACTCCTTGGTAAGGATGAATGCTTTATCCGAATTTTATGAACATAGAGATTGTAGCCTAATGCTTTTCAGAATGAATCAATGAAGGAGAACAAGAAGTATATGGATATGAAATATGTCATGATGAAAACCAAGTATGATATGGTAGGCAAACCTCTTGGGGTTAATTTACTAATATCAGAGGGATGGATCTGCAAAATAAATTTTTGATTTCAGTTAGAGACGTTTGATACCTTTGATTTTGGTGTGTTACTATGGATCTCATGAAAAAAATGTGCAAGCTTCATCATATAGCGCAAGAGAGCTCCAATTTTCCAATGAGCCCGCGGTCATTTCCACTGCAACTTCTGCACATGGCACAAATAACCACTCCTCAAAAGTCCTCGCCAACCGACACCTTTGATCGTAGAGACTTGTGATTTCTCCTGCACTCCTAAGAGTAAAACTCTCCACAATGTACTTAATCATTGAAGGAGCAGTGAAATCCGACTTTTTAGCCACGTTACCACCATATAAGTTAGATAAGCACCCTTCAACTGAATATCTAAATAATTATTTCATACGATGTTTAATCTCATCCCAAGCCCCTAAAATCCTTAAAGCAAGGTATGCAGCTGCTGTTTCAACGGCACCTTTCTTGCAATAATGACAGAAAGAACAAAATAATATTTTGTCTGCTGAAGCTTGTATATTTTAGGGGAAATTTTGATAACATACCATATGTAACAAGGTGGAGAAATAGTGCTGGGTCCAGAGCATTTCGCGGGAACAACAAGGCCAAGAAGTTCCAAAAATTATAACTAAAGTAAAAAAAAATCTTGTAAGTCTAATTATAATTTTTAGAACTTCTTGGCCTCGTTTTCCCCGCAAAACGGTCTGAATCCAGCACCATTTCTCTTCCTTGTTTATCTGAAAATATAGTTCTAAGTAGTGGAACTACCCTACTCTATGTTTGATCGACTTTTTTATATTACGCAGGGTTCGGCCCTTGTCCTGCAACACTCGGATGCGTTGGGCAGTGGAAAAATACAACCGAGTGCGACTCCGCCGAGACGTTATCTACAGTTATGATGATTTTCTTGTTTCCATTGGTGGCACTGCTGCACTCTTTCTGGGATGTAGTCTCCTCACATTTGCTGAATTTCTATACTTCTTTACATTGCGTCTCTTTTGTTTTGTCCGTCAGCACAGGCTCTCTGAATCAAACCTAAAAACTACTAAATTAATTGTTCCTCTAAACAATTAACTTGAGTACCAATAACCTCATAATCCCAAAAAAAAATAAAAAAAAAAAAATTAAAAAAATTAAAAAAAAAAAATTCAGTAACCAACAGAGGAAGGAGCGAATATTGTGAGTAATGAAAAATGAACAAGCTAGTCCCGCAGGTTTTAAGTATTCTCTCGAGTGGGAAAAATGGTCTGGGACTGTAGACATGACGTTTTTATTCCTTTTTGGTGGGAAAGAGGGCAGAGGAGGTACTAAAATGTGATTCAGACATGATGCATACGTTTGCTGAGGGTTCATTTCTTGTTGACTACAACTGAAAATCCTAACTATGAAGTTATGAATAATTAATAATCCATGAATTTGATTTACCTATCAATCGCAGATTTAGTATCAGGCAAAAAAACTCTTAAACTGTGGCTTACTGCAAGTAACAGGATGGTAGATTCAGTTTTTGTTTAGTATTTGGCTCGAATTCTAATTTTTGGCCTCAGTTTTCCCACAGAATAGTGCGCATCCAGCACACTTCTAACATACTGTTACTTTAGTATCTTAGGTGTACTATTTTTACATTGTATTTTGTATAAGTAGAATCTCCTACTTATGGGAGCCACATGGTGCCTTTCATAGATTGTGCATCTTTCTACTTAATTCTACCCAAAAGTTTAAATTTTTAGTCCTTGAACTGAGAAAGACAGCAATATTCTGAACGAGATGGAGAACACAGCATTTTTTTTCTGTCTTCTTCCTCTTTTTTCCCATTTTTCCGTGGGCAGAAAATTCAATTTTTACTCTAGTTCACTTGGAATATTTCTTTATCAATAATTGTGAATTTGTTGGTAGGTGGTTAAACAGTCCAAGTCAGTTCTACAATTATCAATTAAATATCGAAGGTCGACCTTGGGATGAACAAACAATAGAAAAATTAAACGTGCATAAAACTTACGGAATTAGAAAATTTATTATTTATTGCTTCCACAACATTGAGAGGTAAGATATAGAGGTATGCCTTTCCGGGTACAGAAAAATATTTATTAATTACACAAAATCCAGAAATAATACGGTAAAATACCTTTTTAGGCAGAGATCTCTTTTATAAGATGAAGGTAGATTTGTTGCTGGGGGCCATTCAAGAATTATAGGCGGCATTTTAGCCGAATTTTTCATCCTTTCTCCCCCTTAAAGGACACCCACAAGACAACCTGTTACCTTTTTTTGGAAATAAGTAGGATTAGCTTGACCTTCCTCCCCCCCCCATGTTTCAGTAATAATAACAGAGAAACCCTAAAAAGTAGCTGGAAAAAATAATATTTCTTGAAAAATATATATATCTATATTTATACTGAAGTCTGGTCTTCCCCCCCCTCTCCCCTCATAAGACCCGGTAAGGCAAATCCAGAGACCTCCTTTCCCCTAAATTGCTCATGTAATACAAGAATGACCCCCTAAGAGCGAAATTCTTCCTTGTAATTGACGAACATAAAAATGACTTAAAAATACTGAAAAGATTCAATGAAGAGAATAATGGAGTATTTTCCCAAGAAACTAAGGCTTATAGGAATACTAGGCAATTTATAAATACATATCACATCAGTCTTTAACAAATTGTAAATGGTTATCACAGGTAGAAAGAGAAACTGGGAAACTGCGATTCTACGCCCAGGGCTCCCACCCAGCATATGTTATACCCAAGATATGCTTGTCTTTAGCTTGATCTAAGAGGATGTCCACCTGTAAAAAAATAAAATACTTTTTTACATTTTTACCCAAATATAGGTGTTCCACTTGGAACGATTTGAGAAACTGAAACGAGTAAAAATAGCCATAAATTAAATGCGAAATAAATTGGTCAAAATACACATTGCTCGGCAAGGTAGAAGGAAAAAGGTATGGACATAGTAACTGTAACAAAGCATCGAGGGAAAAACATTTTCAACAGTTGTGAGGGTAATTCAAAAAGTCGGTTGATGTAGTTTGTAGCCCAATAACTCAGAAGAGTCAAAAATGGAAAAAGTTCCTAACCTGTTATACCTAGAGCTCTCCAAAGAGCTCGAGTTTTTGAAATGACACTGGCGATTCACGAGAAAATCAATTTTTAAGTGGGAGACTTTCAGCAATTTTCCACTGAATAAGGGACCCGATTGCACATTTTTTCCGCAAATCGAGCTTTGTCAAAAATATTTGCAATTTTGTTTTTTTAATTTTTTGCAGCAAAAAAAAAAAATAAAAATAAAAAAAAATAAAATAAAATAAAAATAAATAGATAAATAAAAGTGATGATTTTGGTGAAGTCTGCAACAGCAACTTCAAATGACAACACCGATCCAATGACCAGCAAAGTATTCATATCACAGACCTTTCAGTTTCATGTTTGAATTTTTTCTCTTAATACAACCAGGAAAAAAGGTTATGTCAATGATTCCTTGCATATGTTATACCCAAGAAAGAACAGGGAAGACAATTATCAAGTGGCAACATGATGCACATCTCTTATTGGCTTGTTATTGTCTGGTAAATGGAACTCATCTAAATAAGACTACCTCGACTGAGGAGGAATCGAGTTATGTGTCAGTCCTCCTCTTTGTCATACTTATGTTGGATCTCTACCATGACAGATTCCTGTGGAGAATAGGCGTCGCAGAGCGCCCTAGCGCGCCGTAAAAGCGGCTCATACATACACACATGTTGGATAAAATTATTGATGAGCTATCGACAACTCATAACTCATAAGGTGACTTTAGCACGTCATCAATTTTACAATGTTACAAGCCAAAGTTTACTTGTCGTTCACTAGGGTATTTTCCAGACTCAAAGATAATTTCAGGTGAGATTGCGATGCAAAAATGAATCCAGAGGAAGAGACTGATTTTAGGTACTTAAAAGGTACTTAAAAAAACAGGGTTATTGCAGAGAGGCACTGTCTTTATGAGGGCAATAATTTCTAGGACTCACCTGTTGGTTGGCATTCAACTCCTGATCGATCCTAAATTTGAATCGCAAAGATTCATTTGTTCCTTGCAAAATTTTTTTAAAGGCATCAAGGTATGGAGATGTTTTATGACCTGCTTCCAATTCTTTGATCATTATTTCTGTAGGGTGCCCACCTTCCAACTTCTTCCAGGCAAGCTCAATATTCCTCAAAGAGAATGAATCCTGGGCATCTAAAAAATAAAAAATAAATAATGAAAAATATATAAATATATATTTAGGCGAGAAAAATACACTGAGAAATGGCCCGAACTGTATGTAACAAGGAGGTGACTTGGTGCTGGGTCCACACCATTTTGGGGGGAAAGTGAAGCCAAAAACTTTGAGTAGAGTCAAATATTTTTGAGCTCTAATGAGTCTCAGTCTTTACCCTTCCTCAGTCTTGTACTGGTGCTCGTTGAAGCTCAAAAATTTTTGACTCTAATTGAAATTTTTGGAACTCTTGGGCTTCGTTTTCCTCACAAAATGGTGTGGAACAGCACTATTTCATCACATTTTGATCTATTTAGGACTAGAGGAATTTAAATTATAGTTTTACTAGATAGTGATGATAGATTTAAATAAGTATAGTTAGATTGCAGGAGAAATTTCCTTTTTTTCTAAGATTTTCCATTAATAATTTAGAATGTTAGGAGCTTACATAGCATCTATTACAAATGTCAAGGATTTTCTCCACGTACAAACAAGAGCTCTCAACAAAGCCAGTTTTTTTTTCCTTAACCTCTCTGAATTTTTTGGTCAGTTGTGCAAGAAATTCTTTGAAAATCTTGGTAAGATTGCCTCTCCGAGGCAAAAAAATCAACAGCCAACAACTACACCAAAGAGCCTCTAGTAAGTAAGTGGAGAAGAGCCTTCTTGGCCAATGATGGGTAGGTAAAATAAAGCCATCTGATAAAATAGTCATGAAAGTCTGTGGCATGCTGGTTATGACAAATAATTCTTGTGCGTTCCTGTCCTGTGTTGATGTCTTCAACTTCTGACAGACTTCAAGAAGAAAACGGAAAGGGATCCGATCAAGCTCAGAGGCATTAATGCCACAGACAGCAACAGGCAACAGCTCACAATGGGTTTGTTCTGACCCACAATTCCTCTTTTGAAGTACATGAAGGACTCAACCTGCTGAATATTTGACATTCTAAAGTCGTATTTGTCTCTAAAGTCATAATTTGAAACCAACTCTGTTTTGTTCATATCGAGTTCCCAAGCAAGATGTTGCAGTCTGCTACGATTCAGACAGCAAAATAGTTTCATTGAATGGGCCTGTTGCAAACTTTTGCTAGAGCAAAAATATGAGTTGTTTCTTATAGATAACGCCTCAAAAATCACGATGAGCGCATCGGCAAAGTCTGAAATGCACTCATAACTTCACAATCTGCGTAAGAAATTTGCGTTTTTTTAAGCTTCCCGCTTCAAAAACGATACTACGGCACAGGTGAACATTTTGTTAGAGGAGTCGCTCCATCGTCAGCGATATTCATCATGGCCGACGCTTGCGCGCAGTTCCGCGCGTGATTCAAGGAGAGTTCAAGGTCAATCAATTCGGGCGTGGAAAACATGAACGTTAAAATTTGCCGATAGTTATCTGGTCTAATCTAGTTCAGGTATTATCTCGTCCCATCACACGTGTTTTGGCGGATTGGCGTCGGCCATGATCAGTATTGCCGACGATGGAACAACTCCTTTTACAAAATGTTCACCTGTGCCGTAGTATTGCTTTGGAAGCAGGAAGCTCAAAAAACCGCAAATTTCTTACGCAGACTGTGAAGTTATGAGTGCATTTCAGACTTTGCCGATGCGCTCATCGTGATTTTTGAGGCATTATCTATAAGAAACAACTCTTATTTTTGCTCTAGCAAAAGTTTGCAACAGGTCCATTGAGAGTTTTAGCCTAATTCTGATGAATATCAAAAGTTAGGGCTGATATAGGTAAAAATGCAGCTAACCTTTAAAGTAGTTGCTCCGGCTCTTTGAGCCATCAGATTCTCCTGATTGTTTCTGAGCAAGTCTGTGAGCATTCTCAAACCAATCCATGGAAGGTTCTTGTATAAAAACTTGCATTGTTGCCAGGAGAACATGTTGATTATCCTTCTGACATTTTAATGCTGAAACCATCGATTCCCTAAGGAGACCTGGAAAAAGAAATGAACTAACATAAAAACAATAAAACACAAAGAATTTACAAGTTTCCAAAATGCATTCTAGAGGTTAAAAAGATGGGTGTTGAAATTTGAGAAAAAAAGTTATTAGTGAATAAATATTTTCAATTTGTCTGTCTCTTCTACAACAAAATAAAATTCTCTTGAATGTGAACCAAGCGTAAGACTGTCAACACATACATTACCGACGTGCTTTTGCAAAATTGTTCTTGTTTGAAAAAAACGCGCACAAAAACGGCAGAATTTGAATGCTTCAAGCCATAGTTTCCGCTGATTTCCGTAGTTCTCACGTTTGAAGGGCCCATAAACAGTGCCTCTGTCACATAGAGGTGCGATGAAAAGGCGCTGTCCCAATTGCTGGTCTCTGTGATTGTTTTGGAGCAGTTTGATCGACAAAAAACAGTCACTATGACCACCTGATCAGTGAACACGTAAATCACCAATAGCCTTCCTGTTAAATTCCTACTCCTACAATGGACCACTAGACGAAGTACAAATTTAAGTATTCTTGATATATGTTTTCTCTTCAAAATTTCGAGTTTTTCACGATTTGCACAAAGAAAATTACTGAAATTAAGTCTTACCCAAGAGGTAAACGTTTCTATTTAGCACTGGTTACGAAAATCTGGATTTATCTCACAAAAAAACCTGAATCTACATAGATCAAAACGCTAACTATAACGGTCTCAACTGCTGAGCCAGGGGGCTGAGATTAAAGTTGCATATTTTCACACCTCAGGGCCTGTTGCGGTAAGTTTAAAGTGCAATTTAACTCAAGCTGATCGTGGTTTTTTTCATGAGCAGGAAATTTGAATTTATACATCGAAAAACGTTAATATTTTGGTTGGGAGTTAATTTCAGTAGTTTTTGTTATGCAAACCGTGTTCGACACGAAATTTTGCTGAGAAAATTTAAATACATCATGATGCTTGAGTTCGCACCTTGCTTAGTGGTTCATTGCCAACTTTTACGAAATAAATTTAAAACAAATTTGAAATTTTTATGCTCAACCAGTTGCTGAGGGTGGCTTAAAAATCAAAGTCTGTTGTACCGAATTCTTTGAATGGTTCAGCCAAGTCCAGGATGTGAGGAGTCAACCTGAAAGGTATTAATTCTGGGACAGGGAGAATTTGTGTGGCTGATCCAAATGCATGTCCAAAGTCGATTCCTGGAATAATAATATGATAGATTAAAAAACACTGAGAAGGCAGAGTTAAAAGTTTTGATGAAATTCAAACGAAAAAATTCGGTCTTCTCAGGGTAGATCATATTGTAAAATTTTACAGCTTTTCTCCTCCTGATTTCCATTGTGGAACTCTAAGTACAAAATAAAACTTGTCTACGGTTATTTTCGAGGTAACGGACATCAATCCTTAGAGCAATAGTAACAAGTTTATAAAAACTGGTTGAAATTCCTTTTGTATCATGATACCTCCCTTCAAGGGTAGTCTTATGTGCTTGGGGATGCCTTTAGTTTGTTCTTGATTGAAAATGAAAAAAGATGTCTAACTCAAAGCTTTTGTCTTTTCTGAAAATTTTATTATTGTGGACTTGCGTTCTTTTAGAATTACAAGATTAAAAAAATTACAGTTTTAAGATACAAAATGGATCAAGAGTTGTGGCGTGGCAGTTAAGTGGTTCAAGAAATAAAAGGGAATACTCCCCAATCTACTTGAAACACAACCCTTCTGGATCAATTTTTATTAGATGAATTAAAATGTTGAGGTCGAAATTGGGCAGAGTAGAAGTTAGTCAGCACAGTTGATTTTCTCTTTAAAAAAATACCTACCTAAACACTTTCCCGTGAAAAGATTGACCAGTGTGTTAGAGAGATGGCGATCACCAATACCAAGTATCCAGTGGCAGATGGACATGACCGCGTAACTGCATAAGAACTCATTGCGCATACTGATGAAGGCTTCTAAATTCAACGAATTTGACATGAATGATTTTCTGAAATTGGACATTGAAAAGTTAATTACGGTAGAGTCTTGACTAGCTGATGGCTTTATCATACAACATGATTTTACCGCTGAAACGTGGCTTTTCCAGACACGTCACCACTGAAACCAGCTTTTGGGGCAAAATTGATGTATGTGCAATTTTTTGTATCATTCATCCAAAAATAAATGCCCATGTTTTACAAATGCAATGGAAATTTGGCCAAGCTCGTACATACTGGAGTTACTGGTTACAAACAGAACCTGAAATGACATTTTTCCAGTCTTTTTTTTATGGTTTTGATTATCCAACATTTTTGTTATCCAACATCCCTGACCGTCACATAATGTCTGATAATCAAGGATCTACTGTACTAACAAAAAGAGATGATCAATGGTAAAAATTGTCATCTAGATATATATAGCTCAAAACCACACTGACATCACCCTTACACTAGTGATTAACAATAATAGAATCATCCAGGCGTAACTGTAAATAAAGGAATAAATTAAATAAATCAATGAGTAAATAGGTATGAAATGAGTAAATTTCAACATAAATAAACGTGAAAATTCGGATGCAAAGGCATTTCTTTCTAATGGTCTTTTATTTCAGTTTCTTTTGAAAATTTGAAAAAAATTATCTAGAATTCTAGACGCTATATTTGATTATCTTGAAATCTATATTATTGAGGACAATTTTTGGCACCAGTGCAATTATATTTGGTGAGAGGAGTGGAAGTCTAAGTTGGTGAGATCTTTTTGCTCACCTGGCCAAACTGAATTTTCCAGCCAAAATTGTTAAAACAGAGAGAATTTTAAACATATTGTTTTTTTGTATTCTAACATATTAAAACAACAAAGAAGTAAACTTTTTTCGAAGGTCTAGTGCAGTGCAGGTAAAGGAGTTGAAGTTTTTCATTATTTTCGATTGATTGCATTTTTGAGTTAGAAGTCATAATGTCAAAGATGAAATTTTAGGGAAAATTAAAAGAATAAGAATGGTAAGCAAGTGTAACAATGAATGGAAGAGGGGAAAATGAAATAATTAAAGTGATATAACAGAGATAAAAGTTATCATGAAACTAAAAAAAATTATCTCCACCTTACTCCTTCCTCTCGAATTCTGCATACAGGATACATTTTAATCTCTTCAAATTGATAAATCACCCATAAAGCTGAGTTAAATTTACCTCAAGTTGATTTTTTCTAATTTTGATACGTGTTCATTGTAGGTGTTGATGACCACTTGACGAGAGTAAGTTTGTGCTGCACTTCCATATATACGACCAGCTGTTGGATTTGTGCGACAACATTTTGACAGCCAAGTAGAGTAATGTTCTGCCACCTGTTTTTTGCTGAATTTAACAAAAAAAACGTCAAAATGATGAAATTTAAACAAAAAATAAATAAAAGAGACTTTCAGAAAACATCAAATACATATACAAAGTTAAAACACTCTGATGATGACAGGAAAAGATATCAGAACGTATGCTTGAGTAAGCTATTAAACAATGTATGGCCTATTGTCAACAATACATTAGGTTGACAACAAACCATAAAAGTTTGGACATTTTTTATTAAGAATTTTCAAACTGTTAATCATGCTGGTCAAAAAGGCAATTAAATTCACCAAGGCTGGGGGACAATGAATGAAAAAAATTGGTGGTCACCATATTTTAAGCTTGCGTACAAACGTTCAGTGTTGCAAATATTGACAGAAAAAATAAAGTAAATATGAAGAAGATGATCAGAAATCATCTTATGGGTACAGGTATAAAAAATAGAAAAAAAGTTGGAAGTACCAACATTTTGTGTAGAAAACGACTGCAACCTATGGGGTGGACTAGGGTGGGACTTATTTTTTTAAATCGACAAAACCATATGTTGCACGGTCTTAAATGGTTCTATGTGATAAAAAAACACGGTAGCCAAGAGGATTTTGAGAAAAAAAATTTTTAACCCGGCGCGCACAGAGCCTAAACATCGAGATTTTTCCGGTTTTTTTGGCATTTTCGCCGTATATTTTTGATATTTTTGCCAGCAACACGGATTCTACGCTAGATGTCCAAAAATTGGTACAAACCTAGCACATACCTTGCAGATTAAGGGAAAATTTTTGTTTTTCTCCTAGGTCACTCTCAGTTCGCTTGGTAATGTCGAAACTCTCCGCTCGGCAGCTCTAAAAATCGAAATTTCGCCGTTTTTTAACGTATAATGAACTTTTTGAGCAACCTATTATGGTAGTAAAAATCCGAAAATTTGTGGAAAGCAAGTCCATACCATCAGTATGGAAGGGCAAATGTCAGAAAACTCCTACGTCTTTTACTTTCTGCCAAGCTATGCCCATAATGGTGGAAAACTTGTCAAAAATAGCTCAATTTTGACCGTTTTTTCGCGTTCGAAAATTGATTGGACACCCTGTAATGACAATGAAGGTCCGAAAATTTGTGGAAAGTAAGTTCATACCATCTGTATGAAATAAAAAATTTTACTTGGTTCATACGTCTTATATTCTTCGTCCTGCGATACCCGAAATGGCAGCGAAAACGTCAAAAATACCTCAAATTGGCCGTTTTTTGATAATTTTTTGGAACACCTTGTAGTGGTAGTGGAGGTCCGAGAATTTGTGCAAAGTAAGTTCATACCCTCCGCAAGGGATAAAAAAATCTACTTGGTTCCTATGTCTTACATTCCTCGTTGTGCGGTGCCCGCAATCACTTCGAAAACGTCAAAAATACCTCAATTCGGCCGTTTCTTCAATGGCAACATTTATTAGACACCCTACAATGACACTGGAAGTTCGAAAATTGGGGAAAAGCAAGTCCATACCACCAGTTTAAAAGGGCAAATTTCAAAAGGTCCATAGATGTTTGATTCTTGGTCGCACGGTGTCTTCAGATACACACAAATCGTGAAAAATACCTCCATTTTGACCGGTCTTTCGCCATTAAAATTTAATAGACACCCTGTAACGGCAACAGAGGTCGAAAAATTTGCTGAAAGTAAGATCATTCCATCTTCATGCAATGAAAAATTCTACATCGTTCCTATGGTATGCATTCCTCGGTGTGCGGTGCCCGCAATCGCATCGGAAACGTCAAATATATCTGAATTCGGCCAATTTTTCGCGTGTGAAATTTTTTGGCACCCTGTTATGACATCAGTGACTCTTAAAAGTGCCAAGTAAATATACGTTGTTTATACATCTGAAAGGAACGGCAATTTTTCAAAGACCCTTACATTTATAATTGTTTTCGCTAGACGCCCTGAAGTGAGGCGAAATTTTCTAAAATACCTAAATTTATCCATTCCTTTCTTTCAACACTAGCTTCTTACATAGTTTCGGACCTCCGCTATCAGTACAGGGTGTCTGCAAAAATAATTCGGTGAAAAAAATTGACCGCATTCAGGTATATTTGACGTTTCCGATGCGATTGCGGGCACCGCACACCGAGGAATGCATACCATAGGAACGATGTAGAATTTTTCATTGCATGAAGATGGAATGATCTTACTTTCAGCAAATTTTTCGACCTCTGTTGCCGTTACAGGGTGTCTATTAAATTTTAATGGCGAAAGACCGGTCAAAATGGAGGTATTTTTCACGATTTGTGTGTATCTGAAGACACCGTGCGACCAAGAATCAAACATCTATGGACCTTTTGAAATTTGCCCTTTTAAACTGGTGGTATGGACTTGCTTTTCCCCAATTTTCGAACTTCCAGTGTCATTGTAGGGTGTCTAATAAATGTTGCCATTGAAGAAACGGCCGAATTGAGGTATTTTTGACGTTTTCGAAGTGATTGCGGGCACCGCACAACGAGGAATGTAAGACATAGGAACCAAGTAGATTTTTTTATCCCTTGCGGAGGGTATGAACTTACTTTGCACAAATTCTCGGACCTCCACTACCACTACAAGGTGTTCCAAAAAATTATCAAAAAACGGCCAATTTGAGGTATTTTTGACGTTTTCGCTGCCATTTCGGGTATCGCAGGACGAAGAATATAAGACGTATGAACCAAGTAAAATTTTTTATTTCATACAGATGGTATGAACTTACTTTCCACAAATTTTCGGACCTTCATTGTCATTACAGGGTGTCCAATCAATTTTCGAACGCGAAAAAACGGTCAAAATTGAGCTATTTTTGACAAGTTTTCCACCATTATGGGCATAGCTTGGCAGAAAGTAAAAGACGTAGGAGTTTTCTGACATTTGCCCTTCCATACTGATGGTATGGACTTGCTTTCCACAAATTTTCGGATTTTTACTACCATAATAGGTTGCTCAAAAAGTTCATTATACGTTAAAAAACGGCGAAATTTCGATTTTTAGAGCTGCCGAGCGGAGAGTTTCGACATTACCAAGCGAACTGAGAGTGACCTAGGAGAAAAACAAAAATTTTCCCTTAATCTGCAAGGTATGTGCTAGGTTTGTACCAATTTTTGGACATCTAGCGTAGAATCCGTGTTGCTGGCAAAAATATCAAAAATATACGGCGAAAATGCCAAAAAAACCGGAAAAATCTCGATGTTTAGGCTCTGTGCGCGCCGGGTTAAAAATTTTTTTTCTCAAAATCCTCTTGGCTACCGTGTTTTTTTATCACATAAAACCATTTAAGACCGTGCAACATATGGTTTTGTCGATTTAAAAAAATAAGTCCCACCCTAGGGTGGACCCTATTCATACAATATCTTGAAGAGGCCCTTTTTTCCGACAAGAATTTAATCCGAAAATCAAATTAGGATGAGCACCTTTCACAAAATATCATAATGAGGTCATTTCTCAGGATTGAGCAAAATCGAAAATTGCCATGTTAGGTGCAAACGAGCCCACGACTAAAATGAATGGAGCAATTCAGATGAGAGGATGCAATGAATGATTGTAAATCAAGGCTTTTCCAGCCCTCCTCAACATCTGAGGATTAAACGAGGGATTCGGAAAAGATTTAATGACGCAGTGTGACCTAAAAAATATGAAGTGAGGAATAGATTTTACAACTAGTTGATGGCTTTTAAAGCTTGCAAATGCAATGTTGAGCATGGAATTTTTAAAGAGAGAAAAAACACATAGAAAAGGTAAGATTTCCAAGAAGAATAAGATGTTGGAAGAAAGTATGGCATTGCAAGGCAGAGATGAAAAGTAGGGGATGAATGAGATCTTAGGGAGAGATAAAGAGAAATTTTAAACAATAGGATTGGCGGAGAAAAAATTTAGCAGAGTAGAAACCATCCAAAAATAAAATTCCCATATGGAACATCATGCTACATATATTTTTGCATGGACGTAAATCAATATAAAAGCTTGATGCAGCAAATGATAGGAAAATTTTACTGACTACATACATTTTTGACAAATTGCTTCCCCCTTCTTGACTGAAAAAATATCAACTTTTTTTCATACTCCACTTTTTGAGTTCTGTTAAACGAGGTTGACATACTTACCAAGGGGGAAAAAAGAGATGTCAGAAGAGATGAAAAAATTCAGTTTGGATGGTTCCAAAATCTTTGCTTCTAACATATGATATTTTTTTTTAAACACAGGAATGATGACTTGGTATACATAAGGCTATAATAAAATGAAAGAATCTATACTCACTATTTTTCTGTGTCAGATTCTAAAAAGAACTTGAACATTAATTCTTTCAACGGAACAGTATCATTCACCCATTGAATTAATCCTAGGCTTGAGCTAAGTGGCACCACCTGCAGAGCAAAAATACAAACATTTATCAACAGACTAAAACTAAACAATTTTGCAACTAATTTTTTTGAAGGATGATAATTTTTTGGAAACTATATTTTCATAATGAGCCTATTCTTAAATAGTTTCAGTTTTGAGTGTTTGCAATTTCCTTCAGCAGAAAGAATAAGCACGGACAGAGTTGGCTCTTAAGCAAGGTCTCAGTTATTTCGACAATTTGTTTTTGGTTAATTGCCTTGCATTCAGGAAAAAGTAAGAGGTGGAGCTTCTTGGTGTCGTTTTTGAAATATTTAATCCGGACAGGTGTATTAAAAGTTACTGAACTTCACTCAACTACAGCTAATGCTACCGAGTGCAAAATTTTGAAGCGTGCCCATGCCCTTGTCGAGTTGGATTCTATTATTTTTCAATTTTCCGATGATTGGTGATGCTGATGGGCTTGCACACTAGGAGATCCACGATTTAGTCCTAACAAAATCGGACAAAGCAGACTGGCAACTACCAGCAGCATGATTTTTGAAACTTTAACCAGCTTTAACAGCAAGATAAGACAAGATATAGTCTTATCTGCGGGGCGATTATTGAAATGATATCGACTGTATGTCGCCGCTTGGTCGTGTTGCGCCATCGACTAAGAGCCACTCAGTCGATGGCGCGACACGACAAAGCGGCGACATACAGTCGATATCATTTCAATAATTGCCCCGCAGCACTGTGTAATATATCGATTTTTTAAACTTGTCAGGCCGACATAAATTTCAACAATCAGGCTGCAGGTAGCCATTTTCCTGGGGGCCCCACCCTGTTGCTTCTTTGGGATAAAGATAGTGATAGAGTGACAGGGTGATTCACAGTCTGGCCACAATGACAGATTGTTCAGTGTCCTTAAAAACCTGTCACCAAACAGAGGGAGACTTGTAAAAACATGACAGGGCTGAACAAGACTAAAATGCCTTGTAAGAAGGATCTTGTTCACATGAAAGAACCATGGATACCCAACAGTGCTTACCGTTATATATCATAGATAAGATTTTCCTTGCTTGGTAATCGGAGTGAATAAATGTTTTTTAAAGACAAGGCAGATAAAACAATACAAAATATGACAACATGTATGAGGCTATCCATGAGATGGTCAAAAAAGTAAATAACTCACTGCATAAGTGACAATTGAGAGTTTGCGAGCAGCTGTCCCGCTATTAGATGTTAGAGAACTATTCATGAGAGTCAAGAGTTGCTGGATCCTTTGATCTTGACGTAAATCTTCACCACATTTCACTAGGAAACTATACTCATTTCCATCATTTCCAATCATCGTTAATTTGATGGGTCTCCGCAAGGATTGCATGACACTAACCTGCCATTGAAGCAAAAAATTGGGTTGAATTCAAATGCCAAAATTTTCCATTTAAGACAGCGTTAAACAAAATGGAACCACTTTTAAGGAAGATGTTTAGGATAGTGAAATAATTTTTCTATGATTAAAGTTTACAAAAATATGTGTTTGCCTTAACAGACTCTTTTACTTGCACTGTTTGTTTGCACGGTCCAAAGTTTGTTTCTTTCCATCAAAAGAAGAGGAAACCTAAAACGTAAAGAAAAAAAGGAGAGAGCAAAAAACGGAGTGTCGCTACATAATACAGCTGATAAATTTAAATCTTGAAGGCATGAGGTTAGAGCCTTGTTTGATCGGATTCAAAATCAAAATATAACACAACCATTGTTCCCAATTTAGGGGTAACTACAAGAAAACCTCTCAGGGAGCACACCCACCCTCATTATTACTGCAGAAATACCACAGACGCTAACCCAAAGTACTTGTAGTAAAACTTCAACTGAAAGTATGTATGGTTGAAAAATTCTGTTAGTGATCTAATGATTGAAACCCTAAAAATCTTTCCTTCAATAATTTTTTTTTTTTTTTTTTTTTTAAGCAAAAACCAATGTATCAGAACCTTGTGGATTAAAAATAAATACAGTCATGCATCATTACCTCCGTTTTGAACCCAGCAATCATTATGTGATTTTTAAGATCAGGTCGCATTTTGCCAGAGTACTGCCCTGGCATTTCGATGGTGCTTGAATATGCTGTTGAAATAAATGATGCCAACCATGGACTGTAGGATTTGAGGGATATTCTGGCGTCTCTTGACGGCTGCTTGTGATAACACGGAGTAATTGCTCTCATTATGTTTTCTGTTTGTTTCAGAGCTTCTTTCAGTTTCCCTTTATCAACATACTTCTTCAGTTCTATAACGTCTTTCTTTAAATCCCCGATAAGGGAGTAAATATTCCCTTTGATTTCTGCTTCATCAAAGATTTCTAGAACTGCGCCAATACAGACAGCACATTTGCCATCATTTGCTTCCAGTGATGTTTTAAGCCGACCCAAGAAAGATTTCAGTTTAACATCAGGAAGACAAAGACATGCCATGGCCTTAAGGAATTTTTCGGTACCATAATCACAGTCCAAGAGAGTTCCAAGACTATCAACGATTGTTTGAGTAGAGGACGAAACTTTCGCTTGCATTTCCTTGCTCAGCCTGAAAGGATAAATAAGTGCATTTGGATACTTTTCCGCAAGTCTCAGTAGAAGATCTGACACAGCTGCAACTTTTGGTGAGTATAGAGCAGTCAGAAGTTGAGGCACCCATTCAAGGAATTTCCACTCAGGAATTCGCTTACACTGAAAAAAAAGGAGAAAATCATTTGTGAGGGTAGAGATTCCTTAAAAACAGAGGTACTTTGGAATTTTCGTCCAAAGCTGCTGAGGAAAAGAGAGGGGGAAAAAAAAAAACCCTGCTCGTCCATTCAATGATTGTTGAACTAACAGTTTTAAGGTATGGACTATATGCACGATGAATTTACTTATTCCATTACCCATTTGGCGTTATCGAAGTCATTGTTTTACTATGGCGTTTTGAGTCGTCTATTCTGATATTTTGATGGCAGTCTAAACGATAATTATTACAAGTTTACACAATATGTAATATTTCTTTAAAATGAAGATACACATACATTTTCTTTAAACAGTAAATAAAGCGCAAAAGGAACAGTTTTGCTGAAATGGTACTTTCTTTCTTCCTGATTAGTGATTACTCTGAGAATTAATTTGAGGGAGTTTCCCTCTCTTAGCAGATATTTTGATCGACTTTTATGATATTTGACGATTTTACAATGTTTTGGTAATGGCTTAGAATGGACCGAGAACTGACACATGGCATGATATCGATAAGTTTAACCTGACGCTGAAATTTAAGAATGAAAATTAAGGGATGAAAGTCGACTTTCTTGATCTGGGTATCAAGCTGCAGAATGACAGTTTTTTTTGGCATCCATAGGAAACCTGATTTTACCCATACGATCATCCCAGCCAATTCTTTCCACTGCTATCTGTAGCCACAAAACGGCAGTTTTCACCATATGAGCAACAGTTTACAGTCAGTCCCGCTTACTAGAAATGTATACAATGAAGAGCCGGACATTATTCTCGTCAGCAAATAACTGCAGCAGTAAAAAATCTGAAATCCCTAAAGGATTCCCAGGAAAGTCAAACAGACCCCTTCTTACGAGAAGATAGTAGAAAGGAGATAAGAGGGGAAGAGAAAGAGATGAAGCAAAAAAGGGAGTAAAAGGCAGAAAAAAAGGAAAACACAGTGGCTACATTGGAGAAAAAATTAAAAGAAAGGAACAAGAATGGAGAAAAAAGGAGGGAAAAAGATGAAGAAAAGAGGATAAAAGGGGAAAAAGGGAAAAGGGGAAGAGGAGATATAAAGGAGAAGGGGGGAATGAAAAGGAGAAAGTGGGAGAAAGAGGAAGTAAAACCCCAGAAAATGAGAAAAAATAGGAATGAAAAAAGAAAAAGAGGAAGAGAAGAGGAGAAAGAAGAGGAAGAGACGGGGGGAGAGAGAAATAAGGAGAGAGGAGAAGGTAGTAAAAGGGAGAAAAAGGTAAAAAAGGGAGCTGAATAAAAACGAAAATTTTCTGGTGACAATACCTGATTTTTGAACAACTCGCTCATTTCAGAAATTTCCAGACATTCAAGTTGGAGAAGACATGGGAATAGTTGAGTTGCCTCTTCTGAATTGTATTCCATGGCAGATAAAAGAGAACGTATAAAATACTGGTTGTACTCTTCCGGAGCCTCTTCCTGCTGATTGTAGACACCAAAGCAATAACGAACAATTTTCATATGAGCATCTGCTAAAACAGTTTCTTGGTTAACACTTTCTGTTCTACCTGCCCATTCTAGAGCTTCTTTTAGACAGAGAAAACCCAGCTTCCTCAAATTTTCTTCTAAGGGCGTGGAGAATAAGAGTTCATGACTCACAAGTTCTGAGCGAACCTTTTTTTCAAAAGAGTTTCTGTTGTCAGCAGATATCTTTGGCATGATTCTGCGGAAACTAGATATAACATCGGCCATGAGAGAGAATCTCATACATTGTAAATCATCTTCTATGGCCATTTTCCTCATAGAATCTAAAGCATTCCATGACTGATTAATCTTCTTAGCCTTTTCGTTTTCGTTTTCAGCAAATTGAGCACATTTCAGATGATATTTTCCAGTATAAAGTGTGTTCACAGACTCTGGGATATGTTGCTTTACCAAACGTAATTGTTGTTTTGCAAATTCAGAGTTCTTCCCTTTTAATGTGATGTCGATCAGGTGCAGACGACTGTCCTTCAGTGACTTGCACAAACCAGTTTCTAAATCATTGCCCAATTCTTTCCATACCTGATTCAAGAAAAGACATCGATACAGGAGACGGGTGTCCCAGTGTGTTAAAGAGTCACTGATGGCTGGAGAGTGTTTATTCCAATCTTTAAGTAGCCGTTCCATTTTAGTCATTTGTGTTAGGGCAAATGAATCAGTCGCGAATAGCATGTTCAAGATGTCTGACAATAGCTGAAAATCGAGCAATTTTTTGGTTCTTAGTTGATGAGACAAAGGATTGAGATGCGCCCAATCATTGAGTAGATTGGATAGATGACCCTTCGCGTACAGTTTTCCTCTCTCAAATGAGTCAACCTCTATTGCATTCCACACAGCCAGCTGTTCTCCGACATAATTCAAAAGTTCATTTTCCTTTCTCCTTTCCTTGTCTTTATCATGAATCCATTGGTTAATTTTTTGTGGGAATTCTGAGTTACCACTCCGGATAAACATGTGAAGTTCTGATGAAAATAACCATGGGGCAATGTTTTCTAGATTCCACAGCTTTTTGTCTTCCTCCCACAGCCTATCATAGTCAGAATCAAGGGCAACAAGAACACTCTGTTTTAGCTCATTCCAGTTAGAGCAAAGTGCAGTGCACTTAAAATAAGATTGTGTTACAAATTGACGCTGTTTTTCGGAATAAGTTTCGTCTTTATAAACCTCAAAATAATGTCTTCTGGCTCCTTGCCAATCTTCAAGTTGTTCTTTTTCTGTTGCTTTAATCAAGTCAACATTCCCATTTGTCAATTTGTCTCGGAAAATTCCTAAGACCACATCTGATTCACTGAGGCTATAATACAACTCAGCAAGTTTGAACCAAATATTTGCTTCTTCCGTTAAGTTGGTTTCATCCATTCTGTCCAATCTCTGACGCTTGGCAGATGGTCCAGAACTGAAATCGCTTTCGCTGAGGGCTGAAATTTGGTTTTCCAAAACTACAGTTCCTAAAGATAGTAAACCAGAGGCTTGCGCAGCTGTGGATACTGCATCAAAGTCAAGATTGATCTTTTCATGGCAAAAATATGACACTTCAAAGAACGCGCCGATGATAGCCGGGTTGAACGAGAGAGAATTTTGCAAGATATTCCCAATGCTTGCCATTACTTCACGGTAAAAATCATCCGCTCCTTGTAGTGATTCTTCGTCTAGAAAGCTTTTGAAGAGAGCCACTGTCAGATGACGTGCAGAGGATTGATCTTGTTGAACAAAAACCCGTAGTGGCACAATCAACTCCTTGTAACTGATTTCAATGTCTGGGAAATCTCCAGTCTTGTAGGTACGCAATACGGTGACCTCTTTGCTGCGTTTCTCTACCTCTTCCCTCTGGGCAATTTCAATGGCTTTATTCAGTTTTATGTTCTGTAAAGCATACTTGCTATCATCTTCCTTAGATTGAGTCTTTTTCAAACGATATGATTTGTGCTGAGACGAAATTACATGCCCTACATTAGCAATATCTGTTGATTGATGCGGTTTCTCAAACTTTCTCATGAAAGAGCGGCTTTTGAATTTTGAGGTGTTGACAAAATCAAAACTAGAAGGAACGCCAGAATCATTGAGGCTACTAGTAACTTGAGGATGATCAAAATTATCTGACACGGCATCTGACGCTACCGTGGGAGCAAACTCCAGAGACTGTGTGGCTCTGACTTGGGCTGAATCACTAAAAGAGCTTGACTGAGAGGATCTTTGAGTCGTGTCCGCAAATAAAGGAACGAAGGATGCATGTTGTCTTTTCCAAGCTGCATTGATTGGTAGTTCAAAAAGATTACAGTTGGCAAGGGGAAAGTCAAAAATGTTTTCTCTGCAACTTAAAGTTTGCTCTGCACAATCTAGCACAAATCGAAGGCAGTATCCCAAGAAGGCGTACTCGATGTCTCGAATGTACATATTTGAGATAACAAATCTCAGCCTATCTATAGATTTTTCTGGTAGCACATTATCTTTCATCCAGAATTCATATAGACTTTTTTGGATTTCAGCATTTCTGTCTACAAGTCCACGAATGAGAATTTCTTTACATCTATTTTTGATGTTATCCTCTATCGCAGGATTATTGCAATATCTGCTGTATAAAATAGACACCGTTTCAAAAATTATTTTACGAGATTCATCTCGTTTTGAGCTTGACACTAAGTTCAGGAATACTGCTATTACTTTTTTTTGTAAGTCTGTAGGGAGAAGGTTGTTAAGAAGTAATTTAGCGAATAATTTCAATGCTGCTAGATGACACTGCGAGCCACTTGTGGATAAGTAATTCATCCAAAGATCAATGATTTGAACTTCCTGGAGCAATTCGCACAAATCTGAGCCAGTTGAGTCAATACTCAGTTGAAGTAGGTCTAAACACTTTTCTTGCAGGTTGTTGTTTTTTGTTCCAGTGAAATTCACTATCATTTGACGTAAGAATTCTTTCACAACAGGAGGAAAACTTAGGCTAATTTTTAAAAGGCATCTATAAAACTTCGGCTCTGTTGGCTTGTATATTCGTTGCATTAATGTCTTTACTGAATTCAAAAGAGTTGAGCCATCATTGGTCAACTGATAATCTGACCCTTCTTGTTGCAGGAAAAGGAGGATACGTCCAATTACTTCGGCTGTGGGCTCATAAATTGTAGTTTTCTGTGAGTGCATTTTTCTAACCAAGGCAGATAAGTACTTCATTTTACTAGCTGATGCGTAAGGGGCAATGTTATTGACTACTAAAATTCCAGCCAGCATAATTCCAGTTTGAGCCTTTTCGCTCTTTGGATCGTTATCTTCTGGCTTCAACAAGTCTAGCAAGAGCTGGTATGGGATATCGAGACTTGACTTCCATACTTCCACCACAGTTTTGACAATTTCAAGATTTCGGCGGAAGACTCTTTTGTTAAAACTTTCAGTGTTTGCCATAAGGAATGATAAAAGTTCACTGACGGTAGTCCTATTTTCGTCCTTTTTCCCATCTGGAACTGCAATTTTTCTCCATGATAGCATTAGAGTTACCAAATCAGCTACGAAATAATTTATCTCGCTGCCAAAGCATTTGGCAGCAATAGCTTCAGAAATTGACAGGATAAAGTGAGAGGCATATGGTGCAAAAACCTCACTGACATTCAAAATCAGTTTACAGAGGAAAATTTTAATATTTTTGTGAACGTTTTGGTTGATTAAAGCCTGATGAATAGGCTTTATCCAATTTGGCAGATCAGAAGATCCTATTATCTCAGGTGGAGGCTGAATTAATTGAGCATCTTTCATTGTGTTTATCACTGCGGTTAGCATTGGCATGCACTCATGCTCATTGATAACGTCCATTTCTAACTCGAGGCATGCTGACTCGTTGATGTCAGAGCCAGCGGCAACTTGAGCTTCTTGGACAGCTTCAACTTCAACAACCCTATGATTGCTTAAGTCGTAGCTAGTCAGATCTTCGCTGAGGCTTCCCGCAAAGAGGCTTTGCGTGGAAATATCCATAGAGCCTTGAATGGGCGCTCTCCCAGTCTCAGATCTTGCAGCTCTTCTTATACTGACAAGAGTTTTTTTCTGCTTTGGAAGTTCGTCACTGTTAAAATCGACATGGAATCTATAATTTTGTTTCAGGTTTATGATTTTGTCCATAAAGCCAGTGGTACCCAGTTTGGAGAAGACAAACTTTGTGTAGAAGTCTAAAGCCGACTTCCGTTTCTTTGCAACTGATGATGTAGATGGATCGGAATCCTTTGATGATTCACTTGGAACATCCCGCTTTGAATTGCAAATTAAGGCCATGGTGGCATTAAAGCTTGCACAATGGTACCTTCTTAAGGCGTCTTCATAATCGGCTGATTTAAAATTGCTAGTACAGTTTTTTGGCTCCACAAAAACTTTCAGTAATTTTTGAAGAAATTCTTGACCTGAGCTGACTTTGGAGGCAGTTTTAAACCATTCAGTATCAAAATCAGATCGGTCAAAGTAGCCAAACAAAATCTCCAATAATGTTAGAGCAACTATTTTCGAGACAATTTCTGTATTAATCTCATTTTCTTTTGCAGACAGAGTGAACTCAGCATTGACCGTGGTCATTAAATTTTCAATGCATCCCTCATAAAATACTTTCAGAACATTTTTGCCTGATTTGATGCAGCAATAACGCAAGGTGGGCTCAAGGTAAGTTTTCAAAATATTTTCTCGATAATTTTCGAGTTCAGGTAAGCCAACAGCACAGTCAAACATAACATTCAACAAATCTTTTTTAATGATATCATTCTTCTTTTTGGTCAGATTTGCTAAAGTTTTCTTGATGTCATTCCTAATATTTTGGTTCAAATCTGTGCTTGTTCTGATCATGATTCTTTTCAAAAGAAAAGCATTTCCAGTGAGCTCCAATCCTGCGAGCAGTTTGTTTAGGCTTGTTTTCACTAGAATATAATTTTTGTCAAAACTTGACTCTCCCAAGATGTGAGTTTCTAGGGCAGCTGTGTAGGCATGAATTGCTGGCTCAATGACATTGTCGTAAGTTGCATCTCGTTGAGAGCCAGGGTTGAAAAGAGCAACGAGAAAATCTAAAATGCTGAATTTTAAATTGACATCAATATCTTTTCCCAGTTGTTCCATCAGCCACTTAATTATGCCCACTGCCTCTGGAGATCGGAAGCATCCGACACGATTCTTAAAAGTTTTCACCAAGGCCATCAGAATATCCAAGACAGTTGACATTCTGGCATAACTGTTGTCATATTTATTACCATAAATTTGTATTATATCCCACTTCTGAAAAATGCACTTTACTAATTCTGAATTTCTCTGGTTTATGTTTGGTGGGGAGCATTCATGCTCTTTCATAATAGCCAGTAAAATGTCAGCATGGATCTTGTCTGGTGTTATTAAATGGTGGACTGCTTTTGAGAATGAGTCCGAAAAACGACTGATAATCTGCCGGAAAAACAGGTACTTGAAATGATCTCCTTGAGTAACTGGTCGTAAGGAGTCCTTTAATCTTGCCTGGTCAGTTTTAAAAATAAAACCGGACAAAAGTTCCACCTCCTCATCTAGTAATGTTGCCAGTGAAAAGAGCGAACGTAAGAAGTCAGTATCTTTCTCTGATAAGTGGACAGTGGTGCCGTTTGAATCGTACAAAGAGTTAAATATTTTTTGATACAAATTAACAGTGCTGAAACTTTTATCCTTCAGAACTTTCATGAGGAAAGAATTCTTGCTTCTGCAACTTTGTATCTGTTGAAGGAGGACGAGCCCTTCAGCAACTTCATTATTGCTGGCTTGGTGAAGTAACTGATACATAAGCGGCTTATTTATGAGGTTCTCATAAACGACACTCACTTCAGTGCTGAATGCGTCGTGGAGTTCCGCTTGCAATTTCTGTGTTAGATACTTGTCCAAACTACGGAGCAACTCCGCAACAACTTCCGAGAACTTGAGAGATGTTTCAGAGCAAACACCTCTAGCTACAGTTGTCGATGGTCTTAAAGTACACAACACGATGAGTTTCCACAGAGGTTCTTTCAAAATTTCACAGAAAAATTCCTCCTTTAAAGAATTGTGACTAATGGTCAAAAACTTGAATAGCTGGGCAAGTACCTCTGTTGCAACACTGCTGTACAGGTTTGAATCAAGCTGTGGCACTTCAGCGGACCAATCACTGTAGAGAATTTCGATGAAATGTTGGCAGGATGTGGCACCAACATTGCTAATGAAATACTTCAGGGCTTGCATGAATCTTGAATCAGCTTTGAGTAACAAACCAGGATCAATGATGATACCACCAATCAGCCAAGAGTAAAACTCAAGAGCGGCATGAAGATTTTTAAGCCATGAGATAACTTTAACATAAGGTGAAATTCGATCCCTCAGAGGCTCCACAGTTAAATTCTCTTCCACTAGATTTGATACAAAGTCCTCGCCTTCAGTAGAGATCAAAGAATTCAAGTAATTTGAAGCTGATATAAAGCCTGGCAAGAAACTAGCAAACCGCTGAAATAACACCATAGTTTCCGTTCGGCACACAATAGACGGAGATGAGGTTTGCTTCAAAAGCCATAAAGTTGCACCTTGCAGAGTTTCATCTTCAAATTCTATCGGCTTTTTCCTATTTGGATTCCGACTGTTGAGCATTTTGCGGAATTCTTCCTTTTCAAAAACTCTCAGGATGTGCCTTAACGCAGATCTCAATTGATCTGAACAATCATTATTCTCTTCACTCAAAGACAAATTTTTAACCAAATAATACATGAGCTCTAGCCAATGTTCATTAATTATGGGTTTTTCTTCGCGCAAGCATGAGTGGATACTGTTAAATATCATAGCGCCGCCTGAAAAAAGAAAAGAAAAAGCTCAAGTTTTCTTCAAAGGGTACTGAACTACTTTTAATACTGATCCTGTTCATTCATGCTTTTTTCCATGAATTAACCTTTTTACTAAAACATAAACTATTAGCAGGTACATGATGCACTTAGAAGTGATATCTTTGAAGTAAAATATGGAATTATAGCTGATCAAGTCACCACAAGCTGCTGCTGAAAATTTGTAATTTTAAATTAAATTCCGATATTTTTATCACTCTCTAGATTAAACTACAACAAGCTACCTAGGTGACATAATTTTATATCATATCTTTTGTTAATACAGACTCCTGATCGATTGTAAGACTTATTGCCTCTGGATGAATCATGAGCCGACCATATCATACGTTCAGCAAATATTCCCACTTTTGGCTCCTTCCTTCAGCCATATCAGGCAGCTCTGACTCCTACCCTTAAAAACACCTCAAATTAAGAGCATCCCTTCCCCTATTAAGGAAAAAAAGGAGAAAACCAAGAAAAGACAAGATAGTGGATATGTAGCGTTAAAGACACGGAACATTTTTCCTACTGTACATGAAGAGTACAGTGGCCCTTTGAAAACTAAAAGTAATTACAGCCAAATAATTTATTTTAAATTATTTTTCATAATTTTGAACTTTAAATTGGTTCTGAAGTATTAATAAAATCAAATTTTTGTCCTAAAAAATTAGACTCACATTCCTTTTGAAAAATAGAAATTTAGACTGTGTGAGATCAGTTCAGCAACATATGTTAAACATGACCCTGGGCGAAAGTAACGGTGCCTGTGGTCTGCCAATTACACAATTGTAAATTCCTGGCCATGATCCAACCAGGCAATTAGAATCAAAAGCCACCACAGAGAAGCAGTTCATTTTTTAAAGGGACGGGGCAACTAAAATTTTATACCTTTGCTTCTTACATGTCTCTGAGAAGAAATAACTTTAGGCTGCCAAAAAAAAAAAAATGCTCAGAGATTAAAAAAGTGTGATGAGGAGAGGAACAAATAACGAACCAAGTCTTTTGAACTTGCAAGGATGAACGCAGTAGAGGTTAATGCGGGAAATTATTCCTTTGATGTAAAGAGGGACTTTCTCATTGCTGCTCTTAGACTGTTTGATTGCACCTTGCGTAAAACCTTTAATGCATTCGGCTGTGAAGTCTCTAACTGCCGAGTCGGTTGGATTAGTAATACCATCCTAAAAATGAAAGAAAGCAAACAAGGGTTCAGTTTCAATACTGTAATTGAACTTTCTGAAAAAAGCTGGCTTGCTTTCACAGGATCATCTCAAAATCTGTAAAACTTGTCCTCAGTCTTGAAAATTGATTTGTTTTTTGTGTCCATAAAAACATCAGGCACGGTCAAAATGATAAATAATGTTTTGCATAAAGTTTTGACTGCACTCATTTAACATATTATTAGGCTTTTTTTAAGAATACTGACTTCTCTACATAAGATGTTGAGTTTTAAAACAATGTCTAGATATTGGCCTTGTGATAGGAATTTTTGAGTTTTCCAAAACAATCTCTTCCCAAGTGCCAAAAATAAGTTGCAATTATTTACATGGTAAAATTATAGCTACTGCATCAGAAATTTGTGTATATTATCTGTTCACCGATTAGAGAGGCATCTCGTAATTGAAATAAGTTGTATGTAATTGTTCATTGCATTGCAAAGTGCCTGACTTTCTGTCACGTGGAACTCATTTTGTTGATTATTTAGAATTGACATTTATTGACCATATTATGTAAGAATATTGCAGTTTTATTGCATTGCATCTCAATTCTCAATTTAATTTCCATGTTTTCATTGCACCGTGCTATTGGATTGCGATCTATATGGTTTGAGATCTCCATGAAAATGTAAAACCAACGAGTAACACACACTTAAAGCTTCTAAAGAGGCAACTATGAGCCATGTGGGCAGAAATTAAAGTAGAAATGGTAGTGAAGAAAAATAGTAGAATGAAAATACTGACCATCAGAGCTTCAAAAACCACCTTGACACTGTTGGTGTGGGCTTGGAATTTACTGGAGAAATAAAACATCATTGGTCTAACAAGATGTTGGAATAGAGTCCTAACGACCTCATCTGAATCACTGCCTAGTTGTAGCAAAGCTGGCATCAGCTCTTTTAAAACGTCGGCTGTTTGATTGCTTTCCAAATTTGCCATTTGCTTATCTGACGAATAGAAAGAAAAAAATAAATAAAAAATAACTCTAAAATATTTGAGGTGGATCTACAGTCTTCAGTTTAATGGATAAATTACTAGATATATGAATCACTGCATAAATATAATAATGATTTAAACATCTTACAACATTTTTACAAAAGACTCTTCAACAAACAACGATGCATGGTGTGTCTTGTAATAATACACTTAATATAATTTAATTATAAAATACTTTTAATTAAAAACTTAAACAAGGTGGAGAAATGGTGCTGGGTCCACATCATTTTGCGGGGAAAAGTCAACAAGTTCAAAAATTTATAATTAGAGTCAAAAATAAATGTGTTTAACTCTAATGAGCACCAGTACAATACTGAGGGGGGGGGGGGGAGAGTGTTCAGCTCAGGCAATTTGCATTGGAATATTAAGTTGGAGTCACGGCGAGAGATCTATACCGGTTTGGGACTTTTTAGACCTCATCAGCAGATCACACTAGTCAGTGAACCGTTAATATTCCAATGCAAACTGCCTGAGCTGAACACTCTCTCCCCCTCAGTTTTGCCCTGGTACTCATTAGAGCTAAAAAAATTTGATTTTGACTCTAATTATAATTTTTGGAACTTCTTGGCTTTGATTTCCCCGCGAAATGGTGTGGACCCAGCACCATTTCTCCACCTTGTTACATACAGTATTCGGGCCACTTCTTACTGTTTTTTTTCTTCTCATTAACAACTTAAATTAATGTTGAGAATTGTTTCAGCTGTTGGCCATTAATATTTACTTGAGCCTTACTTCCTGGATTATTGCGGACTATTTAATGATCCATAACAAATTGAATCGAAAATATGTTTGAATTTCGTTCAATCGGCCAGGCATTCTTAAGTTTGAGTTTTTCTGTAAAAGTATCTAAAACTTTTAAAGTTTCACTTTAATCAGTGTGCAAATGAATGCTGATTTAAAATCTGAATATGTACCTACCTTGGAGAAGTCTTAGAGAGAAAAAGATTTTCATTAAACTCTGGAATTTGAAAGGTTCAATGCGAGCATAAATTTGAAAATCAAGAAAATAAAAATAGTGAGGTCCATAGCTGCACCTGCTGGGAATAGGTTGCTGTGCTCTCATTCCAAAATTAAAACTTCAACAAGGAACATAGAAGAATCATTTTTTACATTGTGATTGTTCAAAACATAAAGTTTTAAACTACAACTGTACGGAGGAGAACTTACCGTTTCCAAGAAGAACCAACACTACAGCATGCAACAATTCACTAGCTGCTACTTTCGTTTTGCGATTACTACTTGATAATGCAGATTCAACAATTCTTGGTAACATTTCATCTGAAAAACGTTCAAAGCACTGAGCATAGTAAAAAAAATATCACAGAGTGAATGGTTGAATTTAACAATAAACACCTTGTTTTTCTAGAAAAGAGGGGTATGTCGTCTTTCTGTACAAAAATTTTGCTTGGAATAGACCTTAATAGGAATTTATCTAATTTAAATGCGAAGTACAAGAAGAGAGATTCTGTAACAGTTATCTTTGAAAAATAAAATTAGGGGGTCAACTGACAGTCTCCTTATTTATTAATTCATTTTTAAATTCTAGTTTTGAGGATGAAAAATAAGAAGAATCAGAAAATGCTGCAAGGCTACACTTCCATTTGGCTATTTGAAGATACAATGTCCTCCAAGTCTTCTTGAGCACTACAGGTTTTTACAATTACATTCGTGATGTGTTCATATCAAAAAGTCAGGGTTAGAAATGGAATTTTAGAGCACTTCAGGTACAATAGGGTCACCAGGTTGAATGATATGGATTTTATATTTATTTCTGAGATTTATAGGATAATATTGTCATTCAGTATTACGCCATGCCTGGAGCTTTAAGAGTGTTTAGGCACCAAGTCTGGGGGGGATATTTGTACATTGTTTTTGGCATACTTAACAGCTTCATAAATAAACAGAAATGAAAGCCTTTGTTGGAAAATAAATCCACTGCCAGCTAAGCCATGCTATAGAATTCAGGAGATTTTATTGCTTCAACAGTTTTGAATTTTTGTTTCATTGCTCAGCCTGCTGAAAGAAGAGAAGTTAAATCTCTATCATCACCCATTTAGCGACAAAATCATTTAATGAAGTAGCCCTGGTAACATATGTTCAATACTTCATTTTCAGGCTCTGATTTTTTTTAATTTTGTCAATGGATGGTTGTACTGTACAAGCTCTCCATATTCAGTGGGTCTTTGGAAACAAATCTGTACAATATTATGTACCTTTAGCCACACACATACACTAAACTTGTTGAAAATTAACTTTTTATGATGACTCCTAAATTAAACTCAGTCTGGATTTTCTGACTACGTTACTACATTACCATGGCCATCTCGGGTGTTGCTTCCATTGTCAGGTATACTAGAATACATTAAAAATGTAAAAGAAACGCATCGCAAGAGCATTAGAGCATTGCGGTTCATCTTGCCACTATTTAAGTGTATACCTGACGATGATGGGATCAATACCTGAAATGGCCATCATAATGTGGTAATGTAAGGAGAAAATTCGGACTGAATTAAATTGATTAGTCGCTAGAAAAAGGTAATTTTCAACAATTTCAGTTTAAATTTATTCATTTACATAAAACACTTTTTTTGTTGGTTTTTTTTGTGAGTCCAATAAAATGAATAAAAAATGAAATTCATACTAACCTAGGTATAAATTCAAGCGACAATCCGGAAACGGAATGGTGAATTTCAATTGTTTTGTTGATTTCCACTTGGAACGTGTGCTGTCTTCACTTAAAATGGTCAAGGCTGTAGATATGTCTATTTTGCTTAGCATCAAGATAATGCGTTTTTGAATGCGAAATAATTCAGTATCCTGCCTCTCATGAATTTTCTTGATTTTCCTTTTTGATTTGCGCAAGGCAGAGGTTAGGACCTTAAATTCTGCATCAAGACCATTGGCAGCTTCTGGGTCTCCCTCAAAGTCTAAGGATGAGAAAGCAGGCAAAAAGAAACTGATGTTAGTACATGGGAAGTGGGAACTGATACTTTTGACAGCAGATGTGCTTTTTCTAAGGTAGCAATCATTAGAACTTCCTCTCATTCTTTTAAAGTAAAAATTGTATTTTTTTTCCCGGGTGCAGTAAAACAAAAAAAAAGAAAGGCTCATAATTGAGTGGTGCTATGCTTAAGCGATCCCATGTCTCTAATTTCAAAAGAACAGGATAAATTGATACCTAACCACAGTCCAGATGAGCTCCACCAGGAAAAATCTAAATATTAGAGGGCAAGACTGTTGTGAAAGTTTACATGAATATTCCGTCTTGTGAAATGATATGCTTTCGATGTTGAAGTGTTGATGGCTACAATCAGAAAGGGCCACTAGAAAAAGTTTAGCTTTTGATTTGACTTGGTTTTGATTGTTCTGATGAACCTGATTATAAGCATGTATTGCTATTACAGCAAACACTAAAAGTTGACAACAAATAAATATTTTGAGTGGAAAATGGATAATATCCTTTGTCTGAAATATTATCTTTTATTATGATGTTTAATGATTAATATTTGCTTTTTTGTGTTTTTGTAATATGTAATGATGATCATACCTTTACTCCTCAAAAATGAATCCAAGCAAGGCAATATTTCTTTCAAAAAGGGGTTAATTTTTTCAGGTGGGAAAGCATCTATCCATCGTTCCAGGGTTGTCAGAGCTAAGTCAGCTAATGGCAAGTAACTGCTTCCCACACGGAATGCGACCTTTTAGAAACAACAAAAGAAAGGAAAACAGTGGAGTAAAACATGAATACAAAAGAAGGTAGCTTTAAGGAATTTTGATTTTGTGTCCGTAATTTAATTGTAAAATAAAATCACAGCAAAAAATATTCGAACACTAAATTCAATTGAAAAGGATCATAATAGGGTAAACAATTTCGTGCTCAGCTACATGTTCTCAGCTCTTTTACTCAGCCTCTTCAAAATTCCATGCAGAACACGAATAAAACAGGAAAAGAAATTTTAAAACATTGCAACAGAGGTGCAAGGTTTTGCACTTTGGCCATTGACATGTCAGCCTATAGAATTACATACTTGGATAAAGGTGTTCAAAAAAATGTTTCTTTTTTTTTGACAAACTCATGTGCCAGTTGGATTACAGCCGTATTTAACTTAATCATCTGCAAATCCAATCTTGGTGTCAATTTTAAAAATGGAACGATTTACATAGGTGCAGTTACAAGAGGTGACATAACTTGTGCATTTGTGTTGACCGACAATAAAGTTGGCATGTAAGGACACAATTTACTACTTACTTTTGAAATTAGGATTTTACCTTTAAGAACGATGAAATCAGGGGTAGAATAGGATCAATGAAGGTTGTGGGGGCAGCCATAATTACATGCAAACAGGCAATTTGTAACTCATCGGTGAACTGCAGAGCCCTGTTCAAAACTAGTTCCAAGTATGACTGAACAAGAAGACGAAAATTTTCCGCTTCAATTGTTGTACTCGTTGTTTCAGTCTGAAATGTTAAATGAATATTAGACATAAAAATTACTTCTCCACAAGTATGAAAAATGTAACTTCTTGACTTCACCACATAATAGCTAACCTCCATTGGTCTATAAAAATTATTACTGGCATATAAAATGAATGGAGTATTTTAGTAAATACTGATTGCAACTGGACTAATGTCTTTGCTACAGACCTGTTGATTCAACTTAGGAGATCAATATTGTTAGGACCATGTTCATAACCAGCCTCAGATCAGAAATTCTACATTGGGCTTATTCATTTATTTCGAGGTCTGGGGCAAAAGAGACGCCACATACTGTAACGATGAAGGTGTTAAAACATTTTGGCAGCACAATGAAGTCTACATCGAAATGATATTCAGTAGTAAAGAACTCAATGGCATGAAGCTACTGTAAAGAGGGAAATTAATTTTACAGCATAACTAAAGATATGAGCTACAGGAAAATTATCTACAAATAAATCTGAAATATAGACTGTTAGATTTTAGGCCAAAGCGCAGGTATTTTTTGAGGAAATGGGTCAGTTCTGCTAGTCACAGAATCGTGTTTTGATGCTTAATTCTTGTGGATTTGCCAATAATAATAAGATCTGTCTTGACAGCAACTCTCTACATTCAATATTAGCCGCGATATCCCCTTTTGAAAAGTCGGGTTTTTGACATCATCCGCCGCAGTAATGACACCCTAGGTTTCTTCCATCTTGCTTTCATCAGACAGTGTGACATAAAGCACTGGTTGTTCAACGTTAAACTTGGATGAAAGTACGGTAGAAGAAACCAAGGTTGTCACTACCGCGGTGGATGACATCATGAACCAAATTTTTCAAAGCACCGTGTCTCGGTTAATATTGAAAGTAGAAAGTTGATGCTCAGACAGCTCTTATTATTTTTAGTTGCACTACATGAATCAAGCATCAAAACATGATTCTGTAACCAGCGCAACTGGCTCATTCAGATAATTTTCAAGGAGAGCATTGCATTTACAATTAATCCCCCCCCCCTCCCCGAAGAATTGCTGTCTGTCTGATGTAACGCTAGTAATAATCAGTCAGAAAGGCAACTGTGATTGCATTTCAGGTCTAGTTGGAAACATTGTCAGCATAGTTCAGTCTGTACTGACAATCTGATTACGTCCTCAAAGCCCTGCCACTTGCTTGCATAAAATGGGAGAAATATGAGATGTAATTTGACAAACCATTTTTGATCTTATTACATTTGCATCAAGGCAAAAAAAAACCATATGTGCCCAGCGACCATATGTGATTCAGCAGATAATATTGTAATAGTCAATAATCGCAAGTACTAACCTTGAAATATCCCTTCTCGTCTGCTATCTGGAGAGCAGTGGCTATAATTTTATAAAAGCTACTGACCAGCGGAAACCGAACGGAAAAATCGATAATACTTCTACCAAATCGAGGCAAGTGCTCTAGGAAAAGGTACTTATCAAGTTTGGGACACAAGTCTTTTAAAAGATCCATCAAGTTTACCAGCATTGTAAAATCTTTTGGCCTTCTCACATCATACTTAGATTTTATGTCATTTATGACAGGTTGATTCTGCAAGAAATACAAGAAAAACAATAATTATTAAATCAGGCAACAGCACAATTGAGCTTATTTCCAAAAAGAAGTCTATCTAAAAAGAGAATCCAAAGCAAGTAGTCTTCATTGGTCAGAATACTTATACTTTCAACCCTTCAAATTTAGAATTCAGACCCAAGTTCTGAGATTACTATCAGTACTTCTTAAGGGTGCCTCCAAAGACAGTAATCCAAATGTGTAGGTAAATACTCTTCTTCTTTTTATAGAATCAAGCGAAGGGAACTGGTGTGCAGTTAAAGATGCAAAGATCTCTGAAAATTGTGATTTCAGAATCCTCAGCAATTCAAATCTTATTTTTAACAAAAAAAAAAAAAAAAAAAAAAAAAAAAAAAAAAAAAAAAAAAAAAAAAAAAAAAAAAAANAAAAAAAAAAAAAAAAAAAAAAACACTGTATCTCAAGTAATAAATTACAGACTAAACATGGTGGTTTTGTCGAACTTCACATTCAGGGTGAAATTGAGATTCTCATACATAATAGAGGAACAAGCTCAATAGAGCACAAGCCTCCCTCAGAAAGATACGTAATTGATTCAGACATAGGTTACAACTAATTAGGAAAGCAAAATGATGACACAGTGCAAAATTTCTAGATTAGGAAAAATAAAAAAAAATGCTCCTGAAATACTTACTTTTTTAAGGACTTTGCTTGGTCAGTAGGCTCAGAGAAGAATTCCTTCAGCATTAAAACAGTTGAGAATTAAATTTTAGAGAACCTATTGATTTTAAGTACCTTACTTCAACTTGGATTACTATACTTATGTACATATATGCACATACACACACACTCACAACCCTTACAAAAAAATACAGGCTAAGGCTTGCTTTTTGCGAAAGGGATAGTGCAAATTCATGACAGCAAGATCACTTATTCGCTTTTTAAGGAGGAGTTTGCTTTTAATTAAACGGGGAGCAAGGCTACACTTATCTTAGTGATATGCTGTTTTGTTGCCTGTCTCTATCTCTTTTGCACTGGTTGATCGGATGCAGCATTCTTCAGCTCATTGAACGGACACGTAGCCACACATAGTCAACCCCCCCCCCCCANAACCCCCTACAACCCCTCATACACACACACAAAAAAATAAAAATTTAAAAAAAAGAAGAAAAAAACCACCAAAAGGCAGCAAGGGAAACCTCCAAATACTGTGTTATTTTGCAAAGCAGTCTAAATAAATAATAGGTACTGCATTGTGGCTAACAAATTATAATAAGTGAAATTACCTCATCATCCTCCTTGCGAACAGTTGAGAGGTCTAGTCTGTCAATGACTAGGAGTGCTGAGTCTATGAGGTGTCGATACAGGAGTTTCCTAATTCGTGCGGCCTCACATTCAGGAATAGCTAGGGAAAAATTGAAAAAATTGATAGATCATGCATTGACCAAATATTTTCGAAAATACAAAAGTGAAACAAATAAAACAAAGAATTAGAGAATTGACAGAGGACCATAGTATAAAATCAAACAAAAATATACAAAAGGTGGATTCCTTGTACATATGGAAAATAAAGCATGAACACAAAAAATTTCAAAGGGAATGTTTTTAAGGGTCGGGCCAAGAAAGGTTTTCTACATCAGTAAATACGGAACTGGATATCAATTTTTAGCATCCAGTCAGCATTGGATAGCTAGATGTTTTGCTGAGTTATTTGAATGGATTTTTAGAGAAGGAAACTAAGACCTTTTTACTGGGAGAAAAAAATAAAAACCCATTAATCATTTTCAGATCAATTTTAAACTAATCGATTGTTGCTAAAACCAGACTAAGCTTTTTGGGGGGAATGGTAAATTTGAATACATCAGTTAGCTAAGCACTACTGAATCTTAATCTCATATAAAATGAAGTAGGGAAAAATAAATTATTTATTCATACATGATGATCAAACTTTCTGGTAATTTGCATACTTACTTGGTTCAATGGAATGCCTTTTAGATAACCTTAGCAAACTTTCCCACATGGGCAGGTAATCTTTGTAAGAGGTAACCTCCATATTTTCTGATTTGTGGAATTCAACATCTTGAAGAATCAATGTGTCACAAGTTCTAATGATCCCTTGAAAAACTGAAAAATTTCAAGGGAAATTATTAGGGGCAAAATACTCGTAATTTGTATCAAAAACTAAGCTTGTAGGATTCACTCTTCCACGACAAGAAAACGCATGACAATTTGATATGATATCACTTAGATCTGAGAGGATCAGTGATTTGTGGATTAGTCTTGGGCTGAGTGTCAGAAAAGAAATAAGTGAGAATAATATAATGATAGTAATTACAAAAATAATTTAGATTGAGTGGCACACAGGAGTAGAAAAAAGCATAAGTTACAGTGATTTTTTTCTTACAAAAATAATTATGACGGACGGCCAGACACAAGTGAGACCCTCATTTGTAGAAAAATCTTTAAAAATATACACCAAGACCGAGGCTGATTTCTGGCACTGTGATTCGAGGCAAAAATTTTGCTAAGTGAACAGAGGCTTACAAAAGACCAAAAACTGCCTAACAGGAAGGGTTTAGCTGGATTCATAGACTAATACCGTAAATACAACTATAAAATTTTAGCCTACAGATAAACTATAAAAAATATATACTTATGTATTTTACTCAATCATTTACCTATTACTCCGAGATATGTGTCCAAAGTTTTTTCTGATTTAAGGCTTAAACATAAAACAGTTCTTTCTATTGTTTGACTAGCTTTCCAATTTCTTCCACAATCAGGATACATCTGAAAACAGTTTACTATGACTCATCACTCCACAAACATTAGTCGTATTTTGTTTGAAACAACAAATTGTTGCTGTTTTTTTCTTGTTTCTTTTGCGTGATTCTGAACAACCAATGAGAGAGCGAATTCCAATTTTAGGTTGGAAAACAGCAGGCAACAACATAAAAATGACTTTGCCTCTGAGCACGTTGCAGTTGTTTTACAACAATGTTGCTGTAGGGGTTCCCAAATTTTGCGGGCGAAAATAAGCCACGCACCCACGACACAAAACAACCTCGAACAAAATGCGATTGTTGCCTCAGAACAATATACGACTATTCATTAATTGTCAATGAGCTACAAAGATTTATCATCATAGGTAATTTTTAAAAAATGCACATCTACCAAAGCGTTGTACACAGTTTTTGAAATGCCCTTTGTAGATAAATTAATTCTGTTTGCAAGCAGAGGTCACAATGGCTCCTTTTTTCATTTTGTTAATCCTAGGCTTAAATGCATACCGAAGTAAAACTAGAAGACGTATGAATCAAGATTTTTGAGGCTTCAGGCTGGAGGGCTTTTAAGAAGCTTGCTTAAGCCCCTGAAATTTAGTGTTTTCCCAACAAAAACTGCTATGCGATGCGCCTCTTGCTAGAGTTTTGTCTTGTCTTGTGTCTCTGGTCTACCTGAAACCCGCTGGTGCTACCTATAAACATGCAACACCAACTATTTAACCTACAAATTCAACTGCGCACCTTCATCACCATAATTGTGAGTGTTTCTAGTGAGACCAACTGTTGATGCGTTATGTCTTTATCATTGCATACTAGCGTTGCCAAGCAATTTAAAAATTCTCCGATTCGAGCCATGACAAATTCTGCAGCTGTGTCTGACTCGTTTTTTCTGTGAGACATGAAAACAAAAACAGATTAATAGTGGAAATAAACTTACGACAGGAACACAAGGACAGACGCTGACGCTCGAATTAAAAACCTTAAACACAAGGTAATCTTTCCAACACTAAAGATGAGTTTAACCTAACTGACTTTTCTCTTGGAAAAACTCTTTATATTGGACTCTCCCTAGGAAAATTCATAGTCATGAAACTGCATATGATATTCTTTGATGTTGAAGACTTTATGTCAAACATCGCTATATAGAGTATGGAAATAAACAATTAAAAAACCAAAGGGATGTGAAGCTGGAACTTTTATTTGCTTCAGCTTTTTTGGCCAGATGTTTACATTATCGATCTTGTAAAAGTACACAATTGTTAAACTTACACACCAACATTGACAATTGGCTACATTTTTTTTCTCTAAACTGAGATAATCAAAAAAATAATTATGATACCAACTAATTGTAAGTCAAACTTATTATAGGTGAAAATTCAACATGAGGGGCGGATGCTTCACTCAAATTTCTGCTTACGTCAAACTCAAGCTTGCTCCTGGCCTGCTTTGACTTAGTCACAGTTGACTGCGTCATTTCCTACTTCAAAAACAAACATGTTGATTCTACTTACTCTGCACACAGACACTCTGCTCTTTTTACAATATCTGAGAAAAGGTTCGATAAATCATCTCCGCTGTACTTCTTGTAAGGTTCCACAAATATGATGAGTAAATCTAAAGATAGGTCCGCACTTTGGAAAATGCAGGATGTATTAGACCAATTCGTGATTTCTTTACTGAAATACTGAAACAAACAAATATTTTCACACCCTGCTTAGAAAATTACAAGACTAATGGCAAGTTATTTCGAGCAAATCATTTTTTGATCAGTACTGATGGTTCTACTTTGAAATATTTGTCTTTCAGAGCCAAAATCGACATTTGTTTATGGAAAAAGGTAACCTTAAATATGAAAATACCAGGCAACTTCTTGTGAGAGTGTTACTCTTTATGGTTTTAGATTATTAGTTGCAGAAATAGATTCTACTAATTAGCCTCAGCATGATGTTTTTTCTGTTATTTCTGGTAGCTCTCCGGGTTTTCAATCAATTCTGCTGCAAGGCCAAGCCTGGGGCCTACAAAAAAATAAATGAATAAAAAAATAAAACAAAAAGAAATTGACGTACCTCTAAGATTTGTCTCCCTTGATCAGTTTCTTTGTCTACTATTTCTTTGGCTATGACACGACATACGGACTTGAGAGTCTCAATTACAGCAGTTTGATTATCTTTATTTGTATTGTTGGTCAACCATTTCCGTAGATTAGTATGCCACCACTTGTAATCGGAAACTAAGAAGTTTTTGAACAAACCGCTATGGATCTCCATCATTTTTAACGCAGCTGTGGAGGAATAACAATCAAAGTAACGGAAAAAAATGAAAATCAAACCAAGCTAGAAAAATCCAATCCAAAGAGGATTGAAATAATGTTGTTCTTTTTATTGTTTTTATCACTCCTTTTCAATTTAGAAATCAATTTTTTATTGGGGTGAAGTTTTTAGAAAATGTATTTTCCTTTAAAACTGTAACAAATGATTTACTTGTTTACCTTAGGTTCATCTGATTCTTTTTATACTTGTTGATAGATATTACAGCGGGCCTTAAACTTCATCAAAATTTTAGCAGAAAAAGATTTGAATTGAGAAATTAAAAGAAGCAAGTCTCTTTGTTCCTTATTATGAAACTATAAAATCCACGATTGAAAAAATTCAAAAAATGCAAACTTGAATAAAAGCACAAGGTTTAACGAGATTCCTCTCTGAAAATAAAAGAAAACTGGACTATGCATGAATTTTCCGCTCATCTTATCGTTTCACCTCCTCTCTGTCTCCAATTTTTCTATCCTCTTGCAATAACTTTCAATTTTTACAATTCCGAAATTTGCCCATCGTCAAAATTTGCCGGTATGGGCTTGGGCCTCAATGCTCTATAGGAGAATCCCACTCTGTTTGCATGTCTTGCCGGTGATTTTGAATGAAGATTGGTTATCATAATCTGAAGTTTCTACACAGAACCTCAGGTACTTATAAGATGTAGCTAGTTTCATGATAGAGGAAAGACTATGGTCAAAAATTCACTTCTAAGGTGTCAGAAGTTTCAATGAAAAAACGAAGTAGTGATATTAATGGCAGAATTACAAATAGTAATGTTGTATGTGCAACACAGGAAGTAGAAACTACAAAATTTACACACATTCAATGCGAATGTACTAAATGATCATGTGAAGGTATGTATTGATGTATGGCTCCAGACTAAAGAAGGAAATTTAAGCCAGTTTCTTTCACCACTTCTTCAAAGCATAGCAGTTTTAGGACTTTATTGAACAACTTGTAATTTACCTCTCTGATAAGTTTTTCTGTTACGGTTGGCATCAAATATGCAAATCGTTTTTGCTAATTTGTAAAGTTTTTCACCATAACTTTTACTTTGTGGAGGGATTTCAAACTGTTTCATGTACTCTACTAGTCCATAAAAACATCCCTCAAGCACAGCAGAGACTCCAGCAGTGTCAGAATCTAATTTCCTCTGTTGAAAAAAGAGAACAAATTGAGAGGTTATTGAAGAGATTTAAAAATTGAGTGATGATTTGACAGACTGAACCATAAGTTGCCTAATTATCTCTAGTGTTTTATGTTATGAACAGAAAATTAAGCAACACTGAGATTTGGAATTTCATGGACAAGTACATTAAAATCTAGAGGAGAATAAGAGGTTTAAAGGCATTATGTTGTTTGGTTTTTTTTTTTTAAAATAAAGCATGAGAAGAAATTAGGGAATGTAAAGTGCAGTTGGGTTGATTCTGGTTAATGTACGTGTACTTTGGATGAGAAAACACACATTGCAATGCTTGATTTTCGACCCTCTCTAGCGGTACATTTTAATGATAATATTTTTTAAATGTATGCTTTTTTTCCACATCTTTTTACTATTCCAGTGTATCATTTTTTTCTTGCAAGGATCATGAATCAATCTTCGTATCATTGTTAATACGATATTCTTCTGCTCTCAACTTGAACCTTCTGAGCTGTCCGAACCATTTGGGTTCTGGCTAGTTCCTTTCTCTCATGAGGTATAAATTTTAATTATTTTTCAGCTCTGTTTCAAATAAAAGTGCTGGAACTTCAGCGACCAAAGCAAGATGAAATGGTTTCATTGAATTATATGTTTTGAATTCTTATATATTGACTTATGGTTCATGAAATTTTGAAATTTACTTCTGAATGTAAGAAAAATAATTTTGAATTACCTTGGATTCTTCTATTTCACAAACAAAGGCATTAAAAAACCTTTCTGGGTTTGAGTTGAACACTTCAAAATATGAATTTCCAAGATGTCCCAGAAGAATGTAAACTTGTTTCATAACTGAAAAACGAAGAAAAACATTGGATATTACAATAAAAAATCTGAAATGGTAAAATCAGACTGAGAGGAGTACTTTTAAAGTGTTAAAACCATTTGAGATGATCTTGATCATTTGACTCAAACATTAAACCTCTCAATACCTAAAGAGTTGATTGCTCGAATGTTCGTTTGTAAGTCCACAAGTCCAAGCAAAAGTTCGTTCTTTGAAGATCTTATCAAACGGCAAAAGCTACTATTTTTGAGTCATTTTGAAATTCACTTCAGGCCATTACTGCCATAGCTCATGAGACCTTAGGAGAAAAACAAAATACTTCAGCACTCTTGGAAGACTTTAAAGCATTATTGAGCCTTCTTCTTCAAAGTTTATTCTACACAAGTTTTCTTCTCCTACCCCAATTAATTTTGTGAGTTGTATTCTTCTGATTAGAATTACCTTCGTAAATGGATATCTTTTCTGTCCGTCTATTCAACATGGAATGAGTTTTTACTTCTTCATTACAATCTGATACCTCGGCAATTTTGTAACATTTAAAATTCAAGACCTAATGAAAAACAGTTTCAAGCCTGCACATGATATGAATATATAACTTCCTTCATGTTGAAATTATTTATTGATAAAAGTAGCAGTTGTTTGGGCTTTGTGTTACAGGAAGCCCTTTGAAAATGGAAAAATGTTGAAAAGCTTTTCTCCTTGGAATTTCTGACCACAAATCTTAAATTTCTTTTAATTTTTTGTAAGGATTAATTTTTTAAAAACTATAGATTGGCTGATCCTGTGCTCCACTGATGGTGAGTTACGTTCACTACTAGCGTACTCTGTTCACACACAAACACTCTCCTGACTAGCATTTATTTTGACCTGACTTCACTTATTTTTACTTCTATCAAATTCAAAAGGAACTATTCGAAAATCTTTAGAAACTTCCTTCATAGGCCAGCACCAATCTTTAGTCTTCATATCATCGGTGAGGATCTAAATACACACCTGTATTACTGAACTTGGTTTTCATAGCAAGGAGCTTAGTGATGAAAGGAGAGAATTGTCTTCCATCAAGAGAATGCACTGAGGGGTTGTGACTGATAAATTCAATCAAAATTTTCAGGGCAGCTTCTTTTGAATCTGAGGATTGGCTGTCCTCTTGAGCACATTTTACGCAAAAGCCCTAATGAAAAACATAGGAATTAAAATTTGATCAAACAGAGGATCCCCTTGTACTACATGAAAGGAAAAAGGAAAAGAAAGTTATCTAGGCAAAATTAATTGTTACATTAAAACTATGTATATTTTCTAGATGAAAGAAATTATTTTTTGATGAAAACATACTTTGTCAGACGAATCAAATACTTTTGCCTTTTTTGTTAAGACGGCGCACCACACAAGTTACCTCCGACTATACAGGGTTATTCAAAAGTTACGCACCACTGGCCATAACTTTAGTACTAATTATGATATCGATTTGCGGTTTGTGGCGTCCTTCCTCATATCGAGGGGGAAACTTTTTGAGGTACTTTTCAGTTCTTCACCCCCCCAGGGGGAGGGGGGGCGGGGGGCAACTCAAAAATTTCAAATGGCAACCCCCATCATGTGATACATTGTTAGAAAGAGCATGAAAAAAGAAAATTTTTGGCGCAAGCCGGAAGTCAATCTGACCCCCCTGTCAAAAGTTAGGGGGGTCCAAAGGTTATTTAGGGGGTCCGTACCTTCATTTTTTAGAGTAGCTTCGGCGGCTCTTGGACATACCGTTTCTCTTTTCAAAGAGTCCTCGAATACNACCTCAAAAAGTTTCCCCCTCAATATGAGGAAGGACGCCACAAACCGCAAATCGATATCATAATTAGAACTAAAGTTATGGCCAGTGGTGCGTAACTTTTGAATAACCCTGTATGATCCAAGCATGATCCAAAATTTGCATGGTTAAGTTTCGGGTGCCTTCATACATTTTTCACAGCTCAAATAGCAAAAGAAAAGGCTGAATCATGTGATTTACTCCTAATGAAAAATTTTCACTTGAGTTAAATTACTGATTTGTTACTATAGCATGAGATTTTATTATTGAAAATTTTAAGGCAAACTTTAACTACCTAATGATAGGGATTCCAATTCAAAATTTCAGCATTTGGTGCTAACAATGTTGAGGGAAACTTTGAAGACGTTACTTACTGCTATTTTTTCAACATGCTGTAAAACTCGGTTTTTGTGATCTTTCAAGATTGTCTCTGATATTTCTGAGAGAGTGTAACTGACGCAAGACTTGTATTTTGTCTTTCGAAGAAGCTTGTGGAGTAGTGTTATGATGCCTGTTTCTTCATTAAAAAGAGCGCTTAAATCATAGTCTGTAAGTAAAGAAGCGGAAATGAGGGATTAGATCATTAGAAGCAAACGCTTCAAAATGAGCTACCTGAAAAATCAGGGTGGTCAAAACAAATTCATAAGTATGCAGATAGGAAAGTTTGAAATTTCTGTTGTTTTTTGTACTCCGTAAAAAAAAAAAAAAAAATCTTTAGATTAAAAGCTTTTAAAGAGAAAACAGAAAAACATTTTATTCTCTAGGAAAACTCACTAAGTAAGTAATAGTTGTTTCCTTGTCTTCCAAAGATGTGGAGGGCAGAATCGGTCTCTGACTTAAAAGAAACAGCAAATCAAAAGTCATGTCAAGATTATGACAAAAATTGATGGCTGATACAATTCAGGGACACATGCAAAACGTTCTGAGTGAAAATTCTGTCTGGCCGCAGAGATATTAGCAATTGAATTTAAGGCTGAAATGTCACAGCCGAATCTTCCGTACGTTAACTTAGGCAAACAAAACTGCATGCAAGGAGAAAGATTGCAGTTTTTTTCTCCTGTCAATTTTCGATTTAGCCAGTCATATTTTGGGTTGTTGTTCCTTTAAGACAAAGATCAGAAAAGCAACACAGTACAACGAAATGCAGCGCAACAAAGCTGCAATGATACATTTCCCTTCATTTTTACCTATCCTTAATTATATGTACCTTTTCATGTATAGTACAGTCCATACAATAATTAATGTCAGATAATTTCAAACATACATTGTCCAGTCAAGTTTTATCATGATTGTTACAGAATGGATCCTGGGAGAGTCCGATTTTATTGTCATGAATTCAGATTTTTAGCAAAGTAGGCAGTCATGTTACCAAGACAACCGCAATACAATGGTGAGGAGAAACATGAGTAGACAAAGAGAAAAACATGTTTACCGAGATTATCAACTTGCGCCTTGAAGTGAGAGAACAGTGCAATCAGTCGTTGTTTGTAGTTTTCGGCAGCTTGAGCATCCGGTTCTGATGGGATGTGCGATAGATCCTGAAGAATCTCATCTATTTCCGCCATGATGTGGAATGAGGAATGATGGTTGAGAATTAATCAGGCAAGATACTGAGCAAAAGTACTCCGAATTGATACGGACATTCTGGGAAGGCAATTACCATAAAAACTTGAGGAATACCTAATTCCTGGACCATGCGGCACAACTAGTGATCATGAATCTGATGTTGGAGTGAATGTTCATTTTTAAGCACTGTTCTCCAAAAATTAGAAAAATTAGTGCGATGGAAAATTCATATCGCTCACTGGTGGTAGGTTTTTTTTTTTTTTTTTTGGGTTGTTGGAAGATACAATCTGCCTAGGTAGGCTTAATTATCTCTTTGATTATTTTGCTTCACCTCACTGGATCATTAGCTGGTGGTAGGTGGTACAAAAACAATAACATTTAGCATAACCATAACCTAACCTTACACATGGCATCAGATGTAAACACGATGTTGCCGTTTCTAATTGTTTTTTCATTAGGATCAATGATTATGGAACGGTTGAAATTTTTGATCAAAATTGTTTGTAATTCAATAGAAAGTTTTGAATGTAGTTGTGTAAACCGAATTTGATGGATAAGTCAAATTTCATCCGCCGTCAGCCGGTCAGCTACAGAAATTCAGCTACGATACGATGAAACTTGGCAAACGAGCTAGTCTTGAAGCGCGCCAATTTTTTGGCGGAAGATTTAAAAGGAGACATTGTTAGAAGGCTGGCTGGAGAGTCTACTGGAGGCAAAGACAAACTGGAGGCCAACGGATTCGATCATCGCGATTGGAGGAATCCCAAGATTCTTCATTCACCTATCACAGCGACTGACATACTATACCTGAGAATAATCGCCGCGAGGGATCGATACAGTCGCAAATTTATAAATCCGAAAAAACACATGATACTGCTTTTGATGAACCACAAGCAAGCTAAAAATAAAACATCTAAAAGATATGTTTCCTGGGCAGAATTTGACGCAAGACACATTGATTAACATCGAAAGTGACACTGCAGGTACGCATATCTCGTTTGAGGTGTTTCAAAATTTGCGTTTCCCATCTTATTTCATCAGAGAACAAAGTGACGCTGTTGCTTGAAATTTTCCCAGAATACTCTTCATGCAGAGAAGAGAAATCAGGAAGTTTCCCAGAAATGATGATCGATGAGTAGTTTACCATTCAAAGAATAAAGTAAGAAAGTTCGCGATGCCGCAAACCTAGATAAGCGTTGACTGCTGTTCCACCATCAATGTGGGAAACTTCCAAAATTAAGTCATGCTTAAGGAAAAAATTACCGTTTGCAGTACATTAAGTACAGTAGGTACAATGAAAAAAGTGAATCCGAACTTCCTACTTGCCAATGAACAATTTTGGATATTACTTATTCTTTAATAAAATTTTATCCCTCTAAATGTTCAGCAGACCTAGATTCTGAATGAAACAACCCACAATTGAAACTATAATCTACCATATTCAGGGTACAAACTTATCGGACTAAAATGAAATTTTTATGTCAAGATCTCAAAATTCAGGTTTTTAACCTAACTCAACAAAAACAGATTTAATGAAATTTCGTCTTCATGGACGAAGGTCCTTTTTCCCATGAATAGTCACATATACATAAAAATAGATTTTTGCTCTGTGTCAGATGACCCCAAGGAAATTTCTTTGAGTACGAGATAATAAATTAAAAAAGTTACTTGTTTTTGTGGTATAATAGCAGATTTCTTCTACTTCAAACAATTAAGTATTTGAGAATGTCCATTGTTTACTAATATAACTTGCTAAGGATTATTAAAGAGTTGTGAAAAATTAATTCAATTGGCAAATAAAGATTATGAGCCGTCTATCTCGGGCTTTCTGAAAGAGAATCATCACTCAATCTAGAGAGGAGTGGACATACTTAATATCAACTATGAAAAGAATAAGAGAATCAAATTAAGAATTAATGCCTCTCTGAATTTTAAATAAATTTATTTACAAAAGTTTACATTCTTACCTACATGATAAAAAAATAAAATAACAAAAACACCTTACAAATTTCAGAATTTTATAAAAATTCAAGTCATTTTCTTTGACAAAATTTACAACCAACTGGCAGATAAAATAATCCCACTAAAACTTGAAAAAAAGGTACACTTTAGTTGGCAACAAAAATTGCTTGTGAATATTTCATAGATTCATTGCAAGTCTTGACAGAAACAAATAAAAAGCCAATATTAAGATACTGTGTAACAAAATCGCCTAAAATGGTTGAAGTTTATACGTACAACCCATTAAACCCCCTCTGGAAACATTAGAAATGAAAACAGAAGCCATTGAAGCCAACACAAGGCAGCTTCATGGACTTGGTTAGCAAAATAAAAAAATTCAAAACTAAGTGCACAAGGTAAATTTCGCTTATTATGAAAAGAACAGACAACTGGCAATTCAAATGTAAATCCAAACCAGTTTGTCATTAATTTAATACTAAGCTCAAGTTACTACGTAGTTATGAATTGTTTTAGTTACGTTTCCTTTTTATCTGCATCCAACGGTTTCTGATACTCTTTGTAAACTATTAAGTTAATTCTTTATGAATGTTCCATGGCTTTCTCCGTGATGTTCAGGAAAATACTACACGCTCACACTAAAAATGTCTTTACTATGAAATTCAATAAGAAAAAAAAGAAAAGCACTTGCAAAAACTTGTAAAATCTATTCGTGGGTAACGAGAAGTCATGATACATCAAAACTCATATTGATGAAATAATATTGAAAACATGAACTTGTTCAGTTTGAAGTTTTTTTCTTCTGAAAATCAAATTGCTCGGCCAAGATAGTTACAAGCGAGTAAACTTCTTTTATATTACCAGAACGGACACCAACCAATGTAGCATTGACACAAATTTTCATTAGCAGTTGCCTGCTGAATGAGTAACTCGACTTGTTTGGGAACAGTTAACGTGTCTTTATGTGCAAAATCTCTACCAGTTAATTTTTCTCGCACTCTCGTCACAATTGCTAGGGCTTTTTTGTTCAAAGCTTCAGGCTGATTAGTATCTGTGGCATTTTCTGTCAACACTGGTTTTTTTGATAAAGTACTGCTCAAATTTTCTGCTGTTATATCTGATTGTTCCTGCGACGAGGATGAGATGGGTAAACTTGGTTCTGGCTGGGATTTTATTCGTTTTACCCCAGCCTCAATCAACCTCCAGTTCAACAAGGGGTCATAAACAAATGCTTCTAGCACTGCCATCAGGCTGTCTTTGTTATGGTGTAGCACTTGCATGACACTCTCACATGTTCTACGATAAGTACCTTCAATGCCTGTTACTTCCATGGCATTGATGAGCATACGAGTGAGTCGGAATGGAATTTTTTCTGGAAACTTTTCTCTTGTCATTGCCACCTCAAAACAGTCACCGAAATCTATGTGTAAAATTTTTCCGCTCAATCGATCCAACATCAAATTTGAGGGGTGCCTGTCTCCAAGACCTAGAATGTAACCAACCATTGACATCACAGCCAAAGATCGCGTGTAGTTAGTACGGCGATCAAACCAAACTTCTGATGAAGGTGATTTAAGCCACAAGAGCCTTGCCAAATCATCTCCTTGCGTATAATCAAGTGCATGCTCAAATACTTCAACTTTTTGCATTAGAGTCAGATGGTCATAATTAGGAGCCATGCGTAACATTATCCTATGCTCGATATTTAGTAAAATTTTCTTTTTATCTCTATAGTCTCTAATTAAGGCATGAAGAGTGTCACAGTGTGGAACCCAACCAATCAAACCAGAATTAGTAGATAAAGGTATGACTGCATAGCGCTGAATAGTTAAGTTTTGTCTAGAAGTATCAGGGTCATGAGATAATAGAGTGTTGACTAAACCAAAAAGTTGCATCACTCGTTCGTCTTGCCTTAAATCCTCATGCCCTTTGAGGAGAAACATATATTCTTTCCCATTACTGCCTTTTATACATAGTTTTCTAGGTCTTTGCTTTGAGGTTATGACTTGCAGAGAACTAGAGACACAAGAAATTCGAACAACTGGCTGTCCAGGGACATATGAGCCAGGTACAGCTAATTCCAGATCTCGACAAACCAACAATTTAGGACTCACATATTGTAGTTCTAAACTAGTCAACTGGGGTAACTGACGTGATATTTTTCTAAAGACATGGTAATACAAGTCCCACGCCTCATTCAAGTCTCTAACATTGGCTGAAACTTTATATCGATGACACCAGTCTAATGCTTCTACTAATTCTCGGCCATAAGCTTGGTTGAAAGATGTTTCTTTAAGAGTTTGAGGTCCTCGCTCTAACATGGCATGCAATGGCTCTAATGTTTCGAACATGCCTTTGACGTTCCGCTCACCAAAGTACAATCTACTGGCCTCCTCTAATCCTTCATGCCACAATTCGTGCCATAGAATTGCGACCCTAATGAGTTCATCACTTACCATAACTGCCTGATGCACCAACAAAGGACTGTGTTCACAGATGCTTTTTAAGATTTTATTTGCAGCCTGACGTCGGGCAGTGCTGGCAGACTTACTGGCAACTGTTAGTGGATAAACTAAAGCCTGTGGGTGGTGTTTGCCTATATCAACAAGGAGGTGGTTGATCAATCTCCCAACTAAGACACGTGGAGTATCAATCCTTGCTATCAACTGTGGAATAACTTGCAACCAAGTGTCAATTTCGATGCTTCGGATGCCTTCGACAATAGCTTCATAGACTTCTGGAAACTGACCGTAATCAAACCAAAGGGTGAGCAATCTTAGGGTGTCTTGTAATGAACTCCCATGAGACAACGCAATGGACCTGAAAAATCCCTCCACCGCAGGAACAGTAAACTGCGTTATGTACTGTGTCGGAAGATTATGTCTAGCATTGGCGTCAGTGGCTTGTTGCTGGTGCTGATGTTTATAAAACAAAACTGTTTCAAAATTCATGTAAGCCCACGAGTGCCATGCCTTGTACCAACTATTATCATGATCAGTTGCTGCTGCATAGTACTGAAGGACTGCAAGAATTGAATGTTCATTTAAACTTTCCAGATTTTCTTGCCATTGCCCCAGTTTCAAATAACACCTCGCCAACAGTCTTTCAAGATGCTTACTTTCTTCTGGGTGCTTCAAAACTGACTGAACAAAACCTTGAAGCTGTTTAAAGGCTTCCTGCTTCTTTCCAGCCATCCACAGATACTTGGTGTATGCAAAAGTGACAGGCGGGTGTGTTGTTGGTAATGGCTGATCTGGGTGGAGTGATGGATCCATGCCAAGTAACATCACCAAAGTTTTGTGAGCCAGCAAAAGCCTGTTTGATTTACGGCACAGTGAAGCATACTTGAGCCATGTATACATATTTTCGTGTGGACTGATGACAAGTGTGTGGACTTGAATTATCCGCTGCCAGTCTTCAACTGATCGTTGGCAACCTTGGAGTCGATCCCACCACATCCTGCGGATTGTGCTCTGTCTTTCTGGGATCAGTTTGTATTGAATGACCTCCTCTAGTTCTGCTAACATCTGTACAGAGACCATTGCTCCATATGCTCTTTGGTAACTCTCCCCGGCCATAGCTGTTAGTTCTGTGTCCAGAAGTTCTCGAGCAGAGTCAATCAATTCCTGAGCTTTAGGAAACTGCGTTCGATGCACAGCTAGAACTGCTCGATAGAATGCACCATCAGTTGAATCTCTGGGGATGCAGTTAACATAACACTCCATGTCATCCCATTGGTTGAGTCCCCAGGCAGCAGCGGCTGCCATTCGGGCCATCCGTTCACGGTAATTATCCGACAAACTGCCCCACTTCTGATTTACCGTTGTATGCAATTGACCCCACTCCCCTAGGGCCTCCATACACCTCATTTGGCCGAGGGACAATTCAATATCATCGGGTTTTTCTTGTAAACTAGCTTCGTATGCAGTCAATGCTTTCTCCCAGTTGTGTAACTTCTCATGCCATCGTTCTTGAACTTTCAACCCTTCATCTGGGTGGCTCATAACATATTCTAGAAGACCCACCACAGCCTCTTTTTGCTGCAGTTTATTATTGATTGAAATTAGTGCTTCAAAAACAGCTGAATTGGCACCTTTGTGAAACTCGTTTTCTTTATAATGAAGTGCCTTGGCATAAGCACGACAATGCATGGCTCGTTCTCCTAACAGCTGTGGATCTAGAGGAAGAGGACCAATATCACAGTGTTCCATAAATTCAACAAGATTTAGGATTGTCTGCGTGATTTCTGGCAAGTCTGGAACAGATAATGCTTGTTCCAATGTTCGCATGAGTTCCTGTTGCAGAGGTTCATTCAATTCAGCCCAACAAGATACAAATGCAGCGTTAAACAGATCTCGTGGCAGCTGAGAATATGTCTGGGCAAGCGCCCAACATGATCTCAAAGCTGGAGATGGGGATTCTTTCAAGAAATCTATACTTAGCCTCCGTAACCACTCAAGCCAGTCATCTTTTGAAACACGCCTTGTGGCTGTCCAGGCTCTTTGCAAATTGACAACGGACGTGTGCATTCTTTTAATTGTGGTTATAGTGTCAGATGACATTAGGGCTTTTTCTCGTATTTTGTTCTTCATTATACGTTGCTTATGCAACAAATAGTCTTCTTCAGTCGACTCGGTTAATATTCTAGTGGTGAGTGAATCATAGCGTGGGCAGTGAATTCTATGTTTTGTGACAACACTACTAACTAAAGGTACAAAAATACAGAATTTTCGCCCAAGCTGTAAGATTAGAGCACACATAGTGTCCATTGCAGTGTCTCGGAGTTCAGAGCAAGATTCGAGGCTGCGCACCAATGGATGAATTATTTTTGAGGCATAATCAGAAAAGTCTAAAGTGATGGAGAGATCATCTACTGTCTCCATGGCAACCTTACAAACACTTATAGGGCAGTCTGAAGAATCAAACAACCGGACGATTGGTGGAAGAATGAGATGGAGATATTCATCAAGGTTATTTCGGAACATGGGTAGAGCTTGGAGAAGTTTCACAGTGACAGCACGTTCTTTACTTGTGTCATGAGTCAAAACACGCAGCAAGTGAGGCATGAGCTGTGGCAGATAGTTCTTGAACTCAGCACCAAGGGAGTCAGCAATGTTTTCAACTAGGGTGATGAGTGTGCTCTGCAATGGGCTGTTGACAACCCATAATTCCTGGGGAAAAAAAGGAAAATCATTCCTTAAGGATTTTTTTGTTTTTAAAAGGAAAGAAAACTAGAAAATGATGGAGGGTTGCAGTTGCCAATGTGAGCTTAGTGGCCAAAGCCCCATGATAGCACATTAAAAAGAGGCTTTCTTTTCACCCATTTAACTTTGCTACCTTACTTCTTATGTGAAGAACGTTAGAGACTGATTTAAGAGAGCAGTTCATGGGCTTATTGTGGGAGTTATAGTTTAACTTGTTAGGTCCCTCATGAAGATGTATGTGTCACTGGCAATCTGCATTCAGTTTGCATATTGCCTCGGCAATTGCAAACCGATTGCAGATTGCCGGCAATTGTGGATTGCCTACGACGTATGCAGGGGCACCAGTAAACATACCATCCTACAAATCCACAGTTGTTGGTGACAAACTCAGTGGATTTGACTGCTTAATATAAAAGAGGACAGATAAGTGGAAGGACAGGATGACAGATCTTACCTTAATCAGGGCAAAAATATCGTCCAAATAATTGCGGATATGCTGTTTGACTATCATGATGAGTTGGCCGAGTTGTTGAAACAAGAATTCTCTGAAATTAATATCCGCAGTGCGAATGACGTTGAGAAAACTAGGCATGACCTGAGCAATGTACGGGACGCATTTGATACCCAATGACTTGAAAATAAAAGTTACAGCCTGAAAAAACAAACAATTTTTATTTTTTTGCTGATTTCAAGAAGTTGTTCACTTAAGTTACATCAAACATAAGAAGAAATGAAGGTGTACATGATTGACCAAAGAAAAAGGAATCTTAGTTTGTAGATACAACATTTTCAGTGGAGCAATTTTTGTTGAATTAACTCCAAAGATCATATTCTGGTACTCGACAGAAAACTCTAATTAGAGTCCGAAGGAATAAGTTGCGATCACTTTGTTTCACTGTTGCACCACACTAATAGATGCCCTAATAATGTAGCATCATAATCCGGCAGTTTTGGACCCTAAACATGGCTACTTTTTGAGCAGAATCAAACAGCCGGACATGGGTGAACTTTTAAATTTTCTAAATTTTGCATTTTTGGCTGAGAAAGAATGTTTTTAAGCACTTTCATATTTCTAAAAACTGTAAGATGATCACTCTGTAGAAATTTCTTCTAATTTCTTATTAGGGCATCAGCTTTTAATGAAATAATTGATAAACAATACAAACCTGGACAACCATTGTGTGGTGTTGGGCCAAAGTTGGATCGCGAATAATACGCATTAAAGTGGCAATTGCTATGGCAGGATAGTAATCTACTAAAGATGAAGAACCCATATTGACAAGCATTTCACTTGTTGTTAGTTCTGTTGACATGAAACAAAGAATAGACATATGAGCCGATGAATATATCGACAGTGTAAGTTGGCAATCACAAGACTCGTTTGTGGTGTCTGAAAATCTCCGCTATCTAAGTTATTTTTTAAAAAGAGAACAAATTGACATCATTCCTTGAAGTTCAAGCAGAATTTTCTTCGCACAGAGAAGAAAAAGCACAGCAGTTTTTAGGAATTGCCGTTGAGTAGTTTTCCGTTTAAAAAATAAAGTATGACAGGAAGTATAGGACGTCGCAAACCGAGTTATGTGATTGCAGACGTACACTGCCATATAGTGCAATATGGTCAAACCTCAGATACCCAGCTATTTGGGGCGGAGACCCAAGCCAGAGACTCTAAAATCCACAGGATATATTAGAGTAACATTATGAAAAACCCTGCAGGACTTGAAAAAAAGTCTGCAATGGCCTGTTTTCTGAGCATCTGTCGAATTATTGAGGCACAAGAAAACCGAGCACCAGATAACCAAGGTTTGACTGTATATTAGGTAAGGGCTGTTAGGACTGTATTTAGGAGAAAAGAAGACTGGTTTACCAGTTGAATGAGACTTGTTGTTCTCAAGAATTAATTATGCGTGTGTAGACACTCACATTTTCTTCATGGATCCGATTTAAAAAACATTTGATGCTAAAATAAAAAGTTCCCTGAAAATTTTCTTCCCTAAAATATTAAAAAGGGCGTCTGTATATACAAATTTTGTTTATTTCAGGATAATTTTTTTTGAAAGTTTCAGAAGCTAGAGAGGAAACTTCTTTTGTACTTTGGAGAGACTTTATGAAGTGACGAGAACTTTGTACCATTGCAACCTTACAATAGTTTGGTTGATCCATTCTATGTATCATATTATGCTTTTTTTTATTTAATACTAAAGAGTGCAAGAAAAAGTAATAATTGTAAGAGGTTAAAATTTTTCAAACAACTGCAAAAATAACTAGAGATTGTGATGATCCAATTCGAGTAGGGATTAGCGCCAATGAAGATTTTTGAAAAAATCTCCCAGGAGCCAAAAATCAATGCCATATTTTAAAAATCCATAGATTTTCGTACTTTAGAGCCAAAAAACCATTCCTCAGTACACACGCACATACTCACAGGCACTCCCATACACTGTCGAGTTTGTTACGTTATAATCATGAAACTTACCATGACTAGTTTCATTTTCCGAATTAGCATCAGACATGGACATGAGGGCTGTGACATCTGCTTGAGAATCAATTTGGCCTAAATTCATCTTGTGTTTATATGGATCTAAAGCACCAAGCATACCTAGTAGCCGAATGGTTTCTCGCCGAATTAGCGGCTGCTGTTCTGTCTTCAAAAAATTGATCAGTAGATCTAGAAGTGAAGGGTATTGGTTGTACGGTTTGACAACAAAACCAGTTGCACTGATTAGCTGACCAAGGGCCCAAAGAGCAACACCTCTTTTCTCTGGGCTACTTGCATCTCCGAGCATTTCGAGCAGAATTGGCAGGAGTTCTGGCATCCACAACTCAATTGTTGTGCCATTCACCTCTGCTACATCGCCAATGGCAGTCAGGACACTGATAACAACACTTGGATTGGATTCTGGTTCTTTTAATTTTGGTACAAGAACTTTTAAAATTGGCTCCATGTATGGCTTTACAAGTCGAGGCGCATTGACTACAAGATGATCTATCATGCGTGCACTCTGTTCTTTGTTGCGCCCCAAGCCACTGTGTTCAACCTCAGTCAAAAACTGAATGAGTATTTTGCGAAGTGAAGGCATGACATATGCAGGGTTCAGTAGACTGAGCCGAGCAATTGTTTGTACTGCTAACTCTCGAATGTCAAACACTTCATCATTGACAGCAATCAACAAAGCACTTAAATTTTCTGCCTGGGCAAGATGAGTATCTAGGCTGCGATCCAAAGATTTAAGCACCCAATATCTGACATCGGCATCAGTGTCAGTGATTCCTACAACAAGCAGTTTAGCCAGAACATCAGATACGGTTGTTGTGACAATCAGTGAGTTGCGATTTTCTAATGCCAAGCGCAAAAGTCTTGCGCACGTGCAAACTGCTTCAAGTCTTACGGCTCGATCATTGCTTTTCAAAAAATGATCAGCACATCTTCGTACAAACTGTAGCAACGAGTGACCTGGAAAATCAAAGAGGACAAAGTAATAAATCTGTGTCAGTAAAAGGCAAAAACTCAATTCCTTTTAAGAAATTATAGCGTAGCTTTCAAATTAAATTTGGTCATCACACCTTTGAAGCAAAGTATTAAATTTCATCATTAATTCATTATTCATAGTTTGTTTTATTAGATAGTAAGCCAAAATTGATCTTAGATTATGATGGAAATAGTTGATAGGTGATGAGAGACAAATGATAGAATGCAGCGCTAAGGCATACTACCACCATGATGATCTGCACTGTTGATGTGCTCTACATGGGCTTATGTGCTTAAATGTAGCAATTCTCAAATTTTCCTGTGCCTTTGATAATTTCATCCTCAGCTTTATTTAGCTGTGTTTTTTTAATGAGCTCAAGTGTTTTCATTTCCTTTTCTCAAATTTTGCAAAATAATGTGGCAAAGAAAAAAAACTTGTTGTAGAAGTAAATCTTGATACTTTCATCAGCATATTGAAAATCAACAACGGTAATCATAATAAAAGCCAGCAACCCAAGTCTACTTGACGAATTTCCATAGCTAAAAAAACATAAGAACCAGAGGCAAATTCTACAGGTGAGGTTGCAAATGCAAGTAATAAAATAAGGAAGTCAATTTTATAACAAAAATTTTATAATAGAATTAAAGGGGGAAAAAAATTTCTGAGGACCTCATAAATGACTTAGGCTGAGTCACAAGCCTAGGACAAGTGATAAAAAGTACCAAAATCTGTTGCTTCTAACTCAGCTTTACTCGCAAGTTCTTGCACTTAAAATGTAGCCCTGATGTTATATCATTATTATGAGTAGTATGCAGCAAGTTACTAAAGTGAAAGATTCGGGTGAGATAAAATTCACTTCTATTCTTGCATTCCATGAAAACGAAAGCTAATTTTTGTTTCGCTGTTGTGTGAAGTTCCTATTTGGATTTAAGTGTTATAATGGAGAATTTGCACGCAATTTTTTTATTGCTTCATCTGAAAGTGCCTAATGAGCTGAGTTCGCAATATTTTTCATAATTTTTTTCTGACATGGGAAATTGGAGAAAAATTGATTTAAAAGTGAGAAAATGTGCCGCCTTGTGACGTCATCTGGCGGCATTTCCCATTTAAACACATGTATTTTAGCAGAATCGGTTATTTTGTCATATCTCCTCTAATAATTGCTCAATTTATGAATCAAGGGTATCTTCGTGTTCAGTTCACTCAAAGGATTCCACTTAAACAGGAAATTCATCAAATTTCAGACCCTTGCAAATTCTCCATTGGCTTTGTTTATGCATGAAATAAAGTTTGAGGACTATGTGCCGATGAAAAATTCTGGTGTAAAACTAAAAGTTTCCTGTCTGATCTTTCTTTGGCTCAGAACAAAATGATTTACAGGCAACACTGAGGCTTTGCCTGATGTGTGATGATGTATATAGGAGCCGTTCACATCTTCCATGACATGCTTGCATTAAATATAGAATGTTTAAAATGATGGTGTAAATCTATCATCTGATTATTATAACAATTAATTGAACTACTTGCTTGAAAATGAGCAAGTTTGATTTCCTGCCTTTAAAGTTAGCCTGAGAGACAGCATTGGGCCTTTGAGCACCGAAAATGTTGAAAAGAAGGAGATGAATTAAAATAGAGCGCTTATCACAGTTTCTTTACCATCAAAATTAAAGCTGCCGAGAGTGCGCAGGGCTAGTTTGATACTTGACACATTTTGCTGCGTATCAGACAGGCTCATTCCTGAATTTGATATGGAAGACATGTTAGAAGGCATTCCAGGGTGGCGAAGAGGTTGGTTCATCAACACCATGGACAACATGTCTAGAAGGCCTGAGAAGTATAAACGCAAAAATTCGCAAATTAGAGTGAAACATGGGTTCAGGTAGTAAAAAATTCACATTGCACAGTATTTTTGACCACAAGCAAAAACAGGAAAAATGAAGAAATACAGAAATAAATGGAAGGGGGGGGGGATTTAAAGAAACTTTCATTGGCTGCGCAGAGACTTAAATTTGTGGCAGATGAAAATCCGAATGGGCTGGAGGCAAAGAATTCATTATTAAGGTCGAAAATCTTGACTCATAAAAATGTTTCTCGGACAAATATCAACACTGAAAATGTACACAATACAGATACCAATTTTAGTGCCAAAACCTACTTCATGGCAATTAGATTTTTGCTGAAGTGAAATTGAGTAAGTCTAAAAGGACTTCTACCACTCAAAACTAGATTTATGGTAAGATTCATCCAAATACATAGTTTATGGTTAACTATATATAACTGGCTTTATTGTTCTTCAGAAAATATTAATAGACATGGATAAAACTTGGGTTATGAACATCATTAAATATGATGATCCATGCCACAAGGTAGTGCATACAACATACCGTCTGAAATATTCCTTTTAAGGGCAGGTACTGTGACAGCGAGTTCGCGCAAAGCAGTTGTAAGAGCAGGACTTAGTCCAGTTGCAAGCATTGGATCAAGAATATCTTTCAAATCATCTTTGATATGTGTGCCAACAGCGTGTCCTAGCAGTGTAATACACACAAATAAAGCAGGTTCTAAGTTGCCTCTTTTCTTACTGCTCATGTCCTGAAAAATAGAGCAAAGCTTCAAAATCTAGTAATGGAATAAATTTCATGGTTTATTTTATCTCCAACCATCAAGTACTACCATAACACATTAATTTAAGGATTTTCTTGATATAGTAACAGGTCCTGTTAAAATTCTTCTACCAACAATGTGTTCTTCATCTGAAATTTCATTGTCATGACAAGCCTGTATTAAATTATACCATAATTTCGTTTGCCGATGACAGAAAAAAAGGCTACCTTCGGCAGAAAACATAGGAAATGATGATGTTGGGAATCAAGCACAGTGCTGTCTACATTTTGTTACTACATTCAATACTTCAACTGCAATTGAGAGGTAATTAAATAAACAGGGTGAAAGAATACACAGCAGTCAATTCTTCTTGTAACTTCACAAAATTTGTTGGTTCGATAATCTTCCGTTAGGAACCAGCTCGGATTTTCTATGTCTATAAAAGTCATTTTTTTTAATAAATTTGATTAAATGAAAAATGAAAAAATTTAGCTAATTCAATTTTTTGCGTTTTTTTTAAAGTGAATAAAAAAAGAAAACAAAAACAGAAACTGCAACAAACTCAATATTTCAGTGTCATCCAGGCATGACTCAAAATGGGTACTATTACTGTTGCCACTGCAGTTGCTCTATGTTTTATGATGGCAAAATTATGATAGAAAGAGAAATGTTACCTTCATAGGAAGATATGATCGAATCAATTCCATTATTTTTGGCAAATGTGGTTTGATATTGTCTTCAACAGCAACGGCAATAAGTCCGATAGTACTAAAAGCAGATGCTCTGTCCCGTTCACGACTCCTCAGCGTAGAAAGCAAGTAGGCTAAAGTGCCACTCAAATGCCTAGAATAAAGATATTCAGATCATAGAATTTACATTATGTGGCACTGAGAAAAAGGTTGATGGACATGATGAATACTAGGTAAATAAAAAGAAGGTAGAGGTATTATTTCCGACATCTTGATAATATTTTTGAAGACTCTGGAAGAGAAAATCTTGAGTTTTGATTTTTCATACATTATTCGGTTTTGAAAATAAAGAAATTTCTAAGTGACAAAGGAAACACAAAAATAATTGCTATTTGTTGTCTGAAACAAAAGCATTTCTTTGACTCGCTTTTGCCTCATTATAAGTGGTCATAGGTACTTGGAAAAAAAGCTGTTGAGAATTAGTAAGAATGAGAGTCAACAAAACGAGGCAATAATCCCTGACATTTAAGCGCCACATACAGTTTTGAGTCGACTTCACGTTCTCTCCACCACTTGTCCCAAGTATCAGCAAGGCTGCAGATTGCTCAAGAGGAATTGGAGGGGAGTGAAGTAGTCCACTCAAAACTGCCTGCAACAATCACAGCGACTAAAACCCGGTTTTGGTGATTGTCAACTTTCATTCTTCATGGTTCTCAAAATCTTGTTACTCCAAATTTATAATCGTTCCTTTTGTGGGAATGTCACTTGATTTAAAAAAAGAAAGAAAGAAAAATTCCAACTAAAACTGCAATTTTTTTTTTCTTTTGGAAAAATATTTGTTCATTTTAAAAATTGAAAAATTTATATAACACAGATTAAAAATAAAAACTTTGATTTCATCCTTAAAAATCTTAAAGAAGGCTCTATAACAAAAGCTTTAGGGACAATTTTCAGTGAAAACTGTTTTTCGGTATCTTATTCTGTTCAAGAGATAATGAGGTTCATAAGTTCTGACTTTGAAACTCCACCCCCCCCAGCCCCCCTTCCCCACCTAGCCACCCATACACCTTCCTAAAAGAAGTCTGAAAATTTGAAGAAAAGAGACTCAATTAGGAGTTATTGATCAACTAGGTTTGAAGAAAACCCGAAGCAAGGAAAAAAATAATGATTTCACATCAAGCTTTTTCTGCCAGCTAGATTCGGTCCATGAGTAATCAAACTCACAAGAGGTGGATACTATTTAAGTTAAGTAAAAACCGATTTATATTACTTACTGTTCGACAAATTTTTCCTTATTTAAAGCTGCGAGTCGTGGAAGAATTGTGAAGAGAATGTGCTGGATGTAAGAGGATCTTGAATTGCGCTGTTGAAGCACCATGTAGCACACGTCATCAAATCTTTCCAGCATCAAGGAGCGGCATGCGGCACTTTCATACAATGGATGGGGCTCAGGTGCATTTGTCGATGACACTGACAAGGATGTTAGCCGCTCACCAACGGTTCCTTTTTGCCGAGAGGCAATCAGAGATGATTTAAGAGTCAACCTTGGAAGACTGCTCGAGGGCTCCTACAAAATTATACACACTTGATTGAATCAAGATCTTAATAATAAGAAGGACATTAACTTGGTTGTTAAACCATTTTCTCTCCAATTTAAATAAATATGCTCTCTCAGAGAGCTTACAAATCTTTTTGCAAGCATGTATGTAATAAAATAGGTTATTTCAACTTAAAACAATGAAAAATTGCAAGTAATATTTTTCCAATTTTTGGAGAAAAATTGCACATGCATCAACGTTTTGCTTAAAAATTAATTACTTTCAGGTATATCAATATAGGTGGTAATCGAATTGAAACTTTATTGCCAATTTTTCCAACTGCGAACCCAACAGATTCAAAATTTCAACCTCTTTGACCAAAAAGTAGTAACATTAAGTATTTTGTGGGAACATGGAATATTCTGAAGAAAAAGCTACGAAAATGCATTAGCAATTTTGATGGAACTAAAAGTGGCAATTAATGGAACATTAATTGTAATCATGATTAATTTTTAGAATCAACTACAAATGTCTGTCGCTGGCCTAGAGCGGTAAACAATTGCACTAAACATGTTGAATACTCTAGGAAAATAGCTGCTCCGTGTGTGTGCTGCATTTTCATGTCGATGATGAATATTTTTTAATACTTTGGATAGGAAAGGTTGATAGTGTGTCAAATAAGACCGAAATGAAGGTTGGTGACAGCCGGACGGAATAGAAGCACTTGGAATTGGATCTAAAGTACGACTTCGACGAATGTGTCCAATGATTCAATTCAAAAAGTTTACAACTACTTTGAGAGGTCTTTCAAACTGAAGTTTAATACATAAAAGTAAAAGCCAACCAGCTTCTCTTTCGAACAGGCTCCACCACTTTGTGTACCTTTTCCAAAGAGCTGCTCTTGTCTTCTTGAACCAGATAGGTAGAAAAAGAGTAGATTACTTTGGATGGAGAGGATGTTATAGAGGAAAAAACAATGAGTCAGCCTCAAAAAAAAAAAAAAAAAACAAGAAAAAAAAAATTGGAAATCAATTTTTAGCTTTTAAAGTTATTTAAAAAATTCTGTAAGAATTTCCAAACTTGAACTTCCTTTTTTGTCAAAAAATAATGAAGGTGACAAAATATAGTTTTAATTATAATCGCAATTAATTTCTTCACTTTCCTAAAAACCTTGATCACGCAGCTCTAATTAGGACGTATTTCAATGCAGTCTAATTGAAGATTTTTGCAGTATTACAAGGATCCAAATCAAAGAAGATAAGAAAGTTCCCTGGAAACACACAAATACATGCGCACAATTTACAGCCCTTGCTGCTGCGTACTTACATTTGAATTCTGAAACTGAAGTCGAAGCATGAGTGCCTCATAGCCACGTTCCCACTGAGCATTGCTGCATCGTAGTAGTTCGTTGAAAACTAGGATGGATCCATGGATTTTTTCATCTCTATTCACACTTTTTTGTCCAGGTATTTCTTCAAAGCTGTGGATTGCTTCATCATAACATTGCTTATACCTTTGAAACAAAATAAAAGTAATCTAAAAAACTGATTAAGGAAATTTCCATTAAGAAGTGGCGATGAATAGGAGAACAATTATTGAGGAACAAGCTTACCGATGTTGGTCAACAAGATAGAATTGGTACATTTAATTTGTTATGTTCAGAAATTTACATCCGCACAGGCTGAGAAAAACATAACATAGAAATTAGTATTGACCGATATTTTCACTTTTTCTGGGCATTTCATACTTTTGAGCCAAACCACTGCTTTGATGGAGAGAAACTTTGTTGAGGCAGGGGTGCAGGAAGTTCTTAGTTTTCCCCAGAATTTGCTGTTTTGCTATAATTGCGCCTCTAAATAAAACAACGTCCTTAACAGCTTCCTTCTCCAAAAGTGAAAGAATTCTAGGATATAAAACAGCGCGCCTAAAAGTTTCCTTTCCTAAAAGCAGGGCGCTTTAAAGTATCTTCCCCACAAGCAGGGCGCTTGAAAAACTACCAGCAAATAAAACAACTTGCTTCATAGTTTCCTTCCTCAAAAGCAGCACGCTTGAAAGGCATCAAGCACAAGTAACAATGCACTTCCCTGTTTTTCCCCCAAAAACAAGAGAAAAAAAAAGTCTTCCCTAATTTTTACACATTTTTACAGCCTTCCACAGTCTTCCCCAATTCTCACGCAAGCAGCGTGGCCAACCTAACCTAACCATAATCGCGTGATCGGGAACATTCTGCACTCTGTGTTGAGGAGGGTTTGATGCGGGCAAAGACATCAGGCCTGTCGGTAGAGTGCCACCAGTTTCTCTCTTAGTGGAGCACATCAAGCAAACCCAGGCTTTCTAAACTCGCCTAGCTATCAATGTATATCTTGGAATTCCAGAAACTCTAGAATTTATTGGATTTCTCAACTCACAGAATTTATTGTCACTTTTTAAGAAAAAAATGTGACTATCAATAGCTAATAGAAAAATACGTAGAGAAGTTACCACTGTGGTTTCTGAGTTTGTTTTGCTGTTTCTCTTTGAGCTGTTACCACAAGGACCGCACGTAATGCCTCAACTGCTCCTTCTCTGATGACGGGTTTTGGGTCACGAACGGCATTGAATATAAGATCAAAAAACATCTGTACTTGCTGAAAAAAGTATGTTGGGACAGAGCATGCCAATTCTTTCAAAACAAGCACCTGTAAAAGAGACGATAGCAATACTAAAATTCTCCTATTCCAGTAAGTATTGAAAGATTGAGGTTGTTCAAGATTGGTCTAAAATCAGAAGATTCATTTTAAGACATAGCTCCATAAAAGATAAAGTTCTGTTAAAAATGATATAATTTTTTGGTGCTTGATCCGATAAATGTCCTTGTGGGAATGGGTTTGTTGCAAACTTTTGCTAGAGCAAAAATAAGAGTTATTCCTTATAGATCATGTTTCAAAAATCATGACGAGCGCATCAGCAAACTCTGAAATGCACTTTTAACTTCACAATCTGCCAAGAAATTTGTGTTTTTTAAAGCTTCCAGCTTCAAAAAGGATACTACGGCACAGGTGAACATTTCATAAGAGGAGTCCTTCCATTCAATCCCTGCTCAACACGGCCGACGCTTCCTTGTGGAAGTTGAGGAGAGCACGAGGTCAATCAAGGCGGATATCTATCAACGCGAAAAAAATGTGAATGTAAACACGCCAATTGTTATCAGGTAGTTAGAATCATCGTCCTGTCACAAGTGTTTTGGCTGATTGGCGTCGGCTATGTTGCATGTTGCATTGTATCCTTGTGAGCAGGGGTTGGATGGAATGACAAATATCAAAATGTTCACCTGTGCCGTGGTACCGTTTTTGAAGCGGGAAGCTCGAAAATACGCAAATTTCTTATTCAAATTGTGAAGTAAGGAGTGCATTTCAGACTTTACCGACGCCCTCATTATTATTTTTGAGACAGTTTCTATGAGTGCCAACTCTTATTTTTGCTCTAGCAAAAGTTTGCAACAGGCCCATTGATTAAATGACAATATTTAGTAAAAATAAATAATATGTGGTACAAAGCTTTTTTGGTACAAGGGCCTCATTTTTAAGATCACTTAATTTAATTTTCCTCATGTTCTGATGATGACAAGACTGTTCCTGAACACATTAAAAAGTCAGAATCCTTTGGGCACCAACTCTTGGAAAGTTTTGGCCAACCTATCACACTATTCCTTAACTTTTTTTTCCTTTTCTAAACAGGACCAGTGCGAAAATGTGATGACGATAATTTTGTGGCAAAGATCCAAGAGAAACTTTTTTGGCTCTTTAAGCATTTTCAGAGATCTTTAGTTATGAAAATGTAGGAACCTAGGCAACTTTTTCTGCTTGATACCTACTTTCTACCTGATCTATCAGAGATCAATGAAAAAGATTCAACCAAATGAAAATGTGTAATCAATCAACAAAAGTGCCAAAAGAAATCCGGTACTCATCATGTACTGTGTAATAAAAAGCAGTTTGGTCCCTTAAAAACCTTGATGGCCCCTCAATTTTTTAATAAGATTTGAACGCAGTTAGTGACTTACCGCAGCATGTCTTTTGCCCTCATGCCGGTCTCCGCCAAGCCACTCAAATGCTTTCTTCACCTCAAATTCAAAATATTCAGCTGAGTAAGTACCCGATACCAAAGCAAGTTTTCCAACAGTTTTAGCGGCAAGCTCCATTACACCAATGTCATGTGAGGGTAATAAATTACGCAGATAGTTGGCAAACCTGCTTATTCGGTTGTTGACAATTCCTACATCTGCTCCGATTAGGCAAACTGAAATATTCATACAAAAATACATTATTTACTTTATAAAATACACCTCCTGAGACTTAAAGCAGCTGCTTCCATATTTTCGATACTTTCCTCCATAGACAGCATGAATATCAACCATTGTGAAAGTCACATGCTTAAGGCATAACTGTTTTGCACAAATGACTAATGTACCTTTAGGATAATTCAGTTTTACTTTATTTATCTTAAAATCTTACAATACCTTGTTTCATTTACAATTTTGGTAGTTTTGTACTTTTGACAGTTAAAAATAATATTGAAGTAAAGATTTGTTTGAAGTATGACGGCTATAAATTGAAATTTTTGGTTTATTGTTAGTATGATAAATTACTGGATTATGTTTAAAAATTAGAAAGGACTGGATGTTTAAAACGGTATCACACAAAAGCGATTAATAAAAGGAATAGGTTCACTCCTTCTTATTTTTCATACTTTTCTCTGTCACCTCTTTTTCTGCTAAAATCTAAAACCTCAAAATACATTTGCTGAAAAAAACGGCAGAGTCTCCGGATGTAAATGATAAGACAACTACGGATACCTATGGCAAGGATCCCTCCTTTCTTCTCATTGACATCAGAACTGGAAACCATTTCGAAAATGTGCCGGTTAAAGTCATCAAGGAATGAATTGAGCTCCTCCGGTGGGACTTCTCGTAACTCCGTTTTGACCTAGAACAAAAACCCAAGAGAAATAAAAAACTAAGAGATTTTGTTTTCGCTTTTAATTCCTTTCATTGGCAGTCTTCACAGATACTAATATCTCAACACATTTAAAAATGGATGGGTACAAGCCAGTTCAGATACCTGTACATATTGTAAGAGATACATAGACTGTATTAATATGATTGCAGAAATATGCAGCAGTGTGCACCGCAAGTCAACAATATTAGTGTACAATAAGTACTCAGTGTAGCGAAACACACCCTCCAAGAAGAAAATACTACCCATATAAATAATCAAACTTGCAGGCCAACTGTTTTAGTCCTTCAAGGATTGAGTCTTGCCAGCTTTGGTCTATTTCTTTCCTCATTTTATCAATAATATTTACCTAAATGTTCGTGCTTCGGTGTGGATTAAAATCATCCAATTCTTTCAATTTTCTCACTTTCATCTTCATTTTAATTAGTTCCATGTGATCTAACTTGCTAGTATTTTTCTGGGGATTTCTCCCTTCAAAGATTGCCGCCCTGACACTTCAGTGAGAAAAGTAAATTCGTTGGGCTCCTAAAAGAGGTAGTGTACGGCTTTTTATGTTGGGTTCCTTAATTTAAATAACACTTGAGTAAAGTTTTAAGAAAATGGCAGAAAAAAAGTTGCTTTTTTATTTGTTCTTGTTGATGAGTATACACTTACGTATAGGTAAAGGTCCTTAGCAGCCTTGTTCCGAGTTTCCGGGTGCCGGGACTTTAGCCCCGACACAAACTGCTGCATCAGAGTATTAGACATTTTGCGATGAATAACAGAGAGGTGATTCAAAGCTCCATAATATTCTGTTTTGAAATTTTCTGTGATAAGCCAAAATAGACATTAAGCCTGTCTTGTCTTGCGTACATTTTGACTGCAAAGAGAATAGGAAAATTAAGTTGACAACAATGAAACTCGACATACCTAGAACATTCACTGAATCCATCTCATTCCTTAATCCTTGAGTAAAAAAAAAATAAAAATTAATAACTAACAATTGGCAGCAGTAAGTTGCACTGTACATAATATGTTAAAGGTGCAAGATGGACTTGAAACTGAGTTTATGTATTTCATAATTAAAGAATGCTTGAAACACAGCGCTTGAAAGGTACGCTTGGACTAGAGGTGGGTGTGGTAAATGTACAATTTCTACACAATGTGTTGGTCAGATTTACAGAAGAATTGTCTGTAAAGAAGGTGAGACTACACCTCTTTTAGCAAGATAGTAAGGACAAAGGCAAATCTGAATTAATTTTACAATGGTAAAGCAAGGTAGAATTTAGATGCTGTTGTTAGTCATCAAGTCATCAAACCAACCTCGCGCCGCACAGAGAACTGATCATGAGCCACCAAGTTTCTAGCACCATAAAATTTACGCTCCTGACTCAAGCCCTAAGGAGAACTACCACCTGCCAACCATGCTACACTATAGCCTCCTGTGCGACGTTCGCGAAACACAGAGAGGTGCAAATTGACATGGGCCGAGACAACCCCAGTCTGCAAAATAGACTGAAATTTATTCGGATTGCCCACAGTCTTTCCTATCTTGGAAGTTTATAACTGATATACTTTCTCTAGCATTACTACTTCTTGCATTGTAAAATAGGAAAACCTTTTATTAAATCTACATTGGTATATTCAACTTGTCTCTTGGTTCAATAATTCATCTTGGTTGGAGTCATCAGATTACTGATTAATAGAGTGTTTGTTACTTTGATTTGATTTGTGGAGAAAGAAACAGCATGGACAAAGAAATGAAATTAAGTAAGCTGGATGGAAATATTACGCTGTGTCAGCGAAACCAGAAAACTCTATGAATAAATCTGTATTGGAGGTAGTCTACCGGCCACTCATCTGCTCTTACATGCTGTATACAAGTTCAAAAAGAAATCCAAATAAAAAAGCAGGTTTTTTACCTTCCGAAAACAGAAAAATGTGCATGAGGTAGGGGCGTAGAGCATCAACCTTTCCCTATGAAAAGGTGTTCGTCTAAGAGTTTACACATTACGCTCGAGGAAACATGTGACAGAGGTAAGGCACGGTTTTAAGCTGATGACAAAATTAGAAAACTCTCAAGAAAGTGATGAACACCGTATGACAGGTTATTACAGAGTCACTACATCTTTCCGAGAAGGAAATTTTCCTTGATAATGATAAAAAGAATTTCCTCGGCGACTTTTTCCAATCCGAAGATAAACAAACCACCCGGTTGATTAGAGTGCTACTAGAGTGCGCAGCTGTCACTTTCAGGCAGTTGTGGCTGCGCGGGCTTTTTAAATTCTTTGGCGCGCGTAGGACCAATGGAGGGAGGGGACCCAGGACCGACTAGGAAAGTTGTGACCGACAATAAGAAAAATTGATTCTTTGTGTTACAATACTTACGACCTTTATCTCCTTACTTGCAAAAAATACACAGGGCATGATTAAAGCATACATTAATATGGCCAGGAGACAGCATTTACCAAATCTGAGGTACTCAATGGATATACCCATACTGTCCCACTAACGCACACTAATTGCTTCGCCCCAGTAAAACGCTGAGTGTCCATAAGAAAATTAAGTCACACATTTTTTACCCCTTCTTATCAATATTTTAATTTCATCTTTCGAAATTTTTATTCATGTTAAGTAAGTAAGGAGGTTTTTTATTATTTGTGTACTTGTATTACAGGAATTCCTTCTTTTAAATTTTACTTTAAGTATTCTTTTTGTTTCTAATTGGACTGAGTTAAGCAGAAAGGAACCAACCCACATTTTGGAAAAAATTGAGTTATGAGTGGTTTTGAACTTAACCACTGCTCTACTATTTATCGCCGAAAATTCAAAGTTTTTGTTGGAGCAAATTTTGCAGAAATTGAACTTGAAGTTTATCTTTTACATTGAGTCTTATGCAGGAGCCAAACTTTAAACCTCTTTATCTCGGTTCGATCCCGATGTGGCTTGGTTCCTTTCTGTTTAACTCCGATTAATTGATTCACATTCATGATTCTAATTGTTTTTCTTATTCATTTTTTCATTCGAATTGCATTGACAATTTTGAACATTCTTATTTTCAGTTTTTTTCAAAAATTATTTCATTTTTCGTAAATTTTTATGATTTACTTTCTTTTTTATGACTTTGAGTTTTCAATTATTGTTTTTATTTTTATTTTCTCAGTATTTTTGGGGTTTCCATTTTCAACATACTTAAAATTTAACTCCAGTATCTAAGCCAATAGCTCTAATAGCTAAGCTTAAGCTTACAGACACCATTTTAAAGGCACTAAGTCTGCAAGGCTACCAATAAAGGAACGTATTCCTAAGTTTAGTTATTCATGTACTTAACGTCTTTGGATAAGTATGTGCAAATTTTGTACTTATTAGACTTTGCAAAGAAGATGATGGTGTTGAAACGTTTTGAAAATGGTGAGATTTAAGTAAGAGGTTTAAAAAAGCTCAAAATAGACTTTTGATGCATTTTTTTTTATTTATTTTTTGACAAAGAACCAAAAGAAAAGTCTTCATTTTAAACAAAAGTACATATTCAAAGCAATAGACATAGGGTTCAGAGTTTACATGACCTAGGTATGACAAAGAGGACGAAAAACAATTGCGACCAATCACATAACTCCATTTTGGCTTTTACAGTTCACAAACACATAATTTCAACAATCCTTGGCTTATTATAAAAGAAAACTGAGGGGTCTCAAGTCTCAGGCAGTAAATTACAGAATTGAGGTAGGAGATTTAAAAAAATTAAAACTTTGTTTGTTCCCATTTACTTTCCAATCATGTGTTACTAGGTTGAAAAAAAAAGCAAGCAATTTTTTTTTGCCTCTTGAATTTTAAAGCTTCAAAGTGTTAGTACCAAAAAATAATTCATTTATTAGTGTAGGTAAAGCTACAGTTAAATACAAAATACTTAATATGTCAATGAAAATGAGCCCTCCAAGCAGAAATCAAGGAGAAATCTAAAAGCATAAATTTCACATTTTTTATTGGAAATTCCCAACTTAATTATTGCACATAAAATAATTCACTAAAATAATTTTTTTCAATAATAAAGACAAATTGGAAAAAAAACTGGTGCTGGCATTTTGATACATCCTGAATGATCCTTGTGTATCCATTGAAGTTCAGGAGACATGAATCAGGTATTGTCATCATTAAGCCAACTCTTGGCTTGATTTTTACATTGAAACAGATAGGAGCCATGTCAACATTTTCAAATATGTTTCTTAAAAACATTCTTTACTTTTATTCATTTATAAAGGTTGGCTGGATTCATCTCTTTTTCTTCAAAATTTCGTTTCTTTTCTATTATCCTCCAACTATCTTTTTTATGAACCCTCAAATTTAATTACCAAACTTACAGCTGATAGCTACATAAATTATAGCCAGCCAATCACAAGTAATATTGTCAGTAAGGCTATAAGCATGTGCTGCCTACTTTTCGAGGTGTTATCAACATCTCTTAGACCCTAGACCCACGTGAGTTTAATTTTGGTCTTCTAACATCTCTCAGACCACAAGTTTGCGTGAATTCCCAAATTCAGTGCTACATCTTTAACTCTGTGCTCTGTTTTGTGCATCTTTAAATCTTACAAGGAACTCTAGACTCTTTCTGGATATTTTGTGAAACTCTGTGCAACTTCAAAAATCTTAATACAGTGATTGAGTTCAAACTCAAAATCTTTTAATTTCACTCGCTTTCCTTTTTGGTGAACTTTTGGGTTTTATTTATTTATTTTATTTTCAAAATTTGTCGGTTTTATGCCAATTAGAGCCGAAAAGGTTTTATACAAACATTTTTAGAATAAGATTGAATAAGAACTCTATCACGTTTAAAACCATATTTGCTAACATAATGCAGCAACCTAATTCATTGACAAGCCATTGTTAGCAGCTTAAAAGTTCTGAAAGCCACAAAGTAGACACCGCTTTGTTTCTAAAGACTTAAGTATTCATGTGTTTGTATCAAAATTTAAAACTAAGTGGTAACAACTGGCAAATTGAAGTAACACAGACATTATTTAATTCAGGATTGACTGGATAAACATCAATGTTTCTCTCTTTCGCAAATTCTGATATAAAATAGTATTCATGTGTTTGTATCAAAATTGAAAACTAAGTGGTAACAACTGACTAATTGAGGTAACACAGACATTATTTAATTCAGGATTGACTAGATAAACATCAATGTTTCTCTCTTTCGCAAATTCTGATATAAACTGTCTGCATGCACCACAAGGAGATACAAACTCATTTCTCAGAACAGCAGAAACAGCTATGGCAGTAAACTTCTGGAAGGAATCACTGACAGCTTTCACTATAGCTGTTCGCTCAGCACAGATTCCAATACTGTAGGAAGCGTTTTCAACATTGCATCCTGTGTAAAGTTTTCCATTAGTACATCTTAAAGCTGCTCCAACTGCAAACTGACTGTAGGGACTGTAAGACGCTTTTCTTGCTTCAATACTTAAACGGCACAAATCTTGGACATCTGCCTCTGAAATAAAGCATGAAAAATAAAAACATATTGGTAAATTTATTTAAGTCAGTATTTTAGAATGCTTTATCAATTTTTTCATCATTAATAATGATGTGCCTCTTCTTCATTGGCTTCAAGGAAAAGTTGGTGAGTCTTATAATTTGGAGGTGGCAATTACGTAAATCTGGCCATGGCGGTGCCATTTAACAGATTCTTGATAAGAAACTGTTGCGTGGGAAGAGACTATCAAATTTTTCGACCTTATCAATTCAGCATCTATTGATCATTTTAGATGCTCGAATAATGCGCTTTTCCCAAATTGGGAAACAGTGCATTCGCTACTTTATAATATGAACCCTCACTGGGTGGCAATTTTCACCCATAATAAATACAACATTGCGGCAGTACATGCTCAGCTGCTGAGTAAAATTGAATCACCGAATTAAAACCCTTGATTTTCAAAATCTTCTCAGTCAAAAATCTTTCAATCAATCAATCTTTCTTAAAAAAACAAATCTTCTCTGCAGCAGCAGAGTGTCTCCAATTTAAAATCAGCGGTTACTTTGCGGCCATTGAACAAAACTGCTCCTATCGCACTTCAGTTTGGTGACCTTATAATTTTGTCTTCACCACAGCCATCTTTTTAAGGTTCTGCCCGTTCCGATAATTGAGGAAAATAGTCTTGCCTCATGTAATGAGACGGGCAAAATATAAGCTAATTTTTTATCTGGACAACAGCCATGCACAATTCATAAATTGGGTCAATGAGCCACCCAGTTTATGCTTTCACAACTTAGCATGTGAGTACTGCAATCCCAGAACCAATTCCCTCGTTCCGATGAAGAGGACCATGATCATATCACTGGAGGTTCCAGTAGCAAAAGAGAGAATATCTGAAAATGTAGCACAGCAGCCTATATTTGATGGGTTGTCGACTGTAACTCATAGTTAACAGACAGAACTTGATTTGTACGTGACCCACATTTCATTGATAAGAGATTGAGAACTAACAAAGGTTTTCAACGCTGCAAATAACTTGTATGACAAGTTGCTCATAGCATAATTGAAGGAGAAAGATATTCTTTCTAACAATATTATCAATCTTTGGCAAGAAGTATGAAAGTAAGGAAGGGTGTGGCCCATCCAGGGCTGGATTAACCGTAGGGGCAAAGTGGGCCTGTGCCCACAGCGGTAAATTTTCGGGTGCGGCAGAAATCGAGAAACAAAAAAATAAAAAAAAATGCTGCCCTTGAAAATTTGACCGGAAAAAATAACTTATATACTTAAGAGAGAAGAGGCCATCCATAACATTAAGTCACTTGCCTGGGGTGGAGGGGGGGGGGAGATCAAGAAATCGGACAAATAGGTGACGTAATTTATGGACGGCCCCAAAGAAAAAGGCAGTCTCTTCAGCAGGAGAAGGGCTGTGTCGTACAGCGGCAAATTTTTGCGACCGCAAGTACTGTTGTATCTTTGCACCACCTCCCTGCGCCGCGCCACCTGGGATTAAAAGCTAAAAAAATTACACCTCATTGTTGGACATTTTTAGGTAAAAAATGGGCTAAAATTGCATCTTACAGTGGTCAGATTTCCCAAATTTTTCGGGGGGGGGGGGGGGGGGCGGCAAATTTCCGCGTGTCCACAGCGGCAAAATCGTTAATCCAGCCCTGGGCCCATCCATTTAGAGAAAATTTTCTAAGGATGTAAAAAAGTATGATCACATACTTAGGTAGTACTCACCTAAATCTTGCATAGGGACGATTTTACATGTACTGTTATCAGAAGACATTTTCAATAAGACAAGATAACAAAATAAACGAAGGTGCAGGGTTAAGCCAAGGTGGGATTCATAAATTTTAAACAATTAGACTTGTGAACCGAAAAAGGCTGATGCACTTCAGAATCAGAAGGTGAGCAAAGCTTTGCTCATAGCGAAGTATTTTATCAATTATCGATGATTAATAAAGAAAACAACTCGGACGATCATTCACGTTCGGACTGAAGCTTACAAAAGGATGAACAAAAATGACAAAAGACGAAAGAAAACTGAAACCATTTGTTTCAGCAGCTTCAGCGATTGTGAAATGCGAATAAGTGACTAATAGGTGTAGGTGTAGGTCAGAGACAAAGGTACGCTGATAACTGATAAGGGGGATAGGTAAACACAATACCACCGAGTAACATCGCGCGCGCTGCGATCGGTTTTTGTTGAATTTCTGGGAAAGTTGAAATTTGGGTTGACCTTGATCACAGCTGATTAGGCTTCAGTTGTTAGGTCGCCATGCTTTGTTTAGATTTTTATTGCGAAAAATGCTCATTGCGTCGGTTTTAACGAAGTTATTTCGTCTAAGGTTATAGATTTTGCGTTTCAGTGCTGTGCATTTATTTAAATTTTTTTATGAATGTTAACAAAACCAAAGACATGAACCGTAGAATTCTCGCGATTCAAGCCAAGAAAAAACGGCACAAACCCGAGAAGAAGAAGCTAAGGCCCCAGAATCAACAATGTGGAAATTCTGTGATTAAAGGTAACAATAAAGACAAGCCCTCATTACAAATCAAGTGCGAAGCAGATAACTCTTCCTCAAATGAAACTTTGAAAGCAGAAGAAGACGAAATGTATGGCTCTGATGAGGAGGAGCAAGAGGATGCATCAGACTATTGTAAAGGTGGCTATCATCCTGTCAAAATCGGTGATCTATTTCAAAATAGATACCATGTCACAAGAAAATTGGGATGGGGTCATTTCTCTACTGTCTGGCTGTGTTGGGATCTCATCGGTAAACAATTCGTGGCTTTAAAAGTGGTGAAAAGTGCGGTCCATTTTGCTGAAACTGCTCTAGATGAAATTAAACTATTGAGGTGTGTTCGTGAGACTGATGCCAACGATCCAAAGCGTAACAAAGTTGTTCAGCTTCTAAATGATTTTAAAATTAGTGGTGTTAACGGCTCTCATATGTGCATGGTTTTTGAAGTTTTAGGACATAATTTGTTGAAACTCATTATCAAAAGTAATTATAATGGCATTCCTCTCCAAAATGTCAAGTGCATTATTAGGCAAGTACTGGAAGGACTAGATTACTTACACACTAAATGCAAAATTATCCACACTGATATCAAGCCTGAAAATGTTCTGCTGTGTGTTGATGAGAACTACATCAAGAAGTTAGCTTTTGAAGCAACTCTGTTGCACTCTGCTGGTCTTAAGTTACCCACATCTCTAATTAGTACAGACCCCAATCAGTTTAAAGAACCAGTCACAACAGATGGAAAAATATCCAAGAACAAGAAGAAGAAGCTAAGGCGGAAAGCCAAACGTCAGTTTGAATTGCTGAAAAAGCAGATGGCTCAAATAGATGAAGTTGAAAAGAGTAAACAAAATGTCCCAGTTGAAGTAAACGAGCCTGAAGAAGTTGAAGAAGAGAACAAACCCTCTGCAATGGAAGAGACAGAATCTATCGAATCCCCTCATTCTGGAAATGTAGTGGATGAGCAAATGCTAGTCGATAAATTAGTTGACTCTTTAAACACTTTAGTTGATAGTAGTGAAAGCCCATCGCCAGCTGACGCAAATATGATGGATGCTGCTCAGGCCACTGTTGTAGAAACTGACACTGTCTCGGTGAATAATGGCAATGCACCAAATGAAGATGTGGAAAGTGTGACTATCAATAATGGAAATGCACCAAATGAAGATGTAGAAGAAACAAAAAATGAAGAAGTACCCACATCTACTGATTTTAGATTGCAGAATGCAGATTTTACAAAAAAGTACAGTGGAGATGAAGTCAATCCTGCACGATTCGTGTGCGAGATGGATGTCAAGATCGCTGACCTTGGCAATGCTTGCTGGGTTGATCATCACTTTTCAGAAGATATTCAAACACGCCAGTATCGCTGCTTGGAAGTTCTTCTCGGTGCTGGCTATGGCACATCAGCAGATATTTGGAGTGTTGCTTGTATGGCGTTTGAACTGGCCACAGGTGATTATCTCTTTGAGCCACATTCTGGTGAAAATTACACACGCGATGAAGATCACTTAGCGCATATAATTGAACTCTTAGGACCAATTCCACGTTATATAATTGACCGAGGTCAGTATTCTTCGCAGTTCTTCAATCGTCATTATCAGTTAAAACATATCACTGATCTGAAGCCATGGAGCCTCTACAGCGTGTTGATGGAAAAATATCATTGGTCTCATGAAGAAGCCAAGCTGTTTTCAGAGTTTCTGGAGCCTATGTTGGAATATGACCCTGATAAACGCGCATCTGCAAGTGAATGTCTCAAGCACGAGTGGCTTAAATACTGATTTTTTCCCAAATAGGTATTCTTTTAAATTTTACTTAGCCGTAGCTGCGTGTTCTTTTCCTCTTTTGTGTATTCTTCCTCATTTGTCACAGCAAAGTAGTGCCCTAAATTTTAACTCAGTTTTCACCCTACGACTTCAAAAGTTTGAGTCAACTTAATCATTTCCTTGCTTATCCTATTCCATTTTATTTTTCATTACTCTTGTATCATTATGTTCTCTTTTTAGTCTTCAAATTAACAACTGGACCTAGCTTTTTTTCCTGTTAAAATTTTTACATAATTGGGCTTTTCTCTCGTCAATCAGTATCTTATGACTGTTCCATAACCTTAGGTTTTTAAACCCTACAGCTCTTGAAAGGTTTGATTTTCCTATTTGGTCTCTCTATTTTGCTCCAGTCCATCAAAGTAGCTAATATGTTCTTTTACAAAGCTGACGGATTTTTCAGCGAATCTGAATTAGATTTCTGAAGCTGCATAACATTAGACAAGAGACTTGCATCTTTTATGTATGAACAAATTTACTCGAGTTTCCAGAATCAATCATGATCCATCAGCCTCATTGAACAAGGTTGGCTTTCTCTTTGCGCAAGCGCAGTTGTGATAGTAGATTAAAAAGAAAAGAATCAATCTTTGTAGGTATTTGTAAATTTTTTCTTTTTATAATTTTACTCTTTAATTTTTGCTTTGGAAGTTAGTGTAGACAAATCACAAGAATAATTGATGAGTACGTATCATGTAAGAAAATGTGTGGAGCACATTGATATAGGTTGAATGGAGCTAATGCTTTCTGGATAAATCTCTGCACTAAAATTCTGACATTTAAAACAGCACAAGTTCAGCTTTATGTTTTCTTTTTTCTTGGCGGCAAAAGTTGTTGGTTTGAGTTTTATATGATATGATTACTGTCTTGTTGATGTGAAGTAGAACGGCTAAGCACTAAGTTTCTATCTTACCTGCCTTTGTTCACAAGCAGAAAGAGAGAAAACATTAAGCCTAAAATTTCAGCTCTGACAATGAATTGGACTTCTGTCTCACAATGTCTGTCATTTCTCAAGTTCAAGATGGTCTTGTTCAATCCAAGTCATTACTCTGCATTATTTGTCAGATTTTTTTTCTGATGTCAAAACAATGTATTGAGCTAACTAGTGAGAGTGGGATATTCCATAAAGAAAAATAGATGCAAAATGAGGTCAAGTGATGTAAATTTGTCATTTAATTATTTGTTGTTTTATCCTCTCAACGATTGTCACGATTGACGATAACATTGAGCCCGGTGATCCTAGTCAATGAAATAAGAATATTTCGCTTCAATTTTTTAACAAAACTCAATGAACCACTAGACAGGCTAAGAAATTAAGCACCACCGCATATATTTTCTCATTAAACCGAAAGGCGAACTTGTAGAACATATTGAAAACATCCAAAAGGAACTCATAAGTGAGAAATAACCATTCCTACTTTATGTTTTAAACAGAAAATTCTCATTTTCCCCATCAACTTCTTAGCAGTGGCATGTTTTTAAAACTATTCCTTTTTTTTCTACCATAGAATGAGCTTTAAACAGATACTTTTAAATTTTCTGGTTTTTTCTTGAAAGTTTTAACTGAGCGAAAGGAAAGAAAATAAATCAATATATCTAATGACATTTTTGAAGTGGAAAAGGGATATAGATGGCTCATTGCCATAAGTAAGTGATCTGTTTCATATATATTAAAAAGTATCCCTTTAAATTTTACTCCTGCCAGTTCCTAAAGTCAACTTTGTCAATCGTAGATAATGTTTCTGCATGGCTTTTTCTAAAAATGTTTTTTCCAGCAGCACAGCTTCGTATTCTGCATTCAACTCTGAGTGTAAGGGTTCCAAAACCATTATTGGGCCCTAAATTACAAAAAAATGCAAGATTTTTTCTTTTGGGGATGAGAAGTCCTGCAGGTTGATAATAGTATTTCTATCTTTATTTTTCCAGACGCGGTCTAAAAATATTTAAATGAAACAAGAAACGCATGAAATGCTTTGTTTCTGATTTAAAGTTCAGACAAATTGTTTTCTATGCGAGACAACTGATCTCTCATTTTTCCAAAACTGAATTTGATGTCTGTAAGTACCTAATTAATTTCAGGAAAAACTTGATGTTTAAAAAAATGACAGTGGTTATCCTCATATTGAACAAGAAGCAGGTAGAAATTTTGAATGCTGTACCTAATGACCTAGTCTTATATTCATGATTTTTCTAATTTTACAAACATATTTCATTAAATGTCTCATCACACTGTATCCTGCAAGTATTACATCGTGGAGATAGAACTTAAGATCTGTTTTTTGCCATTTCATTAGAAATTGGATAACAAAATTCCTAAGGGGCTGGTATCCTTGGGTCCGTGTAGCCTGTAACCGCTGCAGCTAAAAAGGAACTCCTCCAAGCTCACATCTTAAAAAAGATGTATTTCAGCAAAAACAAAATATCCTGGAAGTAGACATCTTCAGCTTTCTGTCGGTATATCATACCTAAAAAAACTATTTTATGTATGATTTTACAGCGATGTCATACGTTCGGGTAAGTTTTGCTGATAGGCATAAGGAAAATTGCTCAGCAGCCACTACATTGTGAAATTTGACTCATACTTAAGTAGACCAGACCTCGAGATGTCTCGTCAAATTTTGGTGTAGTTCAAAGCCACACATGACAGCCTTGACATGCAGAAAGTTGTTCTGCCTGAATACTTCAGTCCAAAGTTCTCTCAAAATCATGAAGTCTAAGTCTTCTCATCGCATCTTGTTTCAAAGAAGGAGAAAAATGTCACACACATGTTCCACTCTTTGCGATCACAACTTTTTGGCACTAACTTTCAATTTAGAAAGCTACTAACATCCTTATTTTCGACACCATTTTCAGTTAATCACTGAATTTGACTAATGATGGGTGCAAAACCTTTGATGATTAAAAATTCCTTTACCGATCTTTTTTCTTTCTTTTAAACAAGAAAAACAATTAAGTATGTCCTCTGATATTGCCATAACTTGGAGCTGAATGTTTCAGTCAAAACAGCTTTTGAGCATGGTTAAAGTTAGTCTTTTTATGTATGAGCTCCTACAAAATATGACAAGGTATTTCTAAACCTGTTGCCTGTGCAAAACTTCCGAGTGAAGTATCTTTTCTTGCAATCTATCAGCAAAACGCAATAACATTTGACAACACCATAAAGTCATTTTTGAAGACCAGCAGACTGTTAGGACTCTTTTTAAGAAAAAAATCCTAGTTTTTGCTCAGATGCTTTGGAGGCAATACCTTTCAGCTGCACCTCTTAAAGCTCTCTGCCATGGAAGTTTTAAGTCAATCGACTTCTTTTTGCCTGCACACATCTAATCTCATTTTTTAAGTTCATAATCAACAATATACTTAACTGACTATAAATATTCTAATAAATCTAAAAGAAGAAAAGCAGTTTCCGCAGATTCAAATGCTCTATCTGGAATATCAGTTAGTAATTTTATTTGCCTCAAAAATTAGTATATGTAGGTACTCCTATAGGAATCTTTGTTCTAAATCTAAGGTTTGTCGAAAAGCCGTGTTCCATTCCAGGCTCGTCGTCAATTAATGTTTCAACTTTTTCCATCGGCCTGCCAGGGAATTTAAATTGAAAAATCTGCTTCTTTTCAGCCTCCTTTGAGTTGGTCCTTTATTTCACAAATAGGTACCTAGTGCAATTTTTTTTTAACTTTCAGAATACAAACCCCTTTTTATGATCGTCAACTTTTCATACAGCCATTAATGTGTCATATCTGTCGGATGATTATTACTACATTGTGTGAAGCGAAATTGAAGTTGGGAAATATGCACTCTCTTTTATTATTATTTTTTTTATTTCATAATTTCTTTTGTTTCTGCGGCCGTGGCATCAAGAGCAAGTAAATTGTAGCAGCCACCCTAAATAACGATCCATTTCAAAGATTTTTTTCTGCGTGCACTCAAATGAAGTAAATACCTATTTGATTTTATTGAAACAATTTGTCCCTCACGAAACAAACGGTTGCTTTTGAATTTATTTTATTTTTAACTGTAATCGTCAGTGTACTTTCGTTTGTAGAGAATGGCTAGACTCTGTAAGAATTTTTTATTTCTATCCTAATTTTTTATTAATTGATGTATTGTACTCTCTCCTCATTTTTTATTTTTTTCTGTTCAAAGTGTTTCAAATCTATTATAGTCTGTTATTTCCTACATGCCTTTTAAAAGTGCAAGTTTGAGGTTTCAAAATGGATCACAGAATTTTAATATTAAACTATTTTAATTAATAATTGTACGGTTTTGTAAAAGGATTTTGTTTACAGATTTGTTTTTGTATCACCAATCGTAATCCATTCTTGTTTTAATAAACGTCCAGTCAAGGAGAATTACATAGTCTATTATTATTTTTCTTCTTCATAGTCATTCTTTAAGGTTTTGCCCATTTTTTGCAAATCGCAACCAGTTTTTTAGTTGGCCAACTCAAATTTTATCCATCTCATTCCATGCATTCTTAGGGTACCCAAGAAAAAAATTATTACAGAGCTACGTTAGGTATAGTGAATGTGTAACCAATAATTTTGCAAAGGTCTAGCTTAAATGGTTTTATTACTTGTAGGTAATCCTCTTCGATTTATTTTAGATAGGTAAAGATTTCACTGTACTACAATTTTAAAGTAGGTAAGCTGCTTTTTGTTGACATATATTTCCATTCTTACCTTCAAACTTCCTCAGATTTTTCTATTCTCAATATGGCTTCTCACCATTATTTCTCATTCCTAACTCTAGTAGCAAATAACTGAATGAACTCTCCTAAAAACTTTTAAAATTTACGAAGAAGGAATCGATTTTGTTTAATCCATGTACCTACCCACTTAGGCACCTAAAACTGAACTGAATAGTTGAGATCTTATATTTAAGTAAGTAGTATGTGAAAAATGTACCTGAGCTAAAACTAAAGTGGGCATCAATTTCCTGTTGAATATAAAAAATTACCTACCTATTCTTGTGTGTGAAACTAAAAGATAATTTTGCCAAAAACACACTGCTCTCATAAAATTAAGTAAAATTTGTTTAAAAAGTTACTTCAATAATGATAAATCAACAATAAATTCATGCAAAAATCGCTCCTACTTTGTATGTCTTAAGATTTTAAGAGTGTTAATTTATTGGAAAATGATCAAACCTCACAGTATGACTTATTATACAGCATGCCTAAGTTACTTCTGTATTTAGTAGGTGACGGAGAAAGCCTCCATTTTTCTTCAGTTTCTAAATGCTTAATTTTAACTGGACAAATTAACCACAAATATGAGAGATGGAACTCTTAAATTTATTAGTGTCTGCACCTTGTTGAAGAAGTGTAACGATTTTGGCTTATGTCTCACTTGAAGAAATCATTCATGAGCCAGCTTTATCTATTTGTACCTAACTCTAATGCAAATCTTGCGATTTGGTTGAGGCAGAGTTCTAATGCGAAAATGTCAGACAGATTTCCCATCCAAAACATGTCAAAAAATAATATTTTTTGCTATTTCTATGGTGCAAGGTATTAATAACTTAGGTACATTCTGAGAGTGAGCTGCATCCAAGATGTCATGCCTGAAGTGCTAGTACCATCTTTTATTTTCAGCCACAAGTAACTTAAACCTGTTCACACAAGCAAACTCTGGTTTAAATACTCTGACTAACCTCCGGCAACTCAAAGAGTAGCCTCTTTTTACGTTTATCAAACCAGCTTCAGTTAAGCTGAAGCATGGTATTTTAACAGCATGTCCACGATTCACTAAAATTCGATGGCTGATGCTCAGATCCAATTTACCTGTGTAGAAAATGCAATTCGTCATCTCCATCTTTTTTCCTATGTCCATACGTACATGTGACAATACGATTTTTGACCATATTAGGTAATCTAAATTAGACAAGGACAAAAATTTCATTTTTATCTTAACGTCACGGGAACACTTAGTCACAAAAATAAAAGACTAGCAATTCGCTTAATGTTTGACCTACTATTAAATTCTGACGTTACGTGCAGCAGGATTGCTAGTATTGTCGGAATCAATGTACACCAATCATTTTGACACTTTTTATACCTAATAATTTTTTATTACCTCTCTTGATTCAGTCTTACTTAAAAGGATTGCTGCTGATAGTACTCCTCATTTTTTATTCAATGTAAAATACGTATTTTACTTTCCTTCACTGTAAACAATCATTGTTTATGATCCAATCTTAAAATAATAAAGGACTGTGAAACCACCATTCTGCATGTTGATTGTAATTATTACTTTTCCAGCCAAACAAAATATTTTCAGAATTTGTAGGGATTTTTAACTATTCTTTGACATGTCGGATATATTGAGGATACTTCAATTGACATTCACCCTAAAACACGACAACTCCATAGATCAAAATAGGTGAAACTTAATAAGCTGATGACAAACTTCACTTGATAGTTGAGTAATTTGATATGCATTGTGGAATAACTGGAAAGAAAATATGTAATGAATAAATGAAACGTATTGTTCATGAATACTTTATTTAAATAAAAACAGGACAGTTCATTCATGATAGGCAAAAGCGTGAACAAGATTTTTTTCCTATCAAACAATTACAAATTTGTACACTTGTAGAGATAACGTAATGGATATTAATAATATTAACAAAAAAGAGGTAAAATATTTACAACTCGATCAAGATTTTGACAAGAATAATCACTTAATCTCATCTATCTTTCCATTTGTAACTAGAATTGTCAGTTGCACTAGTCACATAATTGCATTTTGACTAATGGTACTCACAGATAAGGCAGGGAAACATCAACACTCCAATAATTGCCACATTTTAGGGGAAGGTGGGATTATGTGAACTACTTTTTTTTCTGAGCCAGCTATAAGCTACAAAATCATTTCCAATAAACTATTGTTTATTTATTTTTCTTAGCATGGAAATATTCTAGGATACTATAAGTAGTAGAGTAATCGATGTGACACAATCAACAATTCTGTGAACTATATTTCTTTCAATTGTACTGCCGTAATAGCGAAGAGAGCGGTAAGTGCATGCTGGGATGAACCTCAAAACGTATAAAAGTATGTGCTGACCATGGCTCCGACAGAAATGCACTTACTGCTCTCTTAGCTATCACAGCAGTAGAAGCTAGCTTTGTGAGGCTAAAGATACAAAATTTCCTTCTTTTTTTCTGTAAGAATTTCCATGAGGGGTTTGGAAAATGAACATTTAGCGCTTACGAAGATTTTAAAAATAGATAGTAAAAAAGTATAAAAAAGAAAAAATGCAAGTTTAGATTGGCTAGACACTCAAGCTACTGAAATAAACTTAGAAACATGGAAAGTTTGTGATTTCAGCAAATTTCAAAGCAAATTAAGACTTAAAATCTCCAACTATTCTATGAATATAGGATTGCAGAATTTTGGCTCATCCCTTCCTCTCCTCTTACATTCCTTTCAAATTATTTGAGAGCTCTCAAAACTTTAGAAAAGCGAAGTTTAAGTGTGAAAAATCAATATATGAGCTTGAAAAAATCCTGAAAAGGGTCAAAATGCTGTTTTTATGACAAGCTCTTGGACGAAGGTTACCAATCATTTTTGCTGCCTACTTATGAGCACTATCTGTGATAATGCAGTTCTGTGATACGTACTTGATACTGACTAAGGTACAAAGCTATTTCAAGACCATCAACAAAAATTAAGGGACTGGCCATTACAGTAAAATGCCTTTAAAAAATGAAACGCTTAGTAGGAGATCTGGTTATACCTTATAATCTAATCCAATGATTCCTACATTAAAAATGAACAAGGAAAATTATTTGTAATGTGCGTCTATGAACTACAGTTTTATGCTTCAACACGAGCTTAAAAATACAATTCTAAGTAAAATTGTAAAAGTAACTTGAAATTTTTAAAACAGTGGGAAAAATTTCTCTTTCCAACCTGGATAAGAAGGTCAATGTGGCACTAGGTATTTTTAGATAGCAAAGTAGCGATAAAAAAAAGATGGCTGAGGCATGAGATCAAGCTACCATGAATGAAAATATTCCTGATATTTGGTCTATTTTAGAGCAAATGGAAAATCAGTGCTAAGTGCAAGATACACTTTTCCCAGGAATGTTACAAGGGAATCAATGATTCAGAATCGGTATGGTCCTTGATAATATTAAGAAGTTTACAACATAGTTCAAAAATTAACAGAGTTTAACTGAGTATAAACAATTACAAAGGCATTTACTACTCTTTCATATGTTCATCACAATTAATCCATGACCGTTAAGTAGTTTCCATCTTCATTTGCAATCTTAACTGTGAAAAAGAATAAGTAAGATGATTTGAAAAAGTATCCTGACAGGACTTTTTACTCAGTTATGACAAATAATAGAAAATGGACCGTTTGATGCACAGTGAAAAATCAAGAACTAGATACCTAATTAAAATTGGTCAAAATAGAATGAATAAAACGTTCTTCGTTAGGATAAAATTAGTCATTAGAGAAATTTTTTTTAAACCATTGAACATTCAACATTTTATTGCCATAATTATAAAAAAAGAAGGTGCTATGCTACTTTAAATTCTCTGAAAACCGTTAAAAGTTAAAAATATCCACAAGGATGAAAAAAACCAAGAGGCTGACTGTCGCACAATTTTGTGCTTTCTTAAAATTGATTATGGAAGAAAAATTTGCATCTGGTGACATTAAGTATGTGTAGTATATGCAATTTTTACAGAAAAATTTAAAAAAAAATTACATGAATGATAAAAACATTTTGGGAGTTGGTAAATTTTTTAACTTCCAAAAGGTCTAAAAACACAATAGTAATTAGTCAACAATGAAATAAATTAAATTTTTAAATCACAAGGACAAATGGCTTGAGTTTACTTCGTAAAATCTGCACAAAAGACAAAAGTTAAAATTTTCAATGTAATGTTCTTGGAATGCTGGGCTCTGAGGAATAAAAAGCTACAGAGCTTCGGCAAATACTACCAAGGAAAAAGGCAACATGCAGACTGACCTACTTATTTTCACTGTGAATAGAATAGATTAAGTTTGTGATATATTTTTCTTTGAATAATCAAATCAATAATTAGCGTATAATTATTCACCTATCTACTAAAAATATTAGTAGAACTTAAGGAATCAAAATACAGAACCTTGCATGTGCACAAATAATGAAAAATATTTGAAACTAAGTCTACAGGTAAAACAAAACAAACAAAAAAGACATAAAAATCTTTCCATGGTACAACTAGTTTGTTGCGTCCATTTTTCATGTCTACATATATCTTTTATAAGACTTGATAGTCTTTTTCAATCGCGCAGATATGATGTTGGTTGCTAGAAAACACCTTTGAGCGTGAATGTATCGATGTCTTATGAGTGTGTTGAACACCGATTTGCACACAAATAATTAATGATAACAACTTCAGGGTATGAATTAAATTTTCCACATGAATATATTACATAATGAAAAGTCGTGAAAAATGCAAGGTTGAGATTACCCAAATCTTGATACAGATGAGAATTGGATGGAAAATATGAACATGGAATGGAATAAAACCTTTAACCCTGAATTGTTCTCAAAATTTTAGAGAGGAAAAAAATGAAAAATCCTGCTCATCAGAAAAGTTTCATAACGCAGGTCAGAGTCGAAAAATAAACTTTAACTGTAAAATGTTGTTCAAGTTTAGAAGGATTCACAATTACAGAATTGAGTCCCTAGAATCTCTCGGCAGGATTTGATAGTAACAGGTGACCAATCGTACCCACGCAATCAGATTAGACCAAACTGGAGGGAAGAATCATTTAGGGCAACAGTCTTTCCAGCGGACTGGTTTGAACAGATATTGCTCATTCTTCAATTTATCAATTTCAAGTTTTTCCAGCAAATTCCATTTTTCGCCATTGGCGCAAGCGTACAATGTGTAAATTGTACTCCCTCGTTTGTGCCTGGTTTCTATTACATGATTGCTGAGTGAAGGTTTTCTCATTTTTTCATTCTTTGAAAGCCAATGGGAAAATCGTTACTGAGCAAACATGTAATAGAAACCAGACACAAATCAGAGGAATGTACAATTAACATATTGCACACATGCGCTAAAGGAAAAAATTGAATTCGCTGAGAAAACTTGAAATCAATGAATTGAAGGATGAGTAATATCTGTTAAACCAGTAACCTGGAAAACCAGTTGGCTCGCATTTTTCTTCCTTCCAGCTTGGTCTTATCTGATTGCACGCGCACGCCCAGCACCGACACCTGTCAGCATCAAATTTTGTTCAGAAAAACAACGACTTGTGTATCACTATCGGTCCACTTTGGGCTTGTTTATTTTTATTTATGTGTCTTGCATATCTCTGACGAACAAATTTTTTATTAAAATTTACCTGAAGATTAACACTGAAATACTTGAAATGGCCATTTTGTAATAAATATACATCTTCATCTTCTACGTTCTGGACCTTAAGTAATTGCAGGTGTTGCCTGTCTCATCACAGAGGCGGTTGGATTTGAAAATTTCTTTAATTCAGGAAAATCCAGATAGCAATGGACTATGATTAGCTAAAATAGCACTCAGGATATTTTAATGGAGATAGGAAAAGTTATTATTCTATAATTTATGAAAAGTTGAAATTCAAAGAAATTAAAACATATTAACAGTACATGCTCACAAGATAATGCTTCCTTTTTGTCTCCTGTCTACTAAATTTTGAGAACAACTGTTCATAAAAAAATAAGTACACTTAAAAACTGAAAATTGGGTCTAGAAGTAAGGTATAAGAAAGAGATTGCCACTGGCAAAGAGTGGATTTAATCCTTACAGATAGTATGTACCACATAGTTAGGCAAAATTTCGTGAGAGAGGGCTTCATACCTTTCAACATAATTTTTTTTGATGCTGTGCTTTACAATGATGAAGGACCAGAGTGTCTGAGGATTTCTAATTTTTTTTTAACAAAAATCTATCAGCATGCATTGAAAAACGGAGTGATTCCACGAGAGGCGTATTTTGAAAGCAACATTACAGTTATTATTTTTTTTCTTTTCAACAGAGCCATTTCCCACAATCTTTGTTGTAACCATCTTGAAAGCTCTGTAGTTAGAATAGAGACTGATCGAGCAAGTGGAAACCCCCCAACATACAATTCTTGGTATCGTATAATAATCTGGCCCTTAGAATGAATTGTGAGTTCCTTCAGAAAAGTAGAAAGCCTTCTTTCACCAACATTGTCTGGTCAAGCAAAATTTAATACAAATGAACAAAAACTAATATCCGACAGTATCTAACAATAAAAATAAGATAGATCACAGAGAAACTTTATGACTAAACAGAATCATCTACTCGACCAGATTTGAAATCATACTTGTAGTGAGGATGGCCTTCTGCTTTCATCAGTTGGTTGTTGATTAAGCTTTGAATGAGCCATACAACAGAAACACATTTGATATCTTTTCTCTCTCGCATTTCTTTACTCAGTGACTCATCTGCAATTGCAATAACTGGAGACTCATCTGAACCCACTTTTGCATAACCTCTTCTGGGTCGAGCACCTGCAATTTCTAAGATCGCTGTCCAGAAATCGACACACTCCTGTTTTGCTTTCTCGTCTAAAAGTAAAAGAATCCACTTGCCCTTCAAGATTTGGGGTCGTAAACTCCCCTCTTCTGGTTTCATTTTTGGGACTTCTTTGTAGCCAACTAATGAATAGGACCATCCATTGGGCAAATAATTTTGTGTCTGAATATAATCTCTAAATGGTATACTATTGACACAACAGTAAATTATATCTTCATGCTTATACGCTCGGATACCCTCTGCTAGGGCATATATGTAAGTGCAAGTGAGACTAGGTTTGTTTGAAATTAAAACTGTATTTTTCAATTCATTAAATGGAACGTGGGTAATATTTTCATAGTATGAACCACCTCCAGCTTTGATCTGGGTGATTAATCTTGATTTGGAGAAGGGGTACTCAGTCTTGAGAAATTCATCTAAATCTGTCTCTGATTCAGATGTCATGGAGTCTGTTTGGGTTCTAAACGAGGGTTTGCTGATGGACTCATCAGTGTAAGTCAGAACAAAGACAAATCCTGCAAATAAATTACTTCCCTTAACAGGAATTGGCCCGTACTTCTCAATGAGTGAAGTATCATCATTTGCACTTGTTATTTTCTTCTGTTTCAAGTTACACAAAGGATCATTGAAGTCTTTTTTTTCTAGGTGCACTCCACGGATTCCATTGCCTGAGAGGTCTAAATCGTACTGCTTAGGGTCGCACTCTGAATCTGAATAGTAAGATTTGGGCTCGTCTAGTAACTTCCGAGCAGCTCTTTTATTATTCCTGGGACTTTTCCCTTCACTCGTGCTTGCTTTGCATTCTGCATTCCTGAATAGTTTCTTTGCAGCAGTGGATTTTACTGTCCTCGGTGAAGATAAACTTGAGATGATACTCTGACGCGGGGTCCTATTTCTTTTTGCACTGGTGCAGTTGTCCAGGTCAATGGAACTTAAATTTGTGGCAGGTTGAGGATTGTTATTCCTTATTAAAACCTTCCTCTGCTGTTCTGCAATTCCAAGGGATTCAATTGAAAAATAATTTAGCTCATTTTGAGTAAATACAGCAAACGGCGCTGATCGGTGGTCCGGTGAATCTGAAATTTCTTCGAGCCTTCCTGGTGTGTAAGAATTGATGGACGGTACGTGCACCATTATCATGCTATTGGGCTTTAACATTGACAAAGGAATGAGTTTATTTTTAGTTAGCTCTTTCTCTTCGTTATCAAAGAACAATACTAAGAACTTGTCTGCTATGCACCTCAAAATGCGACACGGAAAATAAAAACTGGACCAAAAGCCAAAAGCAACAGATAGATTTCCAAAAGGGTTTTCACGTGATCTGATAATTTCTTGATACGTTACTGGTGATTGAGGAGATGACCTGTTTTCTTGCTCTCTTGACTGCAATCCTCCCGAATGAGTTTGTGAGGACGATGATGAGATGTCTGGGGTTACAATGTGGCCTGAGGAGTTAACATATATTTGTAAGTCACCTTTTCCATTTGCTGTCCCATTCATAGTTGGCGAAGAGAATAACTGAGGTTGGGGAAATGCAAAATGGCAATTGCTGCATCTCACCGGCACTCTATCTAAGCCTGGAAACGGGCTCAATTTTGATGGGTGTGTTTTGCCATTGGCGCCTTGTAATTTCCGTGCATCCGATTTGATTTGGTCACTATCAGTGGAGCTTACACATGCCTGCCGCCCCCTGGGTTTGAACGGACCGGGCAAGCTGTACAGACTTGAACTACCAGAAGAAAGATCACCAAGAACTCCTGAAGATAAGGAGGAGCTGGCTCGTCTGTATTCTTTTCCCTCTTCCAGATGAAAGGAAAAGTCTACAATGTCCAAAGCTAACAATTTATTTGGCACTGTTTCTGAGTATACCATTTTTAAAACTACTGAGATTGGTCCTGCCTCACACCTGTATGTATCTGCCAAGTTTTTGTCCTGTTCCAATTTCAATTTCTTTGAGGGCGACTTGATAGCCTCACAATGTGAATTATATGAGAATTCTTCATAATTATGTGATCCCCAACTTGTTTTTTGACTGTCCTGGGATCCATTTGTCAGTATTTCACTATTGCTAGAGGAACGTTTTGGAACGTCTGCACTGGTAAGCTCTTTTAGCTGAGAAGCAGACTGCGTGTAGTGTAGAGAAAATTCTGACTCGGTTGCGGTTGGTGGCACAGAAGCACAAGTATTGGATGCATCAAGAATAATTGTGTTGCCACTATTTGGAGATGGGCCAGAGAGTGCCGGAGCTCCTTCAGCAGGAACCTGCAAAAGGAAGGGGGGGAGGTGAAACGTTTAGTTGTTGAAAAAATTAGCATAGATTATCATCAATTCATCCTTCCTAAAAATATGAAAAAACTGTACAGTGAATTTTTTTCTTTTCAATTGGTATTTTTATTTTTTCTAAGACATATTGTGCAGACCCCTACAAGATTTCAGGATCTCTTAAGGGGGGAGGGGGGGAGATTTAAACATTGGATGCATTACATACATGTGTTTTGTAGAGTCGCAATGAAGTATGTTTGTTTTTCGCAGATTTGTGAATAAAGGACACAAATTGAGTTATGGCTTTGGATTCTTTCAGGGAAAAAGCAAGGGCAGAGCTAGGTTTCATGTAGAGAGGTTCAAACCTAAATTTTGGCTTCCTTCACTCTAGGGGGGGGGGGGGGGGTGGTCTAAGGGTCCTTCCCTAGGAATTTTTAAAAAATTATAGCATATCAGATGACCGTTTACCACACTTTGATAAAAAAATTAATCTTCTTAATTTTGATTTTTGGGGTCTTAAAAGAGTTGTGTTGACGCATGCAAAGATACTTGAAGTCTCGTTTTTCAATACATTTTTTATGTGTACCGACTCATAAGCACTGACAGCTACTTACTTACACTTTACACTATACTGCAAGTATGAATATTGAGTACACCATAGGAAGGAGGTAAGTACAATTTCTGTTATTTCGAGAAAGATTATTTTAATGCTGAATGGGGTCTTACAGCTCAAAATATGTATGAAATGGTGCTTTAAAGCTAAACATCATGTTTTGAACCTTAGGTTTTGCATTGAATTTACTTTGAAATGAGTTTTTTTCGCAACCGTCGCTAATTCAATTTTTTCAATAATGTCACTCACCCCCTTCATTACCTGGAGACCTCAATTGTGAAATTGAATCGTAAAAAAGATATTCTTCCAGGGTAAGTTGTTAAACAGAGCACAAGGAAGAAAAGGAAAAGTGGACTTTGATCAATCCTACTTGTCCTATTGTTCAAAAATAAATAAGTAATTTTCTCGAGGTGTTCAATTATTTTCTTACTTAAACTTTGATAGGTACCCATAGACATAGCTATATTAGTTTACTGGGGTGGGTCTGGTCTCCCTATTACCAGGGAGCATCCCCCAGAGATTTTTTGAAATTTTTACTCTATTTGGACGTATTTAGAAGCTTCTGTGACGTAAATGTTCCGTTGACTTCTGCACACAAAGTACGCTGTTTCAAGTATTTTCAGCTCTAAATACTTTTGAATTGTTACTAAGAGTTACACCATGATAAAGAGTTATCATTGACAAAGATATTGTTTTAACAGACAGAATTTCCAGGGGGCCGGATTATACTTTTTCCAATTCTGTGGAGGAGGCCCCCCTAAAACCCCCTTAGCTCTGCCATGTAGGTACTTTTAACTCAACGCCGTCGTTTTTTCGAAAGTCTTAAAAAATAAGTAGTTCCCTCCTGAGTGACAGCCATTTGGACCGCGTTAAACAGAAAGGAACCAAGCCACATCATCTATTGCCAAAGTTAATTGGGCGAATTAATTTTTTACATGAAAACGGCAGCGCGGATTTTGGTGCAAATTTCAGTGAATTTTCTCCATAATACGAAGCAAATTCCTCAAAATTTTCAACGGAATCCGCACAAACGTTCTCTCGTAAAAAATTGACTTGCCCAGTTAAATTTGGCAATAGCCGATGTGGCTTGGTTCCTTTCTGTTAAACGCGGTCCATTTGTTTTCTAACTTATCAAGACTCGCCTCATCCCCCTTCTGTGATCTTTTTTTATAGCTTAATTTGAGTCCAATTTAATTCCCAGACATTATTTTAATATCGTCTTTCTCTGAATTTGGCGCCCTTCTCACTCTCTAGTTAACCTTGAAGACCAATTGGCATTCATTTGACAACTTTATAAGCAACAAAAATATTGGACTGTGCAATCTATGGATTCAGACTGACTCCTTATGCTTAGGGTTAATGTTGATTTTAGCTTTCAGGTGCTCCTTAGAAGATGCGAGAACTGAAAAATTTTGCACCTTTTTATCTACAAAACACAACAGACGCTCTAAGACTACGACTCACTCTGACAATCTGCGACATCCAAACGCCAAATGTGCCTAATTTCCCAAGGGTTATCAGGCAACTAACAACGCAATATCTCTCCGTCAATATCCTGTCGCCATCCATTCTTGAGACATCCCTGTCCCCTTTTTCCAGCTCTGGAGCGAAGGGCTTTTAAAATGAGAGGGCTAAGAACTTTCCCCACCCCTGCTCTGCTTCATTAATAAAAATCAAAAGACCTGAGATTATATCATACCTCTTCTACTGACATTTCAGCAGCTAGATTGGAAACGTCAGGAGTTTTTGAAATAATTTCTACTGATGAGTCAGGATCTGGATCCAATTTTCTTTTCTTTTGGGCTGGACATTCAGTGTCAGATAACTCACGCAGTCGAGGTGTTGAAGACGAAATTACAAATCTTTGACTTAAGCTATTTCACAAACAAAGAAAAAAACTGAGTTAGTGGTCAAAAACAAACCATTAACTTTTCAGACAACTCTATCATATGCTGTGGGCCAAAGTCAAGTCAATTCAAATGACTGGTTGCAAGTTATTAACTCCCCTACATTGTTATTGATACCTTTGCATGCCTCAATAATTTATCTTGTATGTATCAATTGTCTGTTACAATCAGAAAGTAGCGAATTTGTATTCTTCCACAAGGCACTTGAGCTACTGCACCAAAAATTTAACATCAAAACCCTTTCACTTTATGACCTATTGGATCACCTGTGTGCTGGGCAACTTCTTTGCACTGCCGTCCAAAGTAAAAACGTCATATCACCATTTGACATTTTTTCGATTTTTTTCTGACAAAATACTATTTTACAAGAAAACTAGCAAATATTCATCCTCCATTTTTCGAGTCAATTTTGGCATACTATTAGGAAATCAATATTTAAGAAAATGAAGCCTAGGCACACTTAGATTTTCCAGGGTGTCTACTTGTTATCAATTTTGGGAAATCCTGATTTATCCTGATTTTTCCTGATTTTTGACTGCCAAGTCCTGATTTCATAATTTTTCCAAATCCTGCTTTTTTGCGGAGAAAAATTATCGGACGGACAGCGGGTAATTAACAGAAAACAAGTGGACGGCCGACTTTTCTCAAATCCTGATTTTACAACCGATTTCTCCTCAAATCCTGATGAGAACAGGATTAAATCCTGATAGAATCGGGATAATCAGGAAATTTCTGATGCTAGACACCCTGTATTGTATTAGAGCAGTATGTGTGAGAGAAAAATACAAAATTTGTAATGAAGTTACAGCGTTTTTGCTGTGGCGGCAGTGCAATGTGATACCCGAGTTTAGTGGCCATTTCATTATTCTTATAAACAAAAAAAAAAAAAAAAAAAAAAAAAAAAAAAAAAAAGACCACAACAACAAATTGAAGTAGTAGGTAGAAAAAGCAACAACAATGAGCGGCAGGGCAACACAGCAAATAAAAGAGATTCTTCTTTTTTGGGATACATGTGTTCCTTGATTTTCTTGCACTGTTGTTCAAATACTTCACTTTTCTCTTCAGACTGGTTCTTTACAAATAGCAGACAATGCAGCTGTATTAGCAGAGAAACATAATCTATTTGGGAAGCAAATGGTAAGCTATAGCCTAACCAAAACGTATAATACAAGTCAGACCGCGAATTAGGATGCTTTGGTGAGACGATAGGCAACCTAGATTGCAACTGGTACCACCCAGCTGTAACTTGGTCCCTGGTCCAGCTATGCTACTGGCAGCCTTGAGTGCCGCCCGTTCCATTAAATTTCTGCAAACGCAAACCACCACCCTCAGGCGACACAGATGTGCAGCCACACTCCTGCTTTGAGCGTCATATGGTACTACTTGTATATCAGGCTGTATCAAATAAGCTGAAGGCACATTTCTACCCTGCTTCACCCTACTAGCTGTCTTACCTCTCTCGCCTAAAGTCAGGCCATGTGCGCGGTCTCCATTGTGTTATAAGTCTATGAGCCTGACCATTGTCTCTGGCTGATTTACAAATTTACTATAATGAAATAAGGCGCTTTCACATGAGGAACACTCTTTGGAGGTAACCAACTCCATGTGTGTCAGTAGATCAGCTCAAGACTATGGTCGGGCTCCTGGTATCATTTTCACAAGGAGGATAAAGCAAAAGAGAGGTTACATACCCTTGATTGCTTGCAGATGTTGTCAGAAATAAGTCTTGACTGCTAATGCCGGCTGTCCCCAATCATGAAACAAATGAAGTGAGATAGAAAACAGTTAGATGATTGAACAAGGTTCAGATAAAAGTCATTGTCATCAAACAGAAAACTTTTATAACAGATCTAGTAATTCGTGGATGGTGGCAAATGAGTGAGGTCCTGTTTTCCTGGGAATAATCGTGCTCATAAGTCTGGAGTCAGGATGTAACAGTGATAACACCATCACAGTAACACGATGGCTACTTTTTCACTGATTCTCACAAAGAGAGTGACCAAAATTTTCAATAAAGGAATGGATAAGAATGAGGTGAAATCCCCCCTCTCTCTCTCCCACAACTAAGATTTTGTTGAGTGATGTGAAATTTTGAAAAGCATAATAAGCTTACTTTTAAGAATTATCTACTGGGATGTTTGCTTGCATTTTCAATTATTGACCTATCTGTTGATCAAATGCCTTCAGTTTTTTCTCTTTCTTTCAACTTAAAACGATTATGCGAAAAGCCTTCAGTTATTTCTTGAAGCTGTCCAAAATTAACCAGAAATAAAAATAAGTACTCACGTTTAGAGTCATCAGACAGTGGAGTCAGCACAGCTGATGATGGATTTGAAATGTTTTGAAAGTCAGGAGAGTCATTTGACAAAGAGAGGTTTCCCGATTTATTGTAGGTGTCATCTGATTCTGAAAGGATGATCGTATTTTGTGATAGTGTCATGGAAATGTTGTCTTCATTGCTTGTTTTATTAGATTGTAAGCTCTTTGATAGTGGCGCAGCAAACGTTCCTTCATTTAGTGAAGGAGAATTTTTGACTGGTGCATCTTCACTTGTTTGCGTGTCTGCTAGTTTTAATTCAATTAAACTTTCTTGAGACTCTCTGAAAAAAAATGAGAAATGAGGATACAAATTAAATTTTAAGAGGTGTTGTGATAGGTGCCAAAGGAGCCAGGTCCTCCAAATGTCATGTGCTCATCAACTGCTGAGGACAATCGGTAAATGGAGCCGAATGATACATTTTCGCTTCATTAGAATCAGTCACTTCTATTCACAGTGTCTATGGGTAGATAGTTTTGGAAGGAGGGCAAAATGTTCTGCAAAGAGCAGTACAAAACTCAAGTTACTTTTGAAAAGCGTCCAGTTCACTTACAAACTAGAGGCTTCAAGGAGACTCATCGATTGCTCCGACTTAAACCGCTGGCCAATGAGAGGGCCAGGAAAGGCATTGATGAACCTTTTTGAAGCCTCTAGTTTGTAAGTGGGCTGGACGCTAAAGCTGATCCATGCTTAGTTTTTAATAGCAGACCTCCCACTAAAATTAGAGATGGCTGCCAGCAAACAACTGTTCCAGCACTCAACAACAAAGGTGAAATTGCAATTCTACCAGAAACTTAGAGAACTGCAGGGGCATAATTTAAGTTTCTTTTACAAAATGCTTCATCCTATAGACTTAAGAAATGGCATTTCTGATGACATTTCAGACTTTCCCTCACGTATTCTTTGCTACATTTTCTCTGCCAACTTATTTCTTTTGCCAGATCAATACAAAAAAATTAGTTTAATGTATGCAGCGAGAGATAGCGGGAGGCTGGACTTTAAAAATATCCTTGCTTCCTTTTATAAATATTCTGTAATGTAATTAAACACTTGTTCAGTAGAGGGAAAAAGTAGTTAGGGTGGGTAAAATCTCTTCTATTATTCTTTATGAATTTTTGCTGAGATACGGGAAACTTCAATCATCACACCTGGGAGTGTTTCTTTAAAACTGTGCAATAAATCAAAGGTAACATACAACATAAATTGTACATAAACTTCAAAAATACTGAAAATTCTTTCCTTTTCTCTCACTAATTTCTTATACAAAAACGCACGGAGTAGATACCAAGAAATTTGGCACCCGCTAAATTTCAGTATTATTTGATACTGGTAACATATGCTCCCTTTGCAGTGGTAAACTACTGGAAGAAAATTCTACTTACATAATCATAAAACAGTAATCTTCTGGTATTTTAAAGTTGATTACTCAAATTGAAATATTATCAAACAACAATTAGTTGTGAGTATTGCTATCATCAGTCTCTAGCAATGACTTTTCTATATCTTAATGTGGAGAGGAACAGGGCTGAAAAGAGAATTTTTCAACCATCTTTTTTCCGAATTTTCTGTTGGAAAGGTGGAGTTGTTGAGCATTTAGTTTGTAGAGACACTACAACAAATGTTGTCATTATTTGAAGCATTTCAATTTGATTTTTTTTGTTAGTCTTATCTCATGGCCTGTAGGGGAATAAAAGCTTTCCTTGATCATCAATCAGCTATGGCGACATTTGCACTGGATATTGTGTCTACAAATGTCAACAAATTTTCTTTTCAGCCTGGCTTTTCTCGAGATCAGCACACAGTAAGTTCAATTTTAAAAACTCATTGTGCTCAGGAGGCTGTAAGGAATATCATATAAAATAATATTAAAATTCGGCCAGCACAGAATTTCTTAATCTTCGGTGCAAGGAAAAGTATTTTGAAGAAGCCAAAAAGTGACTTATGGCAGATGCGTTCGATACATTTGGATGAAAATCATGGCACAACCGACAGGCAACCAAAATAAATATTAAAGCTTCCTAAAAGATACCCCTAAGAGGAGATCTCTGAACTTACAGCTGCATATGCATGATTTAAATTATTATAATCCTTGTTCAAGCATGACTTAGAAAAAAATCCAACACTTTCACAGGACAAGAGGGAAAGTCTATGAGCTTCTTAAAGATTCTGCTAACTGCTAAGATTGAACTAAACTTGAATCGACAAGAGGAGATATTACGTATAATCTTGCCAAACGATAATAATAAAACAATTAAAACATTGCAGGGGTTTATATTCATAATAATGGGTAGTTCGTGCTGAACTGTGGATCCAATTTGTTGATCTTCCGAAGACCTTCTTTTTTGGTGCTTGGAAAATTGACTGAGATTGATTAAATTCATCTTGAAATGCATTGTCATCCATAATAAAAGCATTGTTTTTCCAAATAATATGTACAGCAAACTTAAACAGAGTACTTACGACATGTACTGAGTCTCCTGGGACTCGGATTCTTGAGAGCTCATCTTAAGGGACAATCTGTAAAAAAAAAAACACAGATGAGCTTAGATCCACTTGAAATTTTTACGAAAGTAAAACAACGTAAAAAGAGGAAGGAAAGCAATTTGGAAGGATTTCTTTACCAGGAAATTAACAAGGGAATATCTAAGCTTCATTTCATTTGAGAGATACATTTTTTCTATTGCTTGGGTTAAACAAAGCATATGAATAACTCAATAGAATTTGATCAAAAAGTACTGGAAACCGTTTGATAACATACATGAAATAGAATGGTAGCTACTACTTGTGATATCACCATAGAGATTCATCATTGGGTACATCAAATAGAATCCAAACAAAAACAATGACATGATCTCTTTTAAAACCACTTTGGAGAATCTATCAATAGGTTTTATTTTCTGTGGTATAATTCTAACATCTTTCATAGTAGGTAAGTGAAGTTTTTAAGACGATACAAAAGGCAATCCTCCCCTCCAAAGTACCTCTCTCGTATTTTTAGGTTCATTATCAGCCTGCAGTCAACGTGGGTGATATTGTTTTGAGCTTCCATAAAATTAGATATGCAGCAGCAATGCCATGCTGAGGAAGAACGCCGTACGAGCCTTCAGACATTGTCAAATTTGTTGCCGAAAAATTCTTGAATATTCATACGGCGTTCTTCTTTAGCATGGCAAAGCGAGACAAGTGTAATCCTGATAACAAACTATTTGTGACCATTTTAAAATTTAAATGTGACTGCTGCCAGAGTTGGTTCGGATCATGAGAAAATGCAGACTTTCTTTGGGCACAGCAGGTGGCCATCTATCTAGTGATACAAATGCACCTGAGCAGCATTTAGTGCTCAATGTTGAATAGATGTGTTGTTAGATAAGTTGGTGGTTGTGTACTTTCTGATTGCACCCTCAACAGATAGCCATCGAGGATTGACTACAGGCAGTCAATGCTGCCATCGTGTGCAGGACTGTAAATCACTTTGCTTTGCACGACACTCAGAAGTAAACAAATGCCAACTTATCTGAGGACACCTCTAATTTCTTTTCTCAGCAGTTCTGAATAACTGACTTCAAAACTCGAATGATGGTATCTGATGGATCACAAAAAGTGCCTTCAGCAGTCAAAGTATAGGTAAGTACTATTCTTAATGTTGATGAGCTGCTCCAAGAGAATCTTGCAATCAATTGTTGAAAACGAACCTATGAAAACGATCGCAACTGTCAAGCTCAGTAAATGAGACTGAAACCTCTACAAAAAGATTAAACCACCATGAGTTGTCCAATAAATGATTTTACCAGCATGTGGTAATAGGAATTTCAGTTACGTACCAACTTCAACGCAGGTTGGCAAAATCAGCGACACTCTTTCGATACTGAAACCCTTCGTTCCCTGCGCATGGACTCCAGAGAAATAGGAAAATTTTCGAACTAACAGACTTACAGCATGATTTCCTACTGTCCGTCTTTCTCATTTTACAGTCCTTATTACTTCACTAAGGATAGATTATCAAGTCACTACATGGAAGTGTACTGTGATCTCCAACTGTCAACAAAACATCAGCAAGGTTGCAATAATTTCCAGCTAGGAGGCCAAGCAATGACAGGGTCATAGGGCTGCACACCACTAATGCTTAGCTTTAGAAATGTAATCAAGGAAGTTCCGTACTGCTTGAAGTTTGATATTGCTTGCTTTGGTGGGCTTCAGCATGTGCTGCGAGACAAGTGGTACATGCAAGTCCTTCCCATCACGGGGCAAACATAGTAAGCTTTCCAGTACATAAAAGGTCTGTAACGCAGTAAGTACCTCAACTATATTGGAAACGGCAGGGAGGAGTTAAAATTGGAAATACAAACCTGCAGGGTTAAAACTGATGTAGCAGGCAATCATGAGCAAAGCATTTAAGGAATCGAATGAAAGTTGACACTTACACAGCACTAAAATCACATTGAGAGGCAATTAAAATTAAAAGGGCCTATGTACTCCTGGTAATGCCGGTTGGGAATCGGGATAAAATTAAAATTCTTCTGAAGAGTTACGGAGATAACCAAGTAATCAGTGAAATCTTACACAGACACAGTACATGCGAAAAATCAAGAAATTATATCTTTTGCGACCCAGCGATCCAGCTCTGGCTCTGTGAAATGATGGAAGGAAGAAGTGACTCACGGGAGTTACGAGCCGGCTTCTCGTTCGATCTATCGATTAAAATCGAAATATTAGAGATGTTACTGCAGAGATCAAGAGGATTGTTTTGACATTTGTGCGTTTAGGTGTAAGTTCGAAAAGTCATGCCAAGAAAACGAGCTTACTATACTGGTTTCAGAGGATTTCATCTGGTCTCAGTCTCACGAGTAAATCATGAAAGATGAAAGGTAGCGAGAAGAAAATCCGATAGCTATTCGTCGTACGGGAGTTAGGTTAGGTCGACAGATTGCGATTTCGCGAGAGAAGAGAGATCGAGAGATCGAAGGCAAGCTTGCAATGCAAAAGTATAATTGACATTGCACTACTATCTCTATTCGGTTTTCGCCAAAATGTAACTTTCATTTCACGACTTTGCTTTATCAGCTGCCCCCCGAATACATCTAATTATAAGTTTAAAAAATTCATTTTAAACGGACAAGTGCATTTTTTCCATCAAAAAGGAACTATTATATTAAAAATGTATCAATTTGTTAGGGTAATGAGTCACTCTTCGGTGGACATCATTGACGTCTTAACAAAACAAAAAAGTCTTGTCATACAACATCATCAGCTGACTGTGCTTTCTTATTTCAGTTATTTCAGTAAAGTAAAAACAATTTTTGTGTCTTCATTATTTGTTCAGAACAAGTGCATTTCGTGATTTTTTTAATTGTGCATCTAGCTCTTCCGTCATCAGTGGTTGAAATTCTTTGAGACATTCCTCAACCTCAACCGAACCAACTTTACAAGTGCGTTAGCCTTGGGATGGATCCATGAGCATCGCACATAAGAGGTGTGCTCCATCAAGTGTTTCTCTCCTTCATTACTTTTCTTTAATTGCTTGAGAAATGAACCTGATAACTCTAAGTCTCTACCTGTACTTATTTAACGACATCACCCACAACTCAATGTGGTAGGAGGAGAATGATCCACATTTTGCTATGAACAAGACCGTTCAATTTGACCCAACAATAAATAACTCGGAACCAGGAAAATCGAAGCAATCCAATGCTGTCACATACGTCCTTGCATTTCAAAATCAATACTTTTAGACTAAGTATTGCTTTTTCATTTCTCGGTCATCTTTTTATCTGTTTATTTTACCTGGTTTCCTCTATTCTTGAAGTTGAGCTACGTCCAATTCTCAACCTCCTGCAGGCTATGCCTGCTTTTTGTTCGTGGGTTCAGCTTTGACCTTTGGGATTCTGCTTTGGGTTCTTGTTTTCATCCTTGTCTGATGGTCCTGAGGTGATCTGTCTAGGGTTCTTTGGCCGCTTGAACTGGCATGTGAGTAAAAAATCATGGTACCCAGATTTTGGCTTTCAGGACAAATGAAGGCCCCGTGTATGAGGGTGAAGTATCAATCTCAATGAAAAATTGCAAAATTTAGAGCAATAAAACCAGGATTTAGCCATGTAAAAACAGCTGCAGTCGATACAGAGATAGATGGTCAGATATGGATTGCAACATTTTTCACTCAGTCAAATCCTGGTTTCTTATCTCTGAATTTGCAATTTTTTCACTGAGAATGATTTTATAGACTCATGCTCAGAGGCTTTTGTCATTTCTTTGGCTGAGATGTCAAAATCTACCAAAAATTTTCACTCAATCGTTGAACTATTTTGCATCCCAGTTCGACTACGCTGAGAACCTGGGATCAATCACCTTAAACGATTTTACTCGATTGACTAAACAAAACAGGTGAACAAGGAACAAATTGATCAAAATTTTTATAATTTTTGAATCATTAGCATAGTCTATGGTCATGTATCATACTGCCAGGTATTGTTTCTTATCAGACATGACATTAAAAGGAAATAGTTGCTAGTGTTGTGTCAGAAAATAGGAATGTTTTTTTGCGCTAACACATGGTGCTGGAAGGAGAGACGATAAAAAAAAAAAAAAAAGTTTTGTACATAAACAGGTGTCTTTAAAACGTAGTGGAACTGTGTTCTGCTTTTCCAAGCAAAGATAGTGGATCTTCACTCCAGACTTTGAAGGTTTTGTCAGATTGAATGTTATATCCCTACCTTTATTTTTAATTTCAAATAACCCACTAGAGTTAATCTCATTCAGTCACATGTCAACTATCTAAGTATCCCTGCTTGTCCACATGTATGATCTCAATACATGACCCTAAGTGATGCTGTTGCAGGAGCTAACATCCTTATAGGTAATCCAAATTAGACTTTGTCCGGAGGTGGCTACCGCCACCCATGATTCCTTCCATCTATAATATCTGCCATTCCAAAATCTGACTCTCTATTGAGAAGGCCCGAATGCTGTTAACTTTTTAAAGATGCACACTCCACACCTTGCAGTATTTATTCTGAACAAATAAATCATATACCTCTGGACATTGCCTTGTTTGTAGGATAGTATGTCTGAAAAAAGCTTGATTAGTCTGGAACGGAGATCAGTTCTTGCTTAGCATGGTATCATTGTATCATAATGAGAATTGTATATGTTTCACAGGTACTTATGAGACAAGGAAACTGTCACATGTTAGCTGGGCGGATCTAATATGTCAGATGGTGGCTCTGAACCATCAGATAAACATGATTTTTCTAGCATGGAAGGAATACCCGTCAAAATTAGTGAAAATTACAAACCACCCAAGAAGATAACACCTTTAGGGCCATCTAGAGTCAACCTTGACTCATCTCCAGAAGAGGTAAGTGTTTCAATAGCATTTGGCAGTAACATGGTGCAATCTTGATTGTTGAGGGATCCTAGAGTTAATGTTCGTAATGTATTGAGCAGAATGTCTCATTATGACTTATTTTATTTAATTTATAAATTTATTTTTAATTGTATTATAGTCTCATAATCACGTGGTATATCAGAGCATGTTACAATTGGATTACATTTTGCAATAAGGAACCACTATCTCTGGCTCTCCCACAAAAGCACATATTTGCATAGGGAAACCAATGGCATGTATGTTGTTTCTAAAATTGGCCAGAAATAGTGGTTCCTAATTGCAGAATGCAATCCAATTGTTATTTCAGTAGCCAAGTTCCTAATGTGTCAGTAAAAACATCAGTGTAGCAAGGAGTAACCAAGCTAGTAAAATATGTGCGTTAAAAATATCTATCGCAACATACGACAGTCTAAATTGGAATCTTTTCTGAAAATATTAACAGTCAAAACTGTGGGTATACACAATTGCAGGTAGCTAAATGAATAATACAAAATCAAGAAAGAAAGTTACTGTTCTTTCAAGAAAGGAAGTCCTAAAATGTTTTATAAAAATGTGACAATCATGAATATTTTCATCCAATTGACTTTAATATGAAGAATGGTTTGAAAAATAAGGTACTAAGTAACAAAAGAAAGTGAAATGATGGCTTCATCAGTCTCAGGCTTACTAAGACATATTTTTGTCATCTTACCTGCTGCCAACATGAGCAAGCTCAAAGGGGGTAATACTTTCAAGTTTTTTCGGGAAAAAAGTGTAGAAGAAGTGGTATTGAATAATAAGTAAACAAAGCCAACTTTGTAGATTCAAATCCTTTTGTTCATCTATTGTAAGTTTTTTACTAAGGACTTGTCTCTAATAAATCATAATTCACTCTAGAGCCCCTCAGACATACAGAATTTTGACTGCAAGAATCATTCAGGTGTGTTTGACCACTGTGGGATAAGCACAATGTCATGTTATCTGTTTACCTCAGAACTACCAAATAGAGTTATACATCAAGTTATGCACATAAGTTTAAGTACTGCTGGCTCTGAAAATTAAATGAATAGGCAAATGATTGGCAGGAAAAATAATCAAATCAATTTTATAGTATGAAGACAGTGTCAGTCGATTTTTATCAACTCATCAATTCTTTTTTTCTTTTCAGTATGATTTCACCCTAGAAAACAGTATTGTGAGCAAAATAGGTGCTTGGCGTCAAATTCGACAGTCAAATTTTGAGGACAGAAAGAAAAGATTGGCTGAGTATCGTGAAAGGATGACCAAATTTATGTCTTTAAACCCAACAAGCATCACAGAAGCATCAACCTCTCTGGGAGCTGCCTATCCGGTCGTGAGTTATGATGATTCGTCCGTGCAACATGACTGTGATATCAACTCCCAAATCCTTACCCCTGTACCAATATCCTCCCCAATCAAAGAGCCTAATAATGTAGTCCGTAAGATAAACTTGTCTGATTTTGAGTCCGATACATCTAGTCCTTTTGACAACATGGAATTGAAAACAATAAATGATCTAGAGGAGCTGGCGCAGTGCTTGCAAACTCAGGCAACAGTTTTAGAATCCAAACCGCATAATGATCTAGATTGTAGTGAAGAGTTAAATAACTATGTAGGTTATAATCACTCCCAGTCAACATCTAACCGTTGTAAAGATTTTAATAGTTATATAGGTTATAACAATGCTCAGCATCTACCAATAAACTGTGATATTCAAGCCTTCGGACAGACTAATAATCTCGCTATGATGCATTCCTCTCATCCGACCTCCCAGTCACTAATAGTAAATCAGTTCGATTGCTACAACAATATTTCACCCATGAATCACCTCAATCCTTATCCTACTCCTGTCCCTCCGATTTCATATCCCAATTCCTATGTTGCTCAGGATCAGACTAAGCCTCTGAACTCGGTGCCTGATATTGTACAGCAGCTCAAAAGTATCCTGAAAGACAAGCGTGAGGCTGAAAGTAGGAAGAAAGATGTTAAAACCACATCGTCACCTAAATCAATTAAGGTGAGTATTTATTTTTACTACATGGGGGGCTACACAGCTTTACAGCGGCACAGCCTGTGGACCCCTGCTGATAATCTTGCTGATAACGCTGATAATTAAAGGGGGTTAGGAGATGGTCATCAGCTTTTAGCCGTATTAACCACTCATGGAAACGATGGATTTGGCTCTTAACCGCGTAATGAAGGGAACCAATCCAGGAGAGTGCATTACAAAATCAAACTTTGATTCTCCAGGTTGGGGCTTATGTCATTGAAAGATTAATAGTTGAATGACCTAATCATCATCTCAGTGTCAATGCAAACAAATGGATACGTTGATGTAAAAATAAGAAAAGGGTTATGTTTATGGAATGCAGAATGTCCAAGGCATTGTGAAAAAGTTGTTGGAATTGTTTCTAAGGATCCAGAAACATGAAGTGGATGTTGCAGTTTTATCTGAAACTAAGTAAAAGGGGCATGGGTCAAAGAATTATGGTGACAATGATCTGCTCCATAATAGCTTGCTCTGCAAAGGATAGGGACATGGCGACGTGGCGCAAGTATGGGCGATCAAAGACTTTGAGGATTTTTTTCTTTTAAAACAGTGATATTTGACCACAGATAGATAGATAAGGATAAATAAGATAATAGGATAATTGGACTCTTGGGGGACAAAAAGTCCAAAACATGAAAACTCAGAGGAGTTTATTGTGACTAGTTATTTACTCAAACTCCACTTGTAGAAACTCTGTGGCTCTAAGGAGGTAAGACAGAGTGCTAGCAGGCTTCTCCGCGTTGAATAAATCATTAATAAGGTATTTTAATAAAATTGTATCTAGCGAAACCTACATTCGAAGGGAATTTTCTAAAACTAGCATATAGTTCATTACAGTGCTCTGGTACAAATGCATTTTTCAAAATTACCTTTGCAGGAAGGACCATTCTAGGTACTTAACAATGCCCTTTAGATGTATTATTTTTTTAAATGCACAATATGAGAAGCTCTGTTTTACTCACGCACCTCCAGTGCAACTCTGAAAGTGCTAAGATTCATAATATCCTTGACATTGCTCTTCCAGTTACCATGGGGGAAAAAAAAACCACATTTTTCTAATATTTGGAACCAATCCTTGATGTCCCATTGATCATGACACAAAATTTTCTTCTTCTCTGCAACTCAGTCTAAATTAGAACTTCGTAATAAGTAAAATCCCAAACAATTTTTGCATAAGCAAATTGACCGCTGTCAAAAACTCCTATCAATGGTCAAAAACCTTGTATTTTCTCTTCAAGATTCCAATCCCAAATGTTTTTTGATACTTGTTTATCTCCCGTTTTGAATTTTGATTTCAGTCATTAAATTGTACGGCAAAGTCATCCCTACCCAACCCGTACGTATCTCTCAGTGACTCTGCAAAAAAGCTGTGTGATCACATCGTAGAAATGGGATTCCAGCAATCACGAGCAGCTCGTGCCTGTCAACTTTTCGGAGGTGATGAAACCAAAGTAAGATTTGTTTTTCTTTCCTAAAGAAATAATAAATAGATTAGATTTTTTTATTAAATTTTGAAAAATAATGTTTATTTTTTTTTTTTTTTCTAATCCTCTTCATACTAGAGATCAGCGAGAAAACCTTTTTTAACAATTCTAATGCTAAAAGTTAGTTTTTATCATTTTACCATTTTGCATAACATTTCGAATTTGTTAAAAATCTAATGGAGCTTTTAAGTTCTTCAAGGAGAAAGAAGGTTTCATCTTTCTAGCAGGGAATCTTGAAAAAAATTTCAACAGGATGGAAAAATTTGGAAACGTTGAAAAAAAATTTCAATCAGGAAATTACTTTAGCTAATGTCTTATAACTCCAGAAAACAAAAAAAAAGACAATTTTTTTATATTCAAATCACATTTCAATCGTCTTTCATATCCTATTTTGAGGAGTCATAACAATTTACTGTGAATATTTTGTGTACTTAATTTTTCCCAAAAATTTTAAGCCAAAAAGTCTTTCTTACTCGCTCATAACCATAAGCTTTTAGCTAGAATTTTTTTCTGGAGGTGGCTTGGCACCCACTTCTTCACGGGGAGTTGGTGTTGGAAAAGAATGGTAATTTAATCATTAAATGAAAACGTAGCAATAATGCACATACACATAAAATACAGCGCTGTGGGTCGCTGAGTTTTCCTTGATTTTTGGATATGTTTGGATATGAAGGGTATCCCAATGCATTAGTATCAGGTAACCTCCAAGATGTGTTAGATAAAAATCTCATCAATACATTGAACTGCACTCATTGAGAAGATTGATCTCATCCATTTTGAATTTCGTTAAATATGCATTCACTTTGAATTAATCTGCTATTCTTTTTTTTAATTTTTTTCAAGGTCATTGAATTCCTGGTTCAGCTGCAAGTTTTAGAGGACAAAGGTTATCCAAGTGACAGAGCAGAAAGAGCTTTCATAGCAAACAATTTCAATGAAGCTGGTGCGATAAAGTTTTTAGATAATGTGAAGCAACTTATGGATCTAGGATTTCGAGAAGACCAGGTTTGCGATGCCTTAAACAAATTCAACAATGATCAAGATAAAGCCTTGGATTTTCTCGTAACGTAACAGTAAATAACTTTTTGAGTTTGTTAAAATAATGGATGTGTTAATATTGGGGATTGAATGAGTGGTTCCACAAAAGAACATGTTTATCCTGCATTTTAGTCCAATGAAGAGCAACTAACCTTTCAGGAAGAATTGCTGAGAATTGGGTGCCTTTTTTTTTCTTTTTCCCTAAATTATGCTCTCTAATTCTGCTCCAAAAACAAGTTCTATTCCTAGCAAACAGTTGTATGAATCTAGTTCTTTTTGACAAAATTTATTTGAGAAATTCAAGGAACCTAATTTACTGGTTTTGCCAATGGGCCTGTTGTAAACTTCAGCCAGAGCAAGAAAATGAGTTGTCCTTTGAAGAAAATGGCTCAAAAATTACAAAGAGCTCATCCAGAAAGTCTGAAATACACTCTTAACTTCACAATCTACGTAATAAAAATGCATTTTTTTTTCAGCCTCCCGCTTCATAAACGATAGCACTGCACAGGTGAACATTTCGTAAAAGAGGAGTCGTTCCATCTAACCCGTACGCACTAGGATGCTACACAATATTGAACATGGTTGATGCTTCCGATGCTTCCAAATCGTGAGGAAGCACCATGGTTCTTATCAATGCTAGGAAAATGTAAATATAAACACGCCAGTTGATAATATATTGTCCCGTTACATGTGTTTTGGCAAGTTGGCATTGGCCATGTTAAATATGGCATAGCATCCTAATGCCCAGGGGCTCAGGGGCTGGACAGAACAACTCCTCTTGGAAAATGTTCACCTGTGCCATGGTATCCTTTTTGGAGCAGGAAGCTTAAAAAACACATATTTCTCTTGCAGATTGTAATGTTAGAAGTGTATTATAGACTTTCCCGATGCCCTCAGTGTGAAGTTTGAGCTATTTGCCATAAGAAATAACTCTTCTTTTTGCTATAGCCGAAGTTTGCAACTGGCTCATTGTTAATGTCTGATCAAATTGCCTGTTTTTTATTTGTTTTTTCTTTAATTTTTTCCATTTCCTATTTCCTAGTCCAAATGTTTGGATCTCAAGTTCTACACAGGTATAATGACCCCCCCTTTTTTTTTCTTCATTTCCTTCAATGAGCGAGCTGCACAATTTATTTAAAGGAGGGCCAAGGCTAAAATTCTTAACAGGAGCAAAGTGAACTTATGTCCCCAGACAGATTTAGCAGGAGTTCTTTAGAGGAACAGATCCTTATTACTGCTTGCATGGAATATTTTCAATGTGTATCTAGTATGATTTTTGACTTGGGCGTCTCTGATCACAACAACTAGTTCATTTTCTCCAGAAAAAGACAGAATAATAAATGCGAAAGATATGCAAAGCAGGTCTGGATTGACTTGTAATTATATGTAGTAAAATCAATGCTGCCTCATTGTTTTAATGTTTATTTCTCTGTGTTTCTTTACTATTTTCTACAAAAAGAAACTTACTGAAAATATCTTCTTTGATAAAAAAGAAAGGGAATAATGGGGGCAATATTTTTGCTTACCTTAAATGTGGAGACTTGCATAAAAGTCATTATCTTTAGACAGGACAATCTGAGCTGCCCCACTATTCAAAAGAAAAATTAGAACTTTGTGCAGTTCCGACCGGCAAACTTATTGGGTATCTTTGTAATGTTTTTTATGTATAACATATAAGGCAGGAAGGAATGTGAACAATTTTTGGGCCAGAGGTATAAGAAATTAGATTCAAACCCTGTCAGAATATTATGTTGGCTCCTGAACTCCAAACTTATTGTCTTGTTGTATCAAGCATACTTTGTTACATGAGTGGTTATTCACTAAAAAGGCTCGAAACAAAGTAGGCCTTGTTTTTCAATATAAACAATCTAAATTTAATTTTGTATTTTATAACTTGTTGATGTATCCAACTTTATAAAAGCACAGGAGTTAACTGTATAAATGTTTTTGATAAAAGAGAAGAAAAAGTCAGATTTTGTGATTCTCTGAGAATTCAGAATTCCTCATAGAGTGTATAAACAAGTGTACAAACATGTGCAATATTCTGACAGAAGCGCGAATGAACAATTAGTGTATTTTTATAATTGATTTGTGATCTGTAACTGGATATGTGCTTATGCAAAGTACTATCTGCAGCGAGTTCCAATTAAGTTAGTGAATTTTTTTCTTTATTCCTTGTAGAGTGGTCCAACAGTTTTGTCACAAACTCTTGCTTGAGCAAAGAAATGAAGATAGCAAAATGTGGCTTGTACAAGTATAAAGACCATATTATCTACTATCAAATATGACTTTAATAAGCTATTCTGGCCATTATTTTTTTTTACTTACAGCGATTTTCAGTTGAACAGTTAAGCACTTCCAGGGAAATCTTTTGGCCGTTTTAATCAAAAGAGGAAAGGAAAGAACTGGAATTCAAATCGCATATAAATAGCTTTTATTTACTGAATTTTACAAAGTAATTCCCAAATGATTGTTATGAATGTTATTTTTTCAACAGCTGATTTAACTTGTCCAACTTTTTCTATACATATGCCTCTATCTTTATACATATCATGAGGCTCGGTGGCCATGTCCTAAAAAAACATAAACATAAAATCCTCCTGCCTGACGGTCTAAAAAATATTGAGGTGTATTTTATATTTTGAAGTATGTCTAAATATTATTCTCTTCAGTATGGTATCAAAGTGCTCGGTGTTGTTCTTTTTGTAACTTAATACTTATTGAGCTGCCCAAAATTTTTAGAGTTTGGAAACTTCACTACTGTTGATGAATGAATCAACAAAGTCTCTAAAGCTACACCAGACTGTCACTGTTGGTTTTGGTTGTTACTAAGTATACTGTAAGTCCTTACCTCTAGTACTACCCTTCCTTTGATAGTGAAAGCATTAGTCTTACTCTCTTTGAGCTCAGAGGGCCGAGGAATTTTTTTTTCCTGTCTTGAAGGGGCTCAAAAATTGCCCAATGGGTACTTAAACCTGTCACCTAAAAGTTGCTGTGAATCAGTGAGTTTTTGCTCCATGAGCCCTTAGGCAAGATCGCAATATACAGCTGGTAATATAATTTGAAATAATAACAACTTGCATTTTGCTAGCCTCACCCGCTTGCTCCTAAAATTATTAGAGTTAATAGCAAAACTTTTAAGACACATCACGTGCTTGACAAGATAACTGTCTGGTGAAGGGACACCAACTGATAAAATCCAATATATTCAAGGTTCTCTTTAAGTCATTGTAGTTTTTTATTTTTAAAAGGTTGTGATCTAAGCCCAAGGAACGCTTGTAATCCTTTTTTTTAGGAATTGTTTGACTTGTAAAATTTTATCTATTTCAAGTCAGCTATTATTTCCTCCCTAAACAAACTGTATATGCCAGAGCATATTCAGATCAGAATCATGTCCACACTATTTTAAAAAATAAACCTTAAGTATATTTCTGTAAGAAAATTCCACTGAATTGAGCACAGTAAAGTATTGTTTCCCAAAAGGTGAATTGTTACCGAAAAAGTGAATAGAAATAGTGACCAATCAGTAATAAGATCAGTCCATTTTAGATGTTTAGTTGCCATGTGTAAAGGCATGCGTTGTATTAGGCCAGGGTGTGCCCACACTTACTCACTTATTTTGGGCAAAGTGTTAATTTGGCTTGTTATAGACCTAAATTCATTCCAGAATTTTTTCCATTCTCACTCACCTCTTTTTTAGCAAAATTCTCAGTGGCCAACATTAAAAATACCTCAGAGTCGGCTTGTGCACTTTCAGTTGTGTTAGAAAAGTTTTGAAAGATTATTTTTTAAAATTAAATTTCTAAAGTTTTTTTTTTTATGAAAAGAAAAAAAAAGGATAAGCGTGCAGCGATTTTTTTTTTTTTTAGCACAGATGCTCCTAATGAAGAGCTCTTTATTTGTTCTTCAAGAAATTCAAAAACAATCTTAATTTGTGGGAAAGGTCTTTCGAACAGCGTTCACTTGGAAGGAAGGATGAAAGGGAGGGGTTCAGAGCCCCTATGTACTCTGGTTTTTCTGGATTATAAAAAGTTCTCTTCACCTACATGTGCCCTGTGACCATGTGAGAGAGACAAATCGGTCAAAAATTACCTTACATATCAGTTCAAACAAAAAATAAAAAACCTCTTTTGAACCCTACGTATCAAGTAGCCCACTCAGATCTGTTACCGGTGTTCTCGCTTGCCTGTCTGCCCCTGTCATCCCCTTTCAAAATGAAAAGTGGCAATTCCTTATTTTTCAGTACATATTTTTTCTTGAAGCTCTCTGGCTTGCATGGAAAAGGAAACTATTTTGTGGAGCTGCTCTCCCTTTTTATTCTGTACAGCTCCAGCCAGTCTGGTTGCTTAATATTTTCATTTACATGCAGTGGTTGATTAGTACCATATTTTTGGCTGGAAGCTCTGATTTTCCAGATGTGCAAACTATCACAGATATCATTCAATCCCTAGCTAAAATGAAAATTGATCACTTAGACCTGAATAATGTAAAATCCTCATCGGTTTTCTTCTCAATTTCATCGGAGGTGATTGATATGGGCAATGCGTTATTTTTATTTCGTGACAAAACTACTTCTTAAACGAAAGTTTCTATTGTTGGAAAATAATGTTTACAAGACTCCCCTGTTAAATCCTCATCTGCTCGAGGAATTTATTCTAAGTGAATTCAATTTTTTTTGCTGTGCATGATGTAAGATAGCATTTAAAACCGTTTTCAGGTGATTGCTGTATTAAAGGCTCATTAATTAACTTTTGAAAGATGTTTTGCATTTTTATACATTTCTTTAAAATCTTTGCTTTAACTACTTTTAATTTTGCGCCATCTCTCTGTTATGATTACACTTCACTTGCAGATGAAGCGAGCCTGTTTGTGATTTATGTTTTATTTTTTATTCGTTTATTTTAAGCAACTGCATGTAGCTAAGGATTAAACAATGTAATTGAAAAATATATTTTTCCAATTACCTATGTTTTTATTTTGCTCCTTGCTGTTGAAAATTTTAGGCGAGCAATTTGAAAAGGATGTGACTTTCGTCCCCTTCTTTTATGTAGGAACCCAGCTTAATTTTAGGGTCATATCATTCACCGGTATCATGCAGCGCCCAATTAAGTTATTTTAAAGTATGTAGCTATGTTTTTGTAAATATGATGAAAGAAATTATAAGCATGTTGGTTGTTTTTGAAGCATTTTAATTTTTTTCTCATTTTTCTTCTTTTTCTAAAAATATGTTTTGCTATCACGAATAATGAATGTTTCTCAGAAGAACACACATGGACAAGTCTTGTTACTTCGTTCATTACATCTATATTTTCTCTGTGCTCTCAGTATCTCTTCTTTTCCTTCTTTATCTTTTTTCTTTTCTACCTTTTTCTCCTTCTTCAAGTTTGTATACACTCAAAATTGCTGTTTGTTTATAATTTTTTTACTAGTTGTATCTATGATCAGCATTACTTAAATAGCTGTAAGTTAAAGTACCCATGATAAATTGAATAAAAAGTAAATCGATTTTGAGCAAAGTTTATTCTTTTGTATATCCTTGACTCTCAAGTAGATGGATACTGACTGCTAATTGGTAAATCTAAAAAGTTATTAACCTAGTAGCTTACTTGACGAAGTCACATACCTTTGATACTTTCATCAATTAAGCGTTTTCATTTTTGCTTAGGGGCTGTTTATAAAATATGTAACTCTGAATTTCTGATTTTCCCCCCCTTCTCTTTGTAATGCTCTTGTGATGCAGGTAAGACATTTAACATGCATGAACAAAATTGCACAACGCTCTTCTCGACACCCCCCCCCTCCTTTNGTGTTACATTATTTATGAACAGCCCCTCACAACAATTTTTCCCTCTCATTTTTGGGTCCAGTAAGCACTGCATCGCAATGATCTTGTACTTATTTAAAAAGCAACCAATGAGAATAGGTAGACATCTTGTGTATTTTATAAATTTTGATAAGGATTTTCCTGAGTGCAATACTTGAAAATTGTTCTTGCTTCATTTCGCCATACTTTTATCTCGACGCACAATTTTAACAGAACATAGAGTTGCAATACTTTATGGGCACGTGAGTAGCTACTCAACCTACATATTTCATATGTGATAGAGTCAAGCGCAATAGGACCAGTGATGGAAATTCAAAGAGGTTGGTGCAAAAA